AATTTAAAGATAGATCTTATAATAATATTCTAGAATAATAATATCTTTTTATATATTATATTACTCTAATCTAGAGAAGTTAAGTTAATATATTCTTTAGTATTTATTAAGATTTATAGTTATTTTAATATAATAGGCTGTCGGCAGAGTTATATTTCTTAAGCCTATATTTAATATAGAAATAAAATTATAAGAGATATTTTACTTATTTAACTTATTTCCTAGATAAAATCTATATTATTAAGAAATATTTTAGATTATTATAGTTTATAATTATTTTAACTAGTTTAGCTATTTTAATTAAGAAATATCTTTAGACTTTAAAAGTATTAATAATAGTAAATAATTCCTGCTTATATATCGGCTAATATAATTCTATATTTATAAACTTCGCACTATAGAATATAATAGGATATTATACTTTATCCTTAAATACTTAGCTTAGTATTATTAATCTAGCAAAACTATTAGTATTTATCTCTAATATGCGCAGTTTATTTAGATTAAAATATCTTAATAGTAAAGCTTTTATAAAGTACTTTTTAAGTACTTAAAAGCTTATCTAAGCTTCTTCTCCCTATATAAATAGTATATTATATTTTATAAGTTAAGTTAATAAAAGAATAATTTAGCTATAATATTTAATAAACTAATAATAGAAATTATAGAAATTAAGGAACTAGACTAAGCTTACTATTAATATTAAAGTAGGCTAGGTAATAATAATATCTATTTATTATTTATTTATTACTATCTCTTAAAGTATAATTATAAACTCTAAGAATATAACTCTAAAGATAGAGAATTTATATTTCTCTAATTTATAAAACAGGCTATTATTTAATAAGCTCTAAAGAATTACTCTTATATACTAAATATAAAGCTTCTTATTATAGCTAAAAATAAGTATATTATTTAGATAAACTATATAGTATTTATTAATATACTATCTAAGTACTATATTTATAAATACCTAAAATATTACTAGAGTATTATAGAGACTAAATAGTATTATTTATTATTTAAATAAACTATATTTAGTATAAAAGGCTATTTTCTACTTATATCTCTCCGCTATATAGATTAGATAATATATTAAGTAAAGGTTTAAACAGGTAAAAATAACTGTATTTTATAGCCTTAAGAATAGGTTATCTATTATTAGAACTAGGTATTTATTCTTAATTATTCTCTTATTAATAGCCCTAAAGTCTATATAAAGTTATAAAACTTTAGGTTATTTAAGTATAAATAGTAATAGTAAGGTATATAGTATATTAAAGGGCTAGATATATCTCTATTCTAAACCCTTATTTAAAAACTTATTAAGTAGTTCTAATTTATATTCTGATAAATAGTAGTATAGTCTATATAGGAGTATTACTCCTTTAATAAGGTTAATCTTATAGTTAATACCTAGTCTTCTTAGAGATAGGAACGCAGCTATTAGCTACAGTAAACTAAGAATTATATCGAATGCTATTAGTAACGCTTTAAACGCATAAAGTTCTATTTCCTTATTTAAGACTATATAATATAGTTTAAAGTAGTGCTTTATTAGTTTCGCTAGTTATATATTATTAATATCTTAGATACTTAGTAATAATACTAATCTTAAAGTTAAATAAATCTCTTTAATTTGCCCTATTATTACTATATTAATACAGTTTATATTTATACTATTATTAATTAATACTGTTAATATTATAATACTTTCTATAGCTAATAGTACTACTACTAAAACTAATACTTTAATTCTGCTAAATACTAGGATATAAGATAATAATGCTTAAATATATATAATATTTAAGTTACTTAATAAAACTATATTAATATTCTATTTAGGCCTATTTTAAAAAGAATAAGCCTTTAAAGTTAGTTTCCCTTTTAATTTTTTATACCTATAGCCTCTACTAATTAAAAAGCTTTTAAGTATTACTTCTTCTAATAGCCTTTTTCTCTATATCTTAAATAAAGGCCTTTATTATACTATCTCTTTTACTTCTTATTTAATAGGTTATATCTCTTATTTCTGCGAGATATCTAGAGTAATTACTTATAGTCTTATTTTTAATCTCTAGTCTTTATTATTATTTCCTTATTAGGTAAATAGCTCTATATATTAAATACTCTAATTATCTTAAAATAATTATAATAGCCTTAAAGTAATTATTTTATATAGTATCTTCTTTCTTATATATAGATCTCTGCCTGCTAAGTAATATACTTCTATTTTATATATAAGGCTAATAGGTATATAAAATACTCTTAATAAATCTTATAAATAATACGCGGTATAAGCTTATAGTTAAATATATTGTTTAGAGCTATATTATTTTAATCTAAATTTATTATAATAGTTTTAAATTTATTAATAAAATTCTATAGTAGTTAGTTAAAATATTATTAAAGGTTAAATATTCTCTAAGTAATAATAATCTTAGTATTTGCCGGTTTATAGTAGTCTAATAGCTAATAGTATAATAGTATATAATTCTAGAATATTAAATCTTCTAGGTTATTAATCTTTAATATTATTAAATATCTCTTTATTTTACTCTTTATATATAAATAAAGGTAAGAAGCTTACTCTCTAATATTATATAGTACCTTATTCTTTAGCTATTTATTAAATTCTATAATCTAATATTTAAGTTCTTTTATTAAGCTATTAAATACTTCTAGATATTAAAGTTTAAGCTTTTTGCTAATTAATATTATAAAAAGTCCTAAATTTTAACTGCTATTATTATTATTAGATTATACTATACTCTATATTTATTTCTGCTAAATTAAGGCCTCTAATTACTATTAAAGCTCTTATATTTATATTTAAAATATTACTACTTAATTAGACTAAGACTACTAAATATATAGCTGCTAAGTATAAGGCTGCTAAGTATATAGCTGCTAAATATATAGCTGCTAGATATATAGCTGCTAAGTATATAGCTAAGTATTAGAGATATATAGCTACTATAGTATAGTATTACTATTTTCCCTTAAAGCTAATAATTCTTGCTAATTTTCTTGCAGATAGCTAAATAATTCTATTGCTCTTACTATTATATTATTTATTAAATCTCTTATATAGCCTTAGTTTTACGCTTCTGCTATTATTAAAGATATTTTATATTATTACTATTTATAATTATTATTTTATAAAGAGTTTTATTATTATTAATAATTCTTAGTTAGCTCTTATTAGCTTAAAGAAATTATAGAATTCTTAATATTAAGGCCGGTCCCCTTATTATCTATAGGTTAAAGATTAGCTATTTTACCTAATCTTATAGTTATATATAAATTATTATAATAAGGTCTTATTATTTATAACTATAGTAAGTTATAATTTATTTTAGTTTATTATAGTCTTTTAATAAATTATAAAGCTATAGCCTTTTAAAATTATAGTTATCTAGAGATATAATTACTTATAGTTTACCTTAATAAGCTATAGTTTATTATGGTTTATTAAAATTCTCTATAGTTTATAGTATAAGTCTAAAGGTTTATTTAATAATTTAGAGCCTTTAAAATCGCAGGATAATAAAAAAATAATAAAATAAATAAGAAAATAATAATATAGTAATTAAAGGTTTTCTTATTAAGGATTAGAAGAGATTTAAAGATTAGAAAAGTCTAAGTATATTAGGTATTATATAACCGGCAGGTTATATAACTCTTAAGACCTAGGGGTTATTATCTATAATAACTATAAGCTAAGTTTAATAATCTTTAAACCTTTTAAAATATATATTATAAGCTAAGAACTAAGACCTTTATTACTTAAGTTATAGGGTATATTAATATAGCTATTTATATTACTAGATTAAGTAATTTAAACTATAAGAAATAAGAGTTCTTAAAGATTATTAATAAATTATTCTATTAATAATTATAGTAAAAAGAATAGTAGTTTTATATACTTAGCTTAGAAAAAGATTTATTAGTAAAATAAAAGATTAACTATTATAATAAAGGGTTTAATTAATATAGAGAAAAATCTATATTAAAGGGTTTTAATAATAAGAGTCTATATAAATAAAAAAATAGTAAAGTATATATTATATTAAAATAGATTATTAGCTTCTAATAAAATAATAATCTAGAACTTATTTATATTTTAAATCTTAAGTATTTCTTAGCTTTATCTTATATAAATTCTAAAAATAGAGAAAGCAGGGTTTAACTAATTACCTTAGTATTATATTTATATTTAGGGCTTTACTATAATTCTATAAGCTTATACTTTAATAAGAAGTTAAAAGTATAATAATATAGCTTTTTATTAAGTAAATTATTATAATAGTTTAAGAAATTAATTCTATAAGTAAAATTAAGATATATATAATATAGCTTAAAGGCTTATTTATTATAGTTAATAATAATAAGTAAATAAATAATTATAGTTAAAACTATTATAATAATTAATAATAGTAAATAAATAATTATAATAAAAACTATTATAATAATTAATAATAGTAAATAAGTAATTAAATAATTATTTAATAATAAAAACTATTATAATAATTAATTAAAAGATAATTATAGACTTTTAGTATTAAAGATTTAAAAAAGTTTAATTTTAAAGATAATAATTTAAATAAATTTAGTTTTAAGGCTAAAAATTAATATTATATTTAAATAATCTATTTTTACTATTTTTATCTAAAAATACTTAATTTTAATATTAAATATTACCTTAATAATATAAGTAATTTAAAATTTAATTAAACTAATATAATTTATAATATTAACTTTACTAGACTTATAAAGATTAGCTCTATAAAATATTATTATATAGTTAAGTAAAGTTAAGTTTTTTCTACTAGTAATTTTAATTATATATATGTTTTTACCTTATAGATAGCTTTCTTAGTTAGTATAAACTGCTTCTAATCCTAGAAGGCGGTGAGTAAAATAAAACGGCAGAATCTAGGAAAAGGGGACGAGCCGTTAGGGAGACCTCTACGAGCCGAGTATTTTACTCACTGCTTCCTTCAGACTGTATATTCGCGGCCACATAGTTTACCATTGACCTAAGACCGAGTTCTGCGGTCGCTTATTTTCAGCACCAGATCAGATATAATCTAGGAGGTATTAGATTTATACGGATGCATTTCTAGAGCAGACGCGACGCTACGCTCGAGATGTTATCTGCAGAGAAAAAGCGTTTGCGAGATAGGCGGGCCCAGCAGACCTTTCGCACCAAGAGAGTACAACAAATGATTAGGCTCAAGGAACAGGTGGCGTATTGCGAACAACATCACGATGACCAAGGCACGCAACAACTTCTTCAGACGATCCAAAGCCTTAGGGAGCAAAATGCAGTTTTAATTCAGCGACAGGAACGGCTACGGTCACTTATCCTAGCATGGGATGACGACTACCCCGTTAATCTTCTTACGCGGAATTTTCCTGGTGTTGGACAGACCAGTCAGGAGGAGGTGATACAAGGAGCCCTGAATTACAGGGAGGAGAACTTACTAAGACCACCGGTCTCAGAGGATACTAATCCTGATTCGATGGGATCTATTAATGTCAATGAACCCTCTGGTCTTCTCAACTCTACACCCATGTCCGCTTCAGCACCACCAGTGGCCCAATCGTCAGTATCTTCCCCGGCGGCTGTCCTTACATCGCCTATGCCGGGCCAGTGTCTACCATGGAAACTTCTCCCACTGAATGACGATGATTTCTCTTCTTCCGAGAGCATCTCCCTCCCTTGGTTCGCTTATCCGCAACGCATCGCTTCATCTGCGGATTCCCCCTTGTCGCCTCTCGACTTTCTCTACGGCACCAGGGAGAATTTCTTATCTGATATGATCCATATGGTCATCCGCAGGCGGCCGTTAAGGGATCCAGAGCGCCTCGCTATTGGCTGGACCGCGTATCATCTCACCAAATGGCTCTTCTCTCCTGGCCCTACCACGTACGCGAGGCTTCCAGAGTTCTCGAGACCAATTCTGGGACAGACGCAGATTCCGCATCCGATGGCTCTGGATTTCATTCCCTGGCCTAGGGTACGCCTGAATCTCATTCAGCGATGGCATGTCTATCGCGAGAGACGCGATGAGCTGTTCGGGATGTTAGCAATCTGTGTCAAGGTCCGCTGGCCATGGGGCGAGAATATCCTCGAAAGGAACGAGCGCAATGAGCTTTGCATCCGACAAAGCTTCTACGACACGTTCATGAGTGAGAGCGGCTGGGGCCTTACTTCGGAATTTATCAATAAGTACCCTGATCTTGTTGCTGGGGCTGACCTTGCATCTATCATTTATGAGGTAATATGAAGAAGAGTTCGCCACAAGAGTTAATTGTCAGAAAGTTTCTTATCACAAATATGCATTATCAGTATAAGTGTCCTATATGCAAGTCTATATTACGGTCTATATTCAGATTATGAGATTTGCTATACATACGACTTCTAACAGGTGGAGACATGCTCTCAGTCATGACCCGGTGAGCGACTCAGCCACCAATGGCTTAACTACGTGAAGCCCACTAACTCATGCTTTTTTCCCATCCAGCTTGACTGGGAACTTCTCTCGAATCGCCTTGCCGTAAAGATTGAAAATTATGGGTGTGGGAACGAAAGCCAATGCTATGAAGCCCAGCAGCGAGTTTCCCCATCCAAGACCTAAGGACTCGAACAATTTGGGGCCAGCAAGTGGCAGCAGAGCACCCACCAACGAACGTGTAGCGGTCAATGTGGCATTTGCAGATGCCGCATATGCAGGGTAACAATCAATGACATATGTCTGAATGGGCAGATAGATACCCATCATGCCAATACCGAAAGGGGCCATTCCGATGATCGGCGCGATCCATTGTACATGCTTCGCGGCTGTCCAGCCGTACCAGAAGAAGCTGATTGGGAGGATGCACGAAAAGAAAATCATAGTGGGAAGACGCATCTCCGGCTCGAATATACCTTTGTTTCGGGCAGTCAACTTCACCACAGCCTTGTCGTTAGTCATGGCAACGGCTGCGAGTCCAATAAAGAATCCGACTCCAATACCCAGGTACGCGAGACCAGAAAGGCCAGTTGAGAAGCCGTATTGTTCTTCGAAGACAGATGTGATGGTTGTGAAGAACAGGTACAAGAGACCATAGACGAGGGACATGTATATGGAGAGAAGCAACACTATGGGCGACTTGCAGAGCAGTAGCATCGGACGCTTAAGTCCCAGCTCCAAGGTTTGAAGAGCGGATACTCCATCATCTTTATCGAGATCATATGCACTGCGGAGATCGGTTCTGTTCAATTGCTTTGCCATTTTTGCCGTCTTCCAACGCATAAGGACGGGAGCATAGGTCTCCCGGTTGAGACATTCGATTCCAAACGCAAAGGCACCACTGATAATCAGTAGGATCCAGAACACCCAGCGCCAGCTGAGATCCTCTCCAACAAAGCCGCCGCAAATCGGCCCGACTACAGGTCCAATCAAGGGACCGACTCCCCAGATCGATGTGGCCATTCCACGTTGTTCGACAGGAAAAAGGTCCGCAATGACACCAGCTCCGAGCGTGATGCACCCGGCGCCACCGATTCCCGCAAAGAAGCGGAACACGACTAGGGACGCAATGTTTGGGGCAAGAGCACATCCGATCTGCCAGACAACGAAAAACCAGTTGGCAGCGCTGAGAACAACCCGACGCCCGTAGATCTCACTTAGGGGAGCTAAGAGTAGGGGACCGAGCTATGACAGACATGTTAGTCAAGTTGATCATCATTTAATAGCCTCGAACAGGGGTCCGCAGAAGGAAACGCACCGCATATCCCAAGAGGTAAATGCTAACACTAAAGGAAAGCAATGTCTCGTTTGTGACGTGGAAATCCTCTGCCATGTAGCTCACTGCCGGGGCAAACATGCTGGATGCCAAAGGAGAGACCAAGGTCATAGCACTGACGAGGCCCAGCAAGCCATACTTTCGGGTCTTAGCAAAGTTCTGAGGGTTGGCAGGGTCATTCTGCCCATCCCATCCTATTATTCCGCATGAAAGGTCTTGTTCTGGGTAAAGCGCCTTCGCTGGGGCGTCACCGACGTCCGTGGTAGAGGAATTGTCCGGGTCGAAGTCTGCACGTGGTAGTTTTTCTTTTCGCTCTGATGGGAGTTCGTTGTTGGCTGCATGCCGTTGCTGCTCGAGGTCTTCCATCGTTCAATTCTGACCTTCTCTGGCCTATGCACGGTATCTTGGGTGTAAGTGGAGGTATGAGTTCAGGTGCAAAATCGTGGCAATGTCTAAAAAAATTTGAGACCTTGTAGTACCAGGGCAATCAAGCCACCCGCCGAAGAAAAGAAGAAATAAGGAGTTGGACGAAACGAGCGTAGGAAGTAGAGGAAGGAAGGAGATCCTCAGAACCGCACGCCATCGGAATAGCAAAGCCGATGGGATGAAATATAAGTCTCGGCATCGGAGACGTCGCATGCAAAACAAGCTTGTTCCGACAACATAACAGCTGTATAAGCGCATAATATATGCTTATGCTGCGTTGATTCCTCCCGAATTTTGTGCCAATAACCGTAATACTCAGATACTTACTCTGCTCGTATCCTGAATTCGGATAAGCAAACGGAAGCGCTGATTCAGTGGCCCACTATTATGCGGTTTTGTCCAATAAGAACGGCATATCAGGGTGATTTTGGCCTCGCTGAGCTCAGCGCTCGCTCCACTTAGATAACTGGCATATGCAATGCATTTCTCTAGATCTAACTATAATCCAGCCTATGCAAATACATATCCTACTCCCGCGATCGTATATGCTAGGATTATACTGCACCCTAAGACTTCCATTCGATAATCGATCACTATTCCGCAGCCGTCCGAATATACAATAAACTTGAATTGGGGCTGGGCAGCAATGGGATTAGGGGGCATTATTTGAGCTTCTATATCTAAAAGAGGCGATTGACCAGAATAGCCTTAGAATATCCTGTCTAAATATTTAGCTAGCCTTGTCTTGCGGACTTGCACATCTTCTACCTCTTTATGGTTCTTTTTATGACGCGGTCATGGGGAAAGACAAGAAGAAGGCCTCACGGTTATTTACGGCCAAGGCCCCCGAGTCTGACTCACAGGACAAGGATAATCAAGGGACTATCCTCGGTCTTGTTGCTAGGCGAAAAATGAACATTCTAATAGAATGCCACTCACCCTTATAGGACCTCGCGGCTGACATCAAACAAATATATATCTTAACCTAGATTACGGTGAAATAGGACTTTCTCAGCCCATAGAGTTGTCGTCTGCCGCAGATCCCAGTTCAAGGTGCAACTTGATCAATTTATCTATAATGTGTAGTAAAACTATTATTCTAAGTTGCTAATCCAAATCTTTGTTAAAAGGTGTTTGCATATTCCCCTAACATTTGCATAATCCGCTCGAAGTTGTCTTTTTTACCGTCTGTTGCATCAACTAACCCAGTAACGTAGTCCTTCCCCTTCACGCCTGTTCTGACAAATCCATCCACATTGGTAAGATCATGATGGAGAAAGCCAAAATAAGGACCAAGCGCAATGACAATAAAAGGCGTTTCACCTTTTTTCCTTCCTCCCATGGCCCTATTAGCTTGCCTCGCAGTATCTGCAATCTTCGCCCAATCACCACCCTCCTTTTTGCCTTCGTATAGCAACACGATCCGATGGTTGTTTTTCCCCAAGCCGTCGACCTTAAGAACCGCAAGGTCGGCATAACCTTCGTCACCGGCACCAGCTGTTGTAACGAAGTGGTATTCGGGGACAACGAGAAACTTCGGAAAGGTGAAAGCGGTGCTAAGGAGGTAGTTCCAGACCCCATTTGTTACGTCTTCAGTTTTCATGAGCCTCAAAGCCCTTTGTGCTGGGGTCTCCGTACTAGTCATGTTCACTAGTGCTCGAGAGCTTTCTTTTGAAGACTGTTGACCTTGGCGAAAGTTATTGTCAAGGGTTTAAAAGGTCGAGGTCTTGAGAGGGGACGAGAAGAATTAAAGGAAGGAGAAGTATCGAGCAAGTTTATTACGGACGCCCAAGGCGAATATGACTCTAGATGACGAACGACAGTAAGTGCGGTTTTCATATGCCTTCTAACAGAGATCCATGGTCCAGATTCGCTCTATGCAGCCACCATCCCTTGTACTACAACCTAATGTCACTCTTTAAACTCTTGCTTCGGTTTCCGAAGACATTGAACGTCTGCAAGATTATACCTGTTATACAGTTAAACAGCGTAATTAGGTTCTACATAACTTTAATCAATGTCTACAACACATTTACACGAGAAACTAGTTCCTTAAGCTTTAAATGCACAAACTGTATGTGGCATTTGCACTAGGTAATACAGTTTGCTAGTTAGTTGCGTCACAATGATAAATACTAACCAAATAAAACCCTTTAAGCTAGAAATACTAGCTAAAGCGAAAGTCAATTCGCCAATAAATAGTATCTGCAGAGCTAGTCCGACTAAGTACAGTATAATTTTACCGCAAGATACAATTAGCTGATAGAAAAACTGCATAAAGGTTTAGCATTTGGTCGTGATAAATATACCATAATTCACTAACTGATGCACTACTAGATCGCATCATTGCCTGATTATAGGATAGCAATAACTACTAAGAAATTCTCTGGTAAAAAGGGGCGGCTAGTAGAGACTACTGAAGGGGGGATTTAGTTAATATATACTTCTTGCTTACTATTCCTATAAATAGCATTATTACAATAAGTCTGTTGATTAAGTGCTATATATCGTTATCTAGAGAAAGCAAATCTTTATCTATCCTCACTGAGCTTCTGCTGAACCATATCTGACAAACTCTGCAGTGTACTTGACGGACTTAGGACCTCTAGGAATGGGATATCGACCTTAAACACGCTGTAAAACCATGATCGGAACTCTGCAGCAATCATGCTGTCCATTCCGTATGAGGTGATCGACTTTGCTGTGTCGATCTTATCTTGTGTTAGCAGGAGCAGGTTGGAGAATCGCTTGCAGACGAGGTGCACTACGCCCTCGTTCAGGGTTGCCATGTTTACAGCCTCAGCACCCATCCCCTTCACAATAGCCGGGGGAAGTTCCTGGGCCCACGCGGCGCCTTGCGCACTCTGCACGGTCTGTTCCTCGCCCTTGGATGGGGATTGCAGTGCACAAGACAGGAGTAAGCACCGGGGATCCTGCATAGTGCCGTTGTTGACGTCGAAGCCCTGGTCAAGCAGTTTACGGATACCATGGGGCTCGAGACCTGTTAGAATATGGGAGATCGCGAGGCGATCGTATTCGAGTCCTGGGACGGGGACCTTCTGCTCCTGAACACGATGCTGAGCAAGTGCAAGATCGAGTACCTGCAGAAATTCGGACTCATTCAGTGGCTGGATACCCTTACGCAACAGAAGAGCTTCAATTTCCGGGTTCTCATGCAGATACCCGACCTCGGAAATCATGCCAAGGCCAATAGACACGATAGGCTTGCCAATGTTCTGTCTATATCTGGAAAAGGCGTCAAGAAAACCGTTCGCAGAACAGTAGTTGCTCTCCGTGGCTGTGCCGACACTGCCGGATACAGAGGATGTGAGGACGAAGAAATCAAGCTGGTCGTCGCGGCCCTCAAGGGCTTCGTGCAAATTCCACGAACCACGCCACTTGGGCTGAATACCCGTATGCCACGCCTTGTGGGACATTCGGGAGAATAGTGCCTCATTCAGACCCATGGCTGCTTGGATAACGCCTCCCACTGGCTTAGGGCAGGCCGTCATAGCAGCCTCAACTGCTTCCCTGTCCACAACATCACCACGCACAACCTGTACGATCGCACCAAGGCCGCGGAGGTTATCAACAAGTTCACGAGCTGCAGGCTTGTCGCATCCGGAGCGGCCTAAGAAGGTGAAATGGCGCGCACCCCGGATAAACATCCAACGACTTAGACTACGGCCCAGGCCTCCCAGGCATCCTACCAGAAGGTAAGACTTGTTCGCGTCAAAGGTGCTGAGATATTTGGCTGGAACAGCTTGGACAACGCTTTGTGGGTTTTCGAGAGATATGACCACTTTGCCGACACGGTTCTTCGTCGAGAAATAACGGTATGCTTGTGTTATCTCGGAGACGTCGAAGGTGGTGATGGGTACCGGCTTGATCTTGCCAGCGCGATACAGTTCGAGCGCCTCTCCAAATTTACTATTTCGCGTTAGCATTAACTAGTCTTAGGCTGTATGGAGAGAGGCATACTTGATCAAGATATCACGATAGAACTTATTTTCGTGGTAGTAGAGTTCGGTCAAGTCGAAAGCAGTGAAGGTGACGTTGCGTAAGAAGACACGCATATCGAGCTTTCCTGCATCAACGATATCCCGCTTACCAACTTCGACGAACCGACCAAAATTGGCACAGCATTGCCACGTTGCATGAAGGAGATCACCTGTCAGCGAATTGACAACGACGTCCACACCACGTCCTTTAGTAGCAGTAAGTACGCCCTGGACGAACGAGTCATCGCGCGAGGCGAATATGTTCTCGCGTGGCACATCCAACTCGTTAACGAGGTAGTCCTTCTTTTCCTCCGTGCTGACTGTGGTGTACACGATAGCGCCGCGCTGCTGGGCAATGGCGATAGCCGCAGAACCGAAGGCTCCAGCACCGGAGTGCACCAGGATTGTCTCGCCGGCTTTAAGGTGCGCACGATCATCAAGAGCATAGAGGGCTGTACTGTAGATTGCAGGCAGGGTTGGCATTACGTCAAATCGCTCGTTCGGCAACATCTTCAGACAAGCCCAAGCAGGCACTCGCTCTGTCGTGCGGAAATGATTAGGGGCTAGTACGACGACGCGGTCTCCAGGAGCCAGATGGATAACATCTTCGGCGACAGCTTGGATAACGCCGCTGAACTCGATGGCAGTGGTGCCCCTTCGAGTCTCGACCTTGCCCGACAACGTGTAGATATCCTTTGCGTTAAGGCTAACGGCCTTGATATCAACGTCGACATAACCTGCGGGGAGAGAGGACTGCGTGAGTGGCTCTGCCTCCTGCTGGAAATAAATGGTATCTGTGATACCGACCCGTTTTATGGCTAGATGCGCGGGTGTCGCATTTTGCAGCGTCATCATCTCAACTTCCTGCCCCTCTCGCTGCTGGAACAGTCCGTTCAGAATAGGATCCGGTACAAATCGGCTGACATGAAGGAGGCTGTCGTGCAAGACGAACTCCTTGTCGCCCACCACATCCTCTTCGAAGCAAGTCTTCTCTACCTGAGTGCACACCGTAGGGTGTGCGTCTTCCTCGGCGCTAAGTGAGCCAATATCCAGCGTGACGAATCGCAGCGCTGGTTGCTCGAGCATCAACGCGCGTGAGAGGCCGTTGGCGAGGGTCAAATCTGGTGACGTGCCATTCAAAGTCGAGGCACCGGACAGCCAGATAAGGGTAATTGCGGTATCAGTGATGCGCCTCAGAAGTTCCATCTCTTCCTGTGTCATAGTGGGTAGGAACGGGGTTTCTATCTCGAGAAGGGAAATAATTATACTCGACTGGCCCCAGACCTTGTTCTCGGGAACGTCATTTAGGCGCATGTACTTCGTTCCTGTAACACCTGGCAACTTGGCCATGTGCTTTTGAAGCGCTATAGCGAGCTTGGAAGGTGTGGTAAGATTCTCGAGCAGAACAATCTCCTTACCGGACAGCTGGCCAGTAGACTGAGGCGCCACAGCAAAAGTCACGCCGGAGAACAGATCAAAGACACTGTATTTGGCCTTCGTAAGGACTTTGGAAGACACGTTATGATCGCGAGAGATAATGACCCCCTGCTCGTTGAGGATATCGGCTAGTTTCTGGGTAAAGAGAGAGATATTTGACTTCTCTTCGTGCGGCAGAAGCAGCACATCATACTTGGCCTTGGTCGCAGCCTCCCAGTCGACCTTGGTAGTGTCATTTGACATGATGGACAACTGTCCATTGTCCAGCAGAACACCAGTATCCCATACTCGCACACGGGGGAAGTCTGTGCTCTTATTAAGCAGATCTAGCCAACTTTTTGTTTTGCAGCTACATCCAGTACCCAGCTCTAGCACGCGAATGTTGGGGTTCTTGTGGCCAACAAGGTCTACCAGGGCCGAAATGACGCCAATCTTGACGTTCTCCGCCAGGGCGGGATGATCCCGCAGGAAGCGCATGATATACTTTTCCAGCGAGGTCTTGTCGGTATTGCTGTTGAGGCGGGCAATATCCGGCTTCCACACAACGCGTAGACACGGATGACGTCCCGTTTCTCCGGACTCGTCTCCTTTCTCCATCTGTCCAGTATACAGAGACAAGCGGACGCCACTCATGCTGATAACAGGAGCACCAGCCTGATCCTTCAGTTCGGCGTTGATAGTCTTGGTGCCAAAGCCAGTACTCTCGGAGATCGAGTGAACCGATGAATCCAGATCCACCGTCTTGGGATTCGGCACAGCGATCTGACAGTGGTCCAAGAAGACAGGTAGGTAAGCCCGTAGACTGTCCAAGTTCCCAGCGGTTCCACCCATGATCGAGGCCTGGAGACAACTGTCGATTGTCAAAGGATGTACAGCGTAATACGTGCCAGGAAACTTGGATTGCGTTGTTCTGGGAACACGCTGCCGTAAGATTGTCGTGGAGAGGGCGGCCGGATTGGCGCGAGCACGGTCAGTCTCCATTGCTATAAGGGATTGGAAGGCCGGACCAAAGTTGAGACCTGCCTCAGCGAGTTTCTTGTACCACGGGCCCATGCTCCATTTCTCATAATTAGATGTGTCTATAGGGGACATTATGCTGCATGTGGTCGCGGTTGACACCTTGATGTTTCCGGTGCAGTGAACAACAGAGGTACCCTCCTGCATCGATGAGACGGAGAACTCATACCATGATTTGGACATCATCGCTTTCGAGATCTTTTCAGGCGCCATGACCGTGAAGAGCTCAGTTTGCTGCTGTTCATCCAACGAGACTGTCAAGGCCGAGGCGATGTTGACGTTGCGGACAGTGAAGCTTGGACGGGTCGTCTGTGACTCTGTGATTCCTTGGATCTGGGAGATAGCTTCGATAGCCATAGCAATATATCCTGCGGCCGGGAAGACGACCTGGCTTTCTAGCTTGTGGTCTTCCAGCCAGGGTATCTCGTTGGGTTTCAAAATGTTACGCCAAACACGGTCGATACCGTTTCCAGCCGCCATCTCCGAGCCCAACAGCTCATGCCGGATGTGGCGACGGCTGCGCAGGTCGCTGCTCAATCTCGACTCCCGCCACAGGAGCTGGGTATAGCTCCAGTGGTATGGTGGTAGATTATGTATCACAGATAACTGTGACTCTGGGACGTCAATACCATTAACGCCTAAGAAGTCCAACTCATGTCCGCTGAGATAGAGGGCTCCAGCAAGAGTCTTGAGGCAGGTATCGGCATCTTTGCCTCTGACTAGAGAGGCGTTGTATGGCAGTTGCTCCTCTGACAACTTCAGGGACGTCCGGATCTGCTTGATGGGAAGCTGTAGAGCTGAGTGAGGACCAATCTCAACCAGATGGTATTTGCCTGTTTCCAGGATGTTCTGCACAGCATCGTTAAATTGGACCGAGTTCTCGAGGTTCTTGCGCCAGTAGTCAGCTTCGAGGGCAGCGGTTGAGTTACCAGAATAGGATCTGGGACCATCACTGCCAACGCTGGAGAAAAGAGAGATAGATCCATCACTAAGCCTGTTACGCTCTAGTTCAACGGTGGGTAGCGAAGGCCAGGCCTTGCGGACGAGCTGCTCGTATTCATCTCCGATCTCCGCCATCATATAGGAGTGATATGCCTTGCCTCCAGTCTGCAGCCTGCGTGCAAACACGCCGGACCGTTCGGCTTCCTTGTGAAGGATGTCGATACCATATATGCTTCCACTCACCGTTACACTTTCGGGAGAGTTGACACAGGCAATGACGACCTTTCCTCCAAGTGAGAGCTCTTCGATAAACTTAGATGCCCGTCCAGGACCGGTTCCGAGAGCCAACATGGCACCTTCGGACGTAGCGTGGCTCACGGCTAGGCCACGATAGTATGCAACGACGATGGCTTGAGCTGCACTGATAAGACCGGCTGCGAAAGCAGCTGCGATCTCACCCGAAGAATGGCCAACAACAACATTGGGGGTGATTCTCCAGGTGCGTAGAATTTCGACAATACCGATTTGGACTGCAGTGCAAAGGGGCTGGGAATACTGAGCTTCGGCAACTTTGCTTGAGGAAGCCGGTTCCATGAGCATGCTTTTGATGGACCAGGTGGGGGCGTCCGGGAGGTTCTGAAGGATGTGATCCAGATAATCGATCGTGACCTTGTAGATGGAGCTCTTCTTGAGTAGCTCCTTGCCCATCTCTGGCCACTGAGCTCCCTGTCCAGTGAAGATGAAACCTAGCTCATACTTGGGAATAGGCCTCTTCGCGGTTACCAATGTCCCTTCGGTGACCAGCTGATTTTTCGCCTCCCTCGGGCTAGCAAGAACGTATCCCTTCTTGGAGAGATTGGAGCGTCGGTTCGCCAAGGTGTAACACAGGTCACGGAAATCGTGTTTGTGAACGCTCAGGCTGGCTCCCAGATCCTTAACACGGGCTTCAAGAGCTTCTGCTGTCGATGCTGATAGTGGGAGCAGATATGTCTTTGTATAGTCCTCCAACCTGTCCTTTGAACTCCTTGCAGCTGTGAATCCGGGCAGTGCAGTCTCCACAGAGTCAATGATGGCATGCGCATTGGCGCCGCCAAAGCCGAAGGAGTTGATACTAGCTCGATGGATAGGTGATGGCCAATTAGTAGCCTTGGTGACAATTTGCATGTTCCACTCATCCAGGTGCACTTTTTAACATTAGAATCTACATACGAACAAGAATTGAAAAGGAAGTATGACTTACGCTTTGGGTTGAGCTTGGTCAATCCTACTGTGGCCGGAATGGACAGCTTTTCAAATGCAAGCACGCATTTGATGATGGCTGTGATCCCACTTGCGGCTTCACTGTGGCCGACATTGGTTTTGTTCTGCTTTCAGTCAGAGAATATCCAATTATTAGAAGAAAGCTTTCCACATACAGCACCAATGAGTAGAGGATAGTGACGATCCGAGCCCTGGAAGACGCGGCTCAGACCTTCGACCTCCATAGGGTCGCCAACAGCCGTTCCGGTACCGTGACATTCCACATAATCGGTATCCCGCACCGTGAGTCCAGCCATGCGATATGCCTTGCGAATAACCTCCTCCTGGCCCGAAACACTAGGCTGCGTTATACCAGATGTCTTTCCGTTTCTGTAATTATATCAATATCAAGCCTATTATGTACGAAGGAGACAGCCTTACGCATTTATAGCGGTGCCCCGGATCACAGCGCGGATCGGGTCGCTATCTTTAATAGCAGCCGACAGCCTCTTGAGATATAACGCACTCACACCCTCAGCACGGCCGTATCCATCGGCACTCGCGTCAAACGTGTGGCATGTCGACGTAGGAGAGAGGACACCTCCCTTCGATGTACCTAGGTGCTGCTCAGGCCCCGTAATCAAGTTGGCACCAGCCACGATGGCACCATCACACTCGCCACTAATCAGAGCGCGCGCTGCATTGTGCAAACAGTAGATCGATGACGAGCAGGCGGTATCCAGGGTATAGCTAGGGCCGCGGAGGTCAAAAATGTAACTGACACGGTTGGAAAGGATAGCCGTGCACGAGCCAGTGGCACTATATCGATGCAGCGACTCAGGGTCGCGAGCCTGCATGGTCTGGAAATCGACAGTGAAGTTGCCGACATACACACCAATATTAGCTCCTGCAATGCCGGAGAGTGTGGCCCCAGAGCTCTCGAAGCATTCGTAGACAACCTCAAGCAGTTTACGCTGCTGAGGATCCATGTAGGTAGCTTCGAGATTGTTGATACCAAAGAAGGAATTCTCAAACTGTCTCGGGTCCTCCTGGAGAAAGTATCCCCCCTCTGTGTTCATCACGCCGGATCGGTCACCCTCTGGATGGAAGAAGCCGTCAACATTGAACCGTTCCTTTGGGACCTTGCATCGTCCGGTTCGCTCGTTCACAAGCATCTCCCAGAAGTCGTCGGGAGAGTTGACTCCACCAGGAAGTCGGCAGGCTTTACCATGTTAGCTGGATAAACGTGAATTCTATAGCAGTGACATACCCATGCCCACGATAACAACGGGATCGTAGTTCAGACCGTCCGTCTGGAGAGTTTTCGACAGAGAGGAGTCGGGAGTCATGGCGTCCCCCAGGGGCATAGCAGCAAAGCCATTAGGCTGCTTGACTGCAATGGGACGGTTAAGCCGTTCAAGTGGGCTACTCTCGGTCACTCCAATTGATCCCATGGTGAGTTTCGTGGTTTCAGATCTAAGACAGTGATGGACAATAAGAAGCCGAAGGCTAGTGTAGCAAAAGATCAAGTAGAGAACGTAGAGAGCTTTGTATAATCTAAATGATATATTGCCCCGGAGCACTCTGATAAATTATTCCATGAACTAAACTTAAAGGCTCTGATGGAGAGTTTATAGGTTATCCGAGCCCTTGAAAAATTGGTTTCGAGAATCCCACAACAGCTACACAGTATTATTTTTTTTTCTTTCTTTTTTTTTCGGGGAGGCTTATAGTAACGCATCTGCGTATTCAGACGCAACGCCACTGCAGAGGAAAACTAGAAATTTTCCACAATGTCATCTGGGAGGCGGCAGGGATCGGCATCTGACATGACAGGCCTGACAGTCAAAGTGTCAGATAGCTCGAGACAGTCTTACTATATTGTCATGTCAGAATACTGCCCGCTAACTCTTCACATGCTTATAGTTATTTCCAGCCAATGAAAACAATTCACTAAGTCTTATTTGCTCATTCTCTTTATGCGATGTTTCTTGGTGGTCAGTAGCTAGTCATAAACTCAGCCCAGCCGCATGCTTACGAATTTGTGATGAGATTCGGTTCATTCGCCCTGGCTTTTCTGTTCAATGATTAAAAAATTACAAAAGTAACAAATAAGCAAGTAACACGCAAATGTATAACTTTTCTCTATACGTTTGCAGATAATGGCTAAAACATCGAAAATAGTTCTGATCACCGGGTAGGACCAACCTTGGACAATTGTTATTTCTCAGATTTCTCATGCTCACCACTACCTAGCTGTGGAGAAGGGGGTATTGGCGAGGCTCTGGCGCTGGAATACTGTGCAAAAGGTATTTTCCCTATGGAATATTGACCATGACAAATGCGTTAAAGGGTGCAACCTCACAAATTCCAGGATGCAAGGTCCTCACTACCGTTCTTCCATGGGAACGCAAAGAACATCTGACGTCCAAGGGCATCTCTTGCTACACGCTCGACATCACCCAGGATGAATCGGTTCGAGAACTTGCAAAGACTATTCAAAAGGATTTCGGGAACTCTCTCGATATACTAGTCAATAACGCGTACGTGATCCTGGTCTCCATCAAGTGAAAAGGCCCATCTAATATCTTCCCAGAGGAATATGTAAGGCTATCCGCCTTTAATGTGGAACGTGCTTATCCGCTTCCTAGGTTACACTATGACAGCGATTGATACCGATGTCGAAGAAGTCCAGAAAATGTTTGATGTTAATCTTTTTGGCCATATGAGAATGGTCCGTGAATTTCATCCGCTCCTGATCCGTGCTCAGGGGTGCATTGTCAACATTGGCTCCGTCGGAGGAATTGTGCCTTATATGTATGGATGTAAGTCCCTTCAACTGACCCGTTGTCGTCGACGAAGCCTCACATTTGTAGCATCTTATAATGCAAGCAAAGCAGCTCTACATCACTGGGGAAATACACTCAGAGTTGAAATGAGCCCGCTTGGGTTAGTATCTAGTTTCTATTGACTGCTATCATGCTGACGAAACCAGGGTTCGAGTTCTGAATGTGAGGGAATCGACAAGTTCATCTTCGGGCTCCTAAGTTTAACAGAGACCGCAGATCATTTCAGGTAACATTGGAACGAAGATACTGCGACGTGACGCGTCACGGACCCTGCCAACGGGATCGTTTTACTCAAAACTCAAGGAAGAGTTTGAAGCCCATGTTCAGCGCACTCCGCGTAAGAAATATCCTCACGCTTCTTATATGCCTTACTGAAACTCACCAAGATACGACTGACCGCCACATATACGCGAAAAAGGTTGTTCCACAGTCCCTCAGAGCATACCCTCCAGCCTGGTACTGGGTGGGAAGCACCTCTGGAATCGTGTGGTTCATGGATATCTTTGGTTTTCGTACCGCATGGGTGAGTAGTCAGTCCTCATTCGAATATGGCTCCCTAATTGGATCTAGGATTATATTCAATGGCCTGTCTTTGGCTTGGGAAAGCTGCAGAGAGAGACAAGAATGTGGCTGCAATCAGTGGTGGCTCAATAGATCGGCTCTATGTACCAATCTTCTAGTTCTGTAGACGATAGGATATTTCAAGAGGTAAACGTTCTTGATCAGGGATCTGTGTAGTTATATGTGTAGCTATCTGGCTCAAGGTATAGAAACCAAGACTATGCGCCGCACTATGGCAGGGAGAACTCCTACAGGACTCCCTAGATGGACTGATGCCTCGAACATATATGCGTGTAGTTCCTACGAATCAACATTTGCAACCCTTGAGGATTTGTGCACATATGCATGAATAAATTCGAAATTTGGTGGCCTTATTAAATTTATTGTTGAATTGCAAGAGTCTTGTAGTACTGCACCGGATGTCTTCATAATATCCTGATCTTGAAAAGCAAGTTGTGTTTAAGCTATAAACCTACGATCATTCATTGGAGGTGACATCTTATTGTGCACAGATATCAAAGAAAGTGTGTATATTCTTGCTTAATTATACCATGTCTGGTCAAGGCTGAGTTGGGTCAGACTTATTCAAGCGCCTCTGCCTTCATACTCCTTCTCAAGCTCCCCAAGATATCCCTCGACCTTTTCTCCATTGACAACAAGCTCTTTGCAGTCCAAGAGAATATACATCATACGACCAGGCTCTGTACCATTCCCAGTAATATTCTTCCACTTGTGGGCTGTCGCACGCTGGACACTGAGATCTCCCCTCTTCATGATACGCGATTCCCCTGAGTCAAGAGTGAGCTCAAATTCACCCTCCAGCACAATACCGTAGTCAATAGAGAGCGCTCTGTGCATGGGAGACTCCACACCAGGTCCAAAGTCGATCATCCGTACCAAGGTACCATTGTGGATATGTAGACCGGGCTGACACTTTAGTCATGTTTCGCAATATATCTAGGATCTTGGCGATAACATACTTCATTTTCCCGGGCGTATTTGATATCTCTCTCATCGTTGAGGTCGACTGGATTCTCGAATGTGGAATACAAGATGTTGGCAACAGCCTGGTTTTGGCCCATGACTCGGTGGTGGTCACCAGTGTCTGTCACAAGGAAATGACCCTTTCCGTCCTTGTTGTAGCCGGTTATGTGGCGCTGGATGGGACGGAGACCAGGGGCTGGGAAGCCGTCGGTGATGAAGTCGATTCCGGCGGTGGTGGCCATCTTTGTACCGTGACTCTTGCTAAGCTGCGAAGTTCTGGTATGTGTATAGTCAGCTTTATGGTACATGACAGTGTACTAGAACCCTTCAATATATATGTTGGGAATGTCGCACTTTCTGAGATGCAGTCTGACAGCTTGACCACATAGCCAAGCCCGGTTAATTTGAGCTGACCTGACATGCTCGCTGTGCAGCCTGACAAGTATGACAGGCTGCGTAGACTTTTGTGGCCCAAAGTCGAAGTAAGCACCGCAGGCTGACTCGGAAGCCTTGCTCCTGTTGCTCCTGTTGGTATTGTACTATCCTTTGTCCGGACCTGAGTCTAAGAGGGATCTAAATTGTCGGCCACGGTTCGTGTCTATCTATCATCCATATGGTCAGGAATGATAGCCAACAAGTGGAATTACGGTCTAGAATTAGCTCTTCAGAAAACTTGAATATGCCACAGTAGACTACGATTCAACTTCTCCTGTCAAATATTGCCACCGAGTGTCTTACACATGAGCCGTCAAAGTAGTTCCACCATCCACAATCCAATTGCTTCCGGTGACATAGCTCGCTTTCGGGCTGCTTAAGAATAGGATTATATCTGCTATCTCATCCACGTGCGCAATGCGTCCCATTGGCACTGCATCCGCCATCAATCTCTCCAAATCAGGAATTCCTTCGATTGCTCGGTCGACCATCGGGGTTCCAACCCACGAAGGACTAATGCAATTGACTCTGATTCCGTAGCGAGCGTTATCGAGAGCTGGACTCATATTAGGCTCATATACATGCTCTTTAATTGGTATATGTGACTTGACATACCCGCATTCCGAGTCAAACCTAAAACCGCATGTTTAGAGGTCGTATACTGGGTGAGTAGCGGTGTTGCGACAAAGGACGCGCACGAAGCCAGGTTGATGATGACACCGCGCCAGGACCCTCGTTCTGGATTCTGTTCGTTAACGAGGGTCGGATTCTGGTCCTTCATCACTTTAGAGACGGCTCTCGTGACCAGAAAGGTTCCCATGACGTTGACATTGAGAAAACGAGCAAATTCCGAAACAGACGCATCTGCGATTTCTGCTGGATCTTGCACACCGATCTAAAAGATGAAAGGGTGAGATCCAGAATGAACAAGATGAAGCAGAAGGAACCTACTCCTGCAGAATTAACGGCATAGTTGATTTGACCAAATTCCTGGATTGTCGCCGCGACGGTCGAGTCTACCTGCGTCTCGCTTGTTACATCTGCAGATAGCGCCAGAGCCTTGTACTTCGGATGAGTGGCCAGCTCACGGCTTTCAGCCGCAGCCTCTTCGGCGAAACGCAGGTTAAGATCCACGAAGACAACTCCAGCAGCGCCCTCCTTTGCGAATGCAAGAGCACATGCTTTTCCAATACCGCTCCCTGCAGCAGCGAATGAGTTTATAGGACAAAGATTGAAAACAGAGAGAGGGGGAGAGAGAAAAGACATCAGAGTAACAATGGTACCTACCTGCGCCGGTTACCAGAGCGTATCCGTCGATATTCATTGTGTTAACAATACTTGAGAAGGCAAGCTGTAGCAAACAGATCCAGTGAATTGAGAAGCATAATATACAGATATGGCACTTAAGCCCTTCATCTCGAAATATAGTATCCAGGCACTACTGGGATCCAGCAGTGGCAAACAACACTGGGGCTCTCTCTATTCTGTATTCTTGGCCTGCGGTCAGCGTCAGACGCGGTGATTATCCCGCTAATCTGACACGGAACTATGCCGCTGTGTAATCTGACAGGGGATTATATTTCTCGCACGAGGCAGCCAAATATAAAACTTCTATAGAGCGGTGTCATATCTGACATTATGCTTTTTATAAGGCTCTAATTACTGATTCATAGTCTTGTGTACCAGGTTTGCACGCAGTAGGGTTTCGCGTTTCCATAATATTATGTATCGTCTCGCTAGTGCTTGGCGATAATTCTAAATGTGTCTCGCCGCGAGCTCGAAGTCTAGACGAAATTTGCAATTTCGGAAGAATCTGAGAAGCCCATCAAATTTTATTCAGTTCTGTATTTCTATATTGGTTAAATAAAGGGCATAGGACATACAATGCTGACCTAACTAAGTATTGACGCATTCCTCTAACTGATGAGCTTCGTTCACTCATGCTCATTCGCATTCCCAATATACACCACAATCACTCGCTGCTGGTCCTCCGAATTCTCATCCAGATAATACCGTGTATCTGTTGTCAGCGGTGGCGACGGTGGACCCACTCTAGCACTAGAGAGCCTCGGGAAACCCCTGCGATCCGTCTGCGAGGGAACTCCCAACTTGATCGTCACATTAGATTGTCGAGCTAGTTCGGACAACGCCGGGCTTTCCTGGATTATCCGGTGTAGCTGATTGAGATCCTCTCGATTGTGGTACACATGGCAACCGCAGTTCATACAGGCTCTGCTCTCGATACTTGCTGGGTGTAGAGTACTATGCGGGGTTGTCTGATGGACTTTGGGAACTGTGCGCGTGGAATTAGGGTTGGTTGAGTGACGGGACGAACACCAGTTCCCTAGCTCGCAGAATGAGCGACACTGGCCTTGCGGTGCCCGCCAGGGATCGGCGGGAACTTGACTAGGAGGGGTATATGACCCTGATGAGTGAAAGAAGTCAGGGCCATTATTATTATTGTGTTTCGATCCGTGGAGGATGGCCCCCACGGAGCTGGAATCATGTGACAGGATACTTACCTTGGTCGATGCCAACGACAGATCCCATGCTGGACTTTACATTTTCGGAGTCGAACAGGAAGGGAATCGGTGAGGATACTGGTCCGGACAGGTGACAGTCCATGGGGACGTAGTCCTGGCTGGGCAGTGCCGTGCTCGTTTCGTCCCCAGGCATGCGAGGTGAAATCGTCTCCGGATAGGTAGCTCCATCTAGTAGGTCATCGATGGAGAGTTGTGGGTCAAATTCGGGCAAGTTCAGCTCCTTGTTGGAATCCAAGGTGGACGTCTGACTGTCGGACGCGTCGTGTGCATCAGGTTGCGTCAAACACCGAGATGTATATTTCCTATTCGTAACAGTTGCAGCAACGCCTCTGGGAATAGCCGCCACTTCGTTGGCACCGCTGTCCACAGTCGCTGTCGGATCTGAAGCCGCTGCAGAGCCTAATTCCAGATGAACAGACTGGTTCTGAAGGCGTTTTCGTTCGCCTGTGTGAATTGACTCCCGTCAGCTCACTAGAAACAGCTTCGATTGTAAGGAGAGATATCCTCACGGTGTCTGCGCTGAGACATGCGATTCTGGATTCGCTTTCGAAGTCCTGGCTCGGCGACCTGGATCCAGTCCTCCCATTCTACCTGTTCACTTCTTGATGGTGTCATTAGAAATCTCATACGAAAAATAGCACAATACGCAGAAGCACGTTCTAAGGGTCGGTCCAGATGAGAAGCTCCGGCCTGATAACGAGATAGCCAAGAATCTAGTCGCAGACCTTCTAATATATTTTCTCTACAAGAACCTCTGTCAAGTCAGCTGGAAAGGATGTTATATATGTCGATGCATTTACAATCAATTCATAATAAGCAGCACGGCCATATATGGCGTGATGTTGACGATAAGATCGAAGACGGCTCGGGAAAGTCGACAGAAATGAAACCCCTGGCGCCGTTCCCTCGGTGCTGTAACCTCGTATCTGTCCCCCAAATGGAATGGGAAGGGGGCTGGCTGTGAGGGAGAAGGGGCTGGCTGTGAAGGAGAATGATACAATCGCATTACAATGTTCGGCCTCGTTGCTCTGACTGCATACCAGAGCTAGTCGAGAACTATGAGGGCTGAGATTCATGCATGGTTTGTCACTGTTCAGGCTTGTGGACAAGGAATCTAGAGATACTATCGATATAAGCTGAGGAAGGACCGGACACACCAGTAGAGTGTTCTTACTATCAAAACAAATGCTATGCCTAACTTGGTACAAGCAGCGGGTGACATCCTGGCAGATCCGCGTACTGATGAGTATTATACGGTAGAAGTGTGCTATTATGCGCACTTCGGAATTCGTTCACCTATTGAATACAAAGATAGGCATCTACGTACTGGTTCTCGGAGAAAGGTAATCGAGTATATGCATTTTGGCTTACCAAGAATGTAAGAAATGAAGATTAGGTGAGCACTATCTTCTCCATTGCTAAGGACAGCACGCATGCATATAATTACATGACGGACCAATCACTTAAGCCATGTCCTGACTCGCGACTACCTGAGAGATGCGGATCTCCACGAAGATCTTGTTATCTTCGAGTCTCATGCGAGACGTTTGATACGCCAAAATACGCAAAATTTCTCCATACGCGGTGCTATTGACAGGATTAGTCCTTCAGTTTCCCGTTTAGTTGCCGCTCTTATCTATCCTTACCGTGCAATCCCCTTGGCGTTCATACGCACATGTTATTTGTCAGGATCGAAATAGAGCCAGTCTCCTGCAAATACAACATCCGTGTTGACGGTGGGAGAGAGGCCAGGGACGGTAGATATGGTATGTACCTCCAGATGTTGTCTGGTGTCCGGCGGTCAGCCCATTCCGATTGCAAACTAAAGCCAGTCATTAGAAAGAGAAAGAAGTGTGCGGTGTCTCCTGTAGACATTATCACCCCAAACTCGCTCAAAAAGCCTTAATGACCAAAGGCCAATGAGGTTGACACACAGTCACTCACATAGTGAATAAATTCGGATCCAGAATTAACCTCGCCCATTCCATGATGAAGAAGCAAAATGCGCCAGCCATAGTCAGCCGCATAATTTCTTTTTTCTATATAAACCACTGGGAAATAGGACCCGCACCGACGGGCTGGCCTCTACCTGCAACTAGCTAATGGTCCCAAGAATTAACTCACGTAGCGAATCTCGGACGGCCCAAGCAGCTGTGGCGTGCAGCTTGAGGATAAGCGGGTCTGAGGGAGGGGAACCCAGTCTGGACGTGTTCCATCGTGGGATTATGGCGTTTAATCCGATGCGAAGGGGAAGATGAGACTGATTGTCAATTGCCAGGTGGGCTGGAGAACCAAGGCTGGGCAAGTTCCAATATTGAGATACTGTATCTAACCCTCTTTTATAATTCATATAATCGTTTTGCTGCAGCACTTTTGGGGGGGGGATTCCACCACTCAGACCTACGTCAAATGTTGGAGCTGCATGCTACGTCCTTTGTAGCTGCTGTCATAATAATGATCTGACTGTCAGCCGTAACTATGTCTAAGGGTGACCTGAGTTCCTCTAAACCGATTGCACTGTCAGACGGCCCGTAGTGGCCGGATGACCCGACTTGCAATTTCCAGCAGCATCCTGCTGAACCTTATGCACAGGTGTGTCGATTCCGCTTTATGCGATCTAGTAAGCCAACCCTTCTCGAAGTCAAAAGCATAGTTCGTAAATTAATTGATTTGACTGCCCCACCCGTTCCTCTATCTGCTATACTTGGGGCTTATGTCTGTGCTGCGCAGTTTATTATAAACTTTTTAGTGCTTACCACAAGAGACTTTCCTTCTCTATGACTCAGTTCTAACAGCCGCTAACTCTAAGGCCACAGTTTATACATCTTCGCGGGGTTAGATCTGCTTACCCTGCGAGATAAGCAGATCTAGCAAGGATATGCCGTAGCCACGTAGAAATGAACGAATGGTGCTAGAGTATGCATGTATATCGACATTTCAGGTGGCCTGGGTTTTCTTTTAGTTACCTAGTTAGGCTAGGTCGGCGTGTATCCCTTCGCGGAAGGCATTACCAGCTGCCTAAGTAATCTGTGCCATTTTACAGGCTTAACAGCGTCGCTGTACGACCTGATCTCAGGAAGCAACGCTAAATATGTTCGTAAAAAGCCAGGTTCACAGGAAAGTGAGAGTGGTCTGTTTGGCATCAACCCACATAATATTGTCTAACCTTTTACCTGAAACGAAAATATTCGTTGACTAGTGAGGACGGGCAATCGCTTTCCACATTATATTCTCACTGGTGGTTTAAACCCTACATTTCTATAGCTGGTTGCATTCACATGTGAAATTTGGCGATCCTTAAGAGGTGATATTGTGTGATCGCTCCTTGATTTTGATCCAAAAGTCATGGTGTACCAGCAATGCCAGATTCTCCTGCCTCCACACGGGCCGGGAGCCGTTGTTAATCGTGGGATAGAACAGACGGAAGAACTACCAGGAAAGCAGGCAAATTCAGCAATCTCATAATGGCAATAGTCGGGGACCCGGACAGCACACACGGTTTACGAGGGAGTAAGATAGCCGTGCGAAACAAAAAAGGTGTGGCTACATACCTGGATCAACAACTTGTACGTCTCCAATAGGGCAATATTTTTTCCCAGGCAGATTCGTGTGCCATATCCCCACGTCAGGATGTACTTGTCCATGAATGCGGCACGATCCCGATCCAACCACCGTTCGGGACGAAATTTATCAGCGTCGTCGCCAAAGACTCGAGGATTACGGTGAATCACGTACGGATTGGCACCAATCTCGGTCCCCGGGGGTATGAACCTGTTGTTGAGAGTATAGCCATCTTTAGAGACGTACCTAGGTATAATCATGGGGGTAGACGGTTGATACCGCATTGTCTCCTTATAGCATGCAGTGAAGTAGGGCATTTCTTTGATCTGAATGACGTGAGCACTACCTCCTATATTGTAAAAACAGGGCAAAATGCCCACCTGATCGTATAAAGGAACTGGATGTCTGAGCAGTCCACGGCGATCAAAGTCGTCAATTTCCGCCGCGAGTTTGTCATAGACACCAGGAGTCTCGAGAACATAACGCAGAAACCCACAAAAAAATGCCGCTGTGGTATCCGACGCCGCCACCATGAGAACAAAGCATTCTGTCTTCACTTCCTCGATGGTGATCGGGGTGCCATCTGCATTTTTCGCGTTAAGAATATTGTCGAGAAAGTCACCTCTCTGGGACGCTTTAGGGTTGTTTAAGCGCTCAGCCAGGAGGTTATCACGGAACTGGGAGAAAATTAGTTATATCGTCCGCATTTTTCAATATATTGAAGTTCCACCAAGTCATACCGCCATAATTTTCCCAGTTCCCGAGTTGTCACCGGGCTTCGGCATAAGATAGCGCCGGGTGATGAAGTTTTCGAGAAACGGTCTCACTAGCCACGGCAGTGCTCCTACCACTGCCGCGAACGGGGCCATATCGTGGAAGTTTTCGATTAGATTTTCGACGTCGCGTCCTTGAGTGATGAATCCTATGGGTTCTCCGAAAGAAAGCTGGCAAATCATGTCGTACGCAAACCATCTGCAGGAATACATTCTGTCAGTCCAAAGTGTCTATACAGATTCTCTTTCGGGAAAGAACAGTCCATTTGGGAGCCACAGCCACGGAAGACTTACTGCGACCATGCAGCGAAGTCCATTTCCTTTCCGGTCTCGGCGAACTTGTCCTTTAGTACAGTGGTCCATTGCATGATCCGGTCATCAACCTGACCCTCGAGGGATTTGAGGTTGGTCAAGGTGAACTACAACATCAGTGACTAAGTCAGTATGCTAGCGCTTCTCACGGCTAATAAACAGAGCCTACTCACAGAAGCAGCAACACGCTTCCGTTTGGCAGCATGTTCATCATGCTTGAGTGTCTGGAATGGCGGTGCCACCTCTCCTAGGACTCCGACAGTGTAGACATCGGTCTTATCCACATGGCGGTGGTAGATTGTTGGGAGCCAAGAGGGATCATTGACAGCCAACAGGTTAGGTGCTGCACGAACTATGGGTCCGTATTTCTCATGGTATTTCAGCCCCAGAATATGAGCTTGCTTTGTATGCAAGATCCAAAGCTTGAAGAAATCCGAAACGGATGCCCAGAAAGGGCCAGGAAAGTCACGAAGGGGGTGGAAATATCGATTGTATATCCCACGATATAGAGCATAGGAGAATATTAATCCGAGAGATAAGACCACGATTCCTACAAGGTCCATTGTCAGAAAATAAACTGTCTTGAAGTTGCCGCAAACCGAGACGTGAATAGTGCCTAATGGACTATGAAATACGGTATCCTTCAGTGCTGCTGGACTGACACTTATCTACCGCGAGTATGGTCTGGACGTCATAAGGAAAGTAGTTCACCCTCTCAAGCTTACGGTCTATTTGGCCTACACTTCTTCCCAGCTGACAGTGTCTGACCTGACATGCATAACAATGCAAGCCACCAAGTTCGAGAGTTGCCGTACCTCCGGAACTCGACGCGATCTGACAGCACGTGGAGACGGATCTGGATAAACCAGTCAAAAAAAAAAAGTTGAAAAAGGCAAAAGAAAATTGGGCTGAATCCAGACTGAGATTCGTGCGAATGTTCCGGATTAGACGAGAGCTCAACGAGCAACCAGTATGCTCAAAGTCTTATTAATCTACACATAGCCGCATGATAACGAGAGAAGACGCTTGTATGATCAGATGACGCGGAGAGCAATCCATCATCCGACACTTCGGCATCGGCAGCAGAAACAATGTCTTAGCAGAAATCGATGTTCATTCCCAGCAAAGGTTCAAGGAAAAAATGGCAGTAGGCAATCAGAGTGAGGATTTTGCGCGAATCTCCAGAAACAATTGCCATACATTATCTGGGCTGTTGCCTTGTAATCGCAGGCAGATACCGTCCAGTAACTGGGATACGCGAGTCTCGAAAAACCACAAGGGCTTCAAAGTCTGTAGAAGCAGAAAGTAATACGCCAGGAGCAGCAGTGCCCCTGGATGGTTTGCCTGGAGTAGATCTAAATATTCAGAGGGCACACGCAAGGGCCATGCATTAAGGGCATCCCAGACGGTGAACGCTGCCCCCCGTTGACGGGCAAATTCGAATGCCTCTACCAAAAGAATAGCCGCGCTACGATAGACACTTTCCGACCAAAAGCCCATTGTGGATGGTCCGTCGGGCAAGACGGAAAACAGGGAGTTGAGCAACGGATCGGTATCCAAGTCTATCGAGACACAGAGGTCGTCCCGCCAGAGCTTGCTCAGTGGGGCCAGCGGTCCCTCACTAATCTTGGACCAAACGGGAGAGAGCATCGAACATCCAGCACGAAGGAGATGGATCGTGTGTGAATCGTTACCCGTGCCACTTGGAAAGAGGAACAGATTCCCTCCCTCTCCCTCCTCCGTCCCCAGCGAGCAGACCACTAGCATAAAGGCGAAGGCGAGAATCGATTCACCATTATCATCATTCACATGCATGATTGTCGATCGAAATTCCGGTATGGCAAGTTCCTGATGATGCAGTGCGTCAATGACATATCGCGGCCGATTCGACGGATCTCCGTACGCCAGGTGTAGAGCTGAACATGCTAAGATACCGTGCATCAAGAAAGGGAACCCGGCCGCCAGTCGTGGAACAATTTCTTTGAACACCCGCTGCACCGCAGGGTCGCTAGAAAAAGTGAGGTATGTAAAGTTCACGTAGTGATGGAAGAGATTGGAATCGCTTCTGCTGAGGGCAACAGGGCTTAAAGGAGTCATAAACATTGTGGGTTCGCTCGCTGGAGTCGACAGAGCGCGCTATATGTAGAACTCGTCGGATTAGCAGAAAGGCCTTCTGCCTACCTTGATCCCTCCCGCCAGAATTCACTTACTGTGCTCCAGAGGTCAGTATCACTGCTATTCCCGCTCCCACTCGCACTGGGTTGATCCGCAGGAGGCATGGCGGATGATCGATTCGTAAAGTATCTGAGGGCATTGCCTTTGAAGAAGGTCTGTAATTTCACGGGATGCCAGTCCAAGCCCTCCCGACCCGCGATCTGGTGCACTGATAAGCAGTGGTGTCTCATCCGTTTGGTAGTCACACAGAGATGTTCGCAGCCTGGAAATCGACATGACAATCCATTCAGGACCGGCAAGAATGGCACCGGAAAATGGGATTCATCGGGAGGAACCACGTCCTGGGGACCTGCGATCGCGAACTTGGAGGCATACTCCATGAAAGGTTTGCGCTGGGCATGGTTCAGATGATGGATTTCCTTCAGATGACGCATGACCGCGCTCGGCTGGACCGCATGTTGACATGGCAGACAGATCAAGACACGGTGGAGAGGGAGATAGCGGAACAGGTTGTCGGGAGCAAGATCGGGATGTTCATCCATGATGGACGGCGACCCATTGTACAAGCAACAGCTTGAAGAAGAGTGTGGTATTCTTTTAGAAACCTAGCTTCGCTTGGAGGGGGGACTCATAGCTCGATGGCGGTAATACAGAATGCTGATGCTGATGCTGATGCTGACGAGTGCACAGACGGGGCGGGAACTGTCGGTGGGAGTGGAGATGGAGATCTACACTACGGAGAGGTACTTAGATAAGGGACCAGACTAACTAGATATAGTAAGGAGAAGTTAACTCCAAGGACTTGATTCCGGCTTACTAACAACGGGACAAACGCCCATGGGACTAATTAAAGAATTAAAACTAACGCATCCAGACTCAGGTATTAGAGCAGAGCGATTGACATAGAGAAACAACGACAGCAGGAGCCAGCGGAAGCATACGAACAAGGGAACCGAGAATCAAGAGAACATGTTCCTCCACCAGTAAATCAGGAATGGCTTTTCCATCACGACACACTCAGATCTCGCTCAAAAGCTTCGTCGTGTCCACCACCTTGCTCAGTTCCGTCACTGTTTCGTCCCACACCTTGCGCTGCGTGATCCGGCCCGAGTCGCTGTCGCCGTATCCTGCGAATGGAGCCTGTCTGTTGTCACTCAAGTACTTCCCGTTGCTCTCAGGCCCAGCCACGACAGCGGCGTGAACCAGCGTACGAGCACCCATCGAGACGGGCCGTCCGACCACGCGCTTGACACCACCCAGAGCCTTGCCTAACACCCCTTCCGCGCCGCGATGGAGCTCCGAGCCATAGCAGAAACCAGGGTTCACCAAGTTGAGGACCGCTCCCGATGACTGCTGCGTAGGAGACCGGTGATGGCGCATTAGCTCAAGGAAGAAAAGCTGGTAGAGAAGCTTAGACGTGTAATAACGATCGCCCATATCGAAGTATTCCTCAGTATTCAGTGTCTGCAAGAGCGTCATATGCTGTTTAGTCGCGATCTGAGCCTCCTTGAATTTCGCCCACGCCGCAGTCTCGCTACCCACGATGGAGATGATGGGACGCGGACGGCCGATGTGCGCGGCGGCCTGGTTGTCCAACACGGGGAGAAGCAGCAGCGTCATCAGGGCCGTGCTCAGCCAGTTAACCTGAATGCTGTTCTCATTGCCAGTGGACGCGTTCAGTCCGAACTCGAAGCTGGCTACTCCCGCGTTCAGGATGGCAAAGTCCAGGATGATCCCGGATTGCTTCAGACGGTCCACAAATGAGATGATGCTGCTGTAATCTGCCAAATCGAGCTCCCAGACCTCTACCACAGGGGGCTTGCTCGACTTAGGCAAAGAGTCGAGAAGTCGCTTGCGCGCTTCTTCTCCTTTGGACACGTTTCGCACCGCCATAATGAGCCGCGTGAGGCCCAAGGAGAGCAGCTGGGAGGCGGCGTGGTATCCCAACCCGGTGTTGGACCCAGTGATCAGGCCGGCCCGTCCATATAGACTCACAGAGGATGGGGCCTTGGAGGGACAGATGAAGAATTGGCGATAGAGGAAGCCCGGATAAGTGTTGTAGAAATGCATCTTCGGTTGTTCGCCTTGGGAGACGAGAGTGGTAGCTGACAGGAGAAGATAGAGGATTTTGACAGACAGGATAGGAATTGAAGGAAACGGTTACCTTCTTATTGTGCTATTACCACTGCTGCCCGGGCACTGAGCGTTGTGGCGAAAGAGAATGGCAGCTACACTTTCCGTTCAGGAGTTAAGTCATGGCCATCCGTCACACCATGAATGTGCTGTTACCCTGACGGCTGTTGCAGTAATAATTAGCAATAATATTGAAGGAGCGACGGTTGCGTTCCGGAACCAGATGAGGTGAATTGTATGTAGATGTAGACTATGTACTACTAAAATCACTCCACCGCCGGTGCCGTTCCGACGGTGCTGTCCCCGCTGCTGATTGGCTAATTCGGATTTATGCTGCTGCGGGAGGATTATCTCCGAATGGCAGCCTGAACTCTAAAATGCGCCTAGAAGAACGACGGTGCCGTTCCCCCCGCACTTGGCAGAGCTGTCAATTACTACAATGCAGTCATAGTACTCTTACACTCTGTGGCACATCCATCTTAAAAAGATATAGTGGGCCGCTTGGGCTGCTAGGCAGCTTTAATTTAAAGATTGATTTTATGTTCAGGTCATAAGCAGGTTATCCCAATTAAAGGACTCTAGTAGCATAGTTAGTCTCAAGAGATTACCTATCAATAGGAATCGAATACAGTAAAGGCGGTCGTAACTAATATGAATATTTTATTCAGCCAACCATTAATATTTCACAATTTAATGCTACCTCATACTAACAAAATACCAGACGAAAACCAATAAAAAGGCAACAATTCGAGTCTACAATGAATATATATATATACGAAGCTATTAAATAAATTTATCTATATAATGGTTCTAGGCTACATATTCCCACATATGGGGTAATGATAGACAAGCAAAACAGAAGATTAACGTAGAAGCCAAAGGATAGAAGAGGCTTGGCACCAGAGAGGCAGATCCAAGAACTCTCCAGTTGGGCTGTATACACTACTGCACCAAAGGGTTATTAAACCGGAAGAGGTTCTTGGGGTCCCATGTCTCTTTCAGGCGAAGCAGCCGTGGAAGTTTTTCCGCGCCATACATGTCCGATAGACTCTCAGTTCCATGCGCATAGCTCACGTAGACATGGAAATCGTCGAATCCACTCGTTGCGTTGAAGGCCTTCACTGCCTGGTTCGCGAACTCGTTCACGCCCTCCTCTGCGGAAAGATCGGTCAGGTTGAACGAGAACATCCTGATATTCGAGTTAGAAAATATATATATCAATACTTCACTCTTTGCCGCCCGATAGGAAGCTGCAAAGGGAGGGGGTTCTTACTCTTGAGCTCGAATCGCGCGGTGAGGATATGCAGTCAAGAAGTCGGGGACAGCCTCGATTGCCTGTATGGGGAAGAACTCTATTTCCCAGGCACTTCCTGATGCAGATGGGTAATTCTCATAGAAGGCGGTTAGATTGTTGAAATAGTCGAGGTGTGTCTGGAGGTCCAGCGTCTTGACTCCCACGGAATACATGTCGTGCATTTGGCCATCTACGCAGAACATGCTCCCTAACCCAAACCCGGCCGAAGAGTCTACCATATCCCAACTCACTAAACTGATATTCTTTTCGATATAAGGAATATCCATAAAGGGCTGGATTAGATTCAGAGCTTCGTGCTCTGGTCCGGGATAGACGGCATTCAGCAGGATGACGGTCTCCTGGTGAGGCTATTAGCATGTTACATCCAGGATCACCTTACGAAAGGGAGCCGCTTACATTGATAGTTGTGTTCCTCACGACCAGGGTGTACAGGGACAGTGCTGGAGGTAAAGTCCCGAATGATGTCAGTGCCTTGAAGAAAGTCTCGTTGGAGCTAGCGGGGAACAGGAAATCCGCATTCACTACAACCCCGCCGTTGGTCAAGTCATAGACCTCATACCTGGCTTCTGTGATGATCCCATAATTGAACCCGGCCCCGCGAATGCCCCAGAAAAGATCCGAGTTTTCAGTTTCTGACACAGTGATCAGGTCTCCAGATGCCGTGACGAGATTGACAGATTTGAGGGCGTCTATGATGAGCCCGTGAAGACCCTGGTACCTGCCAACGCCACCTCCCAGGGTTGCTCCAAGCATGCCGACACAAGGACAGGATCCGGTTTCTAGCAGCAATTATCAATGGTTAGCTATCGTTCTTGAGGAAAACACTGGTCTTCCAGCACCACAGGGGGCAGGAGCCATACGGATTTCTTTCCCGGCTTCAAACAGCACGGGCATGAGATCTTCGAAGGCGACGGATCCGCCAACTGTCATTCTGTTCGCGCTTGCATCGACGGTTGTTTTGTTGAAGAAGCCCAGGTCGACCTTGATACCGTTCTCCAGAGCACCGAACGAGGTGCTGTACCCGTGGCCTCGTCCGGACGCGAGAAATGGCACATTGTTGACTGCCGAGAACTTTACCTATTCGAAGCTGTTGGCCTAGGATCATTTCTAGAAGGGCAAAGGAGAAAGCATTCCTAGCAAAACAAAACGAAGGTTGATACTGCGATACTTACAATTGTCTGCAGATCTTCCACCGATGCAGGCTTCAAAGCTGCCACGAAGGTTGGTTCGTCATAGGTTGTCCATCTTTGGATGCTGTCGGTCCAGTTTGCATCTGAGGGGTAGAAGACCTCGGTCGATGGGCTCAGCTCTGACAGAAGCGCTGTGATGTCGTAGGCCACCGTAAATGCACTCAACGTCAAAGCTACCGAAAGGAGGCCTGGGAGAGAACGCGCAATCATTTTCACGAGGGCTGTACTGCCTGCGGATGCAAGGCAGCGTGACAATGAGAAGTGGGAAAAAAGTATGTATAACTGGACTGCAGTGAAATCGAAGGAACAGGAAACTTATAGCTTCTATAGGTGACATACATAAGGGACTATCGCAAAAGAATTCCTAGTGCACAAGGCTTACTGGGGTTTCAGACCCCAAACCAGATGAAGAACGCATCGAGTCATTACGAGCGCAGCTGATCGGCGTGTTTACTTGGACCCATAAAAATAGGTGCGCAGAATATCGAGAGAACGAACGAGATCCAAGCACGCGAACTGCTTCGGAAGTTCCCAGAGTTCCCGTACCGGGTCAGATTCAGCCTGCAGCGTGGTCCGGTCAAGGTCAGACTGCATAGGTAAGTACATAGGTACCCAATTTGCGTCAGGGACCTGTCTGACATGGTGTTTGCTAAGTTTCCCCACCCCCTTATAGAATATCCAAAAGCGTGAAGAGATTCTCCAAAGGATTCTCATCAGGCTCCAGAAGAATTGGCTATTATTGTTCCCAGCCCAGCGCACTGTATCCATAGCAGCGATGTGGTCCAATTCCATCAGCCCCGAACCGTACCAATCGGTGCCGCGCCCAATCAGAATTGCTCATGTGGGTTCGGGCACTGCAGGGCTGATCACTGCGTACAAGCTACTACCGTCCTATGAACTAGGTACTTAGTGCTTTACGAGAAGTACGTCCTCTGTAATCAATGTTTTTGTTTGTTTCTGTACAAATTGCATTGATTTCGGGTCTTGGGAATTCCGCAGTGGGTGGCACCCGGCTCGGAAATCGGTGCGCTTCCGGGTCCATACACATTTCACATCTTGCTTTTTTTTTGTACTTCCGGGATGCTAGTAGTGAATATGGTCTGATATCATTGCTGGTGCGTCATGCAGTTTAGATATCCCGGAGTCGGATGCGATGTTCCGTCGCATTCCTATAACTTCACATTTGAGCCAAACCCGGGGATGGAACGGGTACTACCTTTCCGGCGATCAGCTCCAGGAGTATTTCGTGAATTTCGCCGAAGAGTATGACCTGGAGCATTTCATTAAATTCGAGACCAAAGTCGTGAGCGCGTCTTGGTTGGAGGAAGAAGGCCAATGTATATAAGTACTTCCCTTGTCTCTGGGGAAGAGCACCTCTCCTGTCCTGTCAAAATATCGACCAACCTTGATCTCCGCATCCAGGGGAACTGGAACTAGAAAGGAAGGATAGAACAAATTCTTGATTAACGGTTCAGGGCCTCTCAACAAGTGAAAATGTTTGATGCAAATCCCAGTCATGCACAAGACGCTGCAAGACTAACATGTGCAATACTCAGGGCCGGCGATTGAAGGTCTTCAGACCTACAAGGGGATCCTCACCCACACTGCAAACTGGGATCAGGATATTGACTGGAAGGACAAACGTGTCGCACTTATTGGGGTCGGGTCAAGCGGTGTCTAAATCATTCCAAGGCTGGTCCAAGGAGTACACCCCTCCCACAACACCCACAACTTTATCATATCTTCACAATATCCAGTGCCTCCGCTAGTTCAATGGTTGACCGCAACGGAAGACTGCTCCTCGTTGACTGTGTTCGTTCGATCCACGCAATGGATAACCCTTCCAGCTGCATGGCAAGATCTGCGGATGATCCGGAAAAGTCCGCAATGCCTGCACCTGCTGGAAAGCATTTCTACACTGAGGAGGAGAAAAATCTCTTCCGGACGGACCCAGAGAAGTTCCTCGAGTACCGCAAGAAAGTTGGTGGAGTCATGCAGGAGCGCTTCCCAATCTTCCTAAGAAGTCATCAACCTCGCGAGGCCACCATTCCCATAATTACGGAATTGGTCAAGGCTCGTGTTGGGCCACATGGCGAATTTTTGGTGAAAATCTTCACACCAAGCTTTTCCCTGGCTTGTCGTCGACCGACGGTAAGTGCTCATGTCGTTTTATAGTTCTCCTTCTTTGAGCGAGGTTGATCCTGGGAATCGAGATTCTGCAGCCTAGAGAAGACTTCCTGGAAGCTCTCACTCAAGACCGTAAGTGGCTATCCAAGCATTGGTCGCTGCTTGGGTGCTGACCTGAATTTCAAGACCCCCGAGTCGTATCTGGCGAAATCAGCAGGTTCACAGAAACAGGAATCCAAATGAAGGATGGAAAGCATCTCGAGTTCGACCTAATCGTGTGCGCGACCGGATTCGATGTCGCAATTTGACCTCATTAGTATGATCCTAACTCTGCAAAGATGGAACGCAGGCATTAACCAGGGACAATAGCACCTGCGGGAAGACTAGACCGAAGTACGTTTACCTTTCTCTCGCGCACGTCATAAGTGATCGTGGCTGATTTCAAATTATCGTAGCAACCGAATGTTTACCTCAGTGTGGCCTCTCCAAACTTTCCAAATTTCTTTTTTATTGGAGGACCGACCGGTAACTAGGCACAAGGCTCTATTTTGATCATAGTTAGTGCCCTTTCCTTCCGCCGTCAATTCCATAGCTAATGGAAATCTCGATGACTGAGAGGCCGTAGCACGAAATTCAAGCCGAGTACGCGCTGCAGTGCGCCGCAAAAATCAGTTTGGAGAATCTGCACTCGCTCGTTCCAAAGCAAGAAGTGACAACACAATGGCGCCGCCATGTTGACGACTAACACGAAGCAAACTCCGTTTGGGCAGAACCTTGCGAGTCCTGGATGAAATATAGGGGGAAGATTCAGCTCTGGAGTGGGAGTATGCTGCACATGATCAAGACACTACGTAGTACGCACGCCACGGTATGAAGACTGTGAAATCATCCGGCGAGATAAGGACATGTGGAGATTCCTTGAGAACGGGCGTACTCTCTTGTAACTGCGGCAGGAGATGGGCCAGGATGTGGACATGGCGCCCTTTACTCGCATTAGTGACGAGCCTGAACTAAAATAATAAGTATAGTCTCTGCGCGACTGTATCTCATGCGCCTATCACTTGGTCTCTTCCCCCAGCTGCAATGGTTGCGGGGAGAGCTTGACGGCTCCTTCATTTCATTACGGTTATATAGTCGATTAGTTTCGGTGTTCTTAGGCTTAGCTAAGGAATAAAGAGCAGCTATCACTACTTAGTGCATAGAACACAAACGTGACCGAGTGTCTCATTGTTGACCACCACGTCTTAAGTCACACTCCTCTTTATTCAAGCGTGCCGACAAACCTCGAGGATGGCTACGCCCACGCCGGGCGGATATCGCTCCGCCACCGAATACTGTTTTAGCGAAGAACAGGCTGACGCCATTGTTCGAACCACTGCCTACTATCGCAAAGACTACTGTCTCTCTGTGATCTGGTTCCCACCTCGTGAACATGTCGATATTCGTCTGTCGGTAGCAACGCCGTTCCGGCTGACTTCGAACGTTGGACTCGGCTCTCTCGGGCGGCTACCCCTCGAGCTCTTGCATGACACATTGTTCCATCTGGATATGCATTCTATATTCAAGTTTCGACAAGTAAATATCAGATCGAGACAGATAGTAGACTCTCTCAAGGAGTATCAGATGGTAATCGCGCATGGACTGAATCTTCTCTGCGCCTTGTTAAGAACACGACTTGCTATCGTCACTTCTTTATTCGACTTCTACGAGGCACTTTGTACGAAAGCCTGTACTTATTGTGGAGACTTCGCCGGATTTATATCGCTCTTAAATTGGAAGCGATGCTGTTTCAAATGCCTCCAGGAAGCTCCGGAAACGCAAGTACAAACTCTTGCCGCTGTCCGAAAGCATCTCCACTTGACTAAAGTCGAATTGGACGGAGTGAGGTCATTCAAGACCTTGCCTGGAATCTATTCGATGAAGGAATCTGTACACAAATCTCGCATTGCGATTGTTTCTGTCCAGCAGGCTATCTTGGCTTGCAGACAGTACTCGCACGTGGCACAAGCCTACTTAGCGATCTCAGAACTAAATCCAAAATTCAGCTTTATGGCGTCCTGTGCACTCCCGTATTACGATAAGCAGACTGGCCAAGTTGAACACGGAATGTCGTGTGCTGGTTGTCAACTCGCTCTCGAAAGAGACATCATCGGCACTAGGGGCGAGAAATGGGCATTTGAGGCTCGAGACAAAGTATATGCACGAGATAGTTTTTTGGAACATTTTCGATGGTGTGAACAGGCACAGCTCCTCTGGAGGTCGAGTGGCGAGGGTAACAACCGGCCAACTGAGCTACCTGAGGCTGCTCGGAGAGGAGGCTACTTTAATAAAAGAGTATAACAAGGATGTGAAAGTGTTCGCTAATGTATTGCAACGAGACTGTCTGCAAAAGTGACTGGGAAAAAACTAGAAAGTGGACTAATTCCTAGACACCTCAAAAGTACTGTATAATGCAGCCGCGCATCTCAAAAGCTGTTCTTTAATCTTCCAGAATCACTCCATTTTGATCCGTGTATTTCACTGGCGCGTCTGGCTTGACCAGATGTCTTGAACAATAGTTGGTCGAATCCTTGCCCCATTGTTTAGTAACTGGATGACATTTGACGTTGGTTCACTGGCGCTCTGCGCACTGGATGAATTCCATCTCCTTCTTGCAGCCGGATGTATATTTGATAAATTTCGAGGTGCACATTTTAGCCTAATGGGATATCCCAAATTAGATAAGCGCTGGACATAGGGGATAACTGTCTGCTTACGATGTCTAGTTAAGCAACTTGCGCACGTTTGCTGGTGATGAATGCAAGTGATTAACGCGGAGTAGAGCTGCACTTGCGATATCGAGAAACTTTGTATAGCGTTGTTGGGAGGCCAGGCCCTTCTATTCGGAACTGTCAGTTAACAAACGAAGAAACGCAATACACATTAAATCATAAATTTATATCTATTTAGATTTCCGTTTCTTAATTGGCTTGATCAGTTATTTAAAATAAGGCAGATCAATATTTTGTTCAAGTGCGGTTAGAGAAATAAATACATATAATATAAAGTATATACGCTATAAGCAAAACCTTTCTTAGCCGTTAAAGTCAGGTTCGAGTCTCCTTGTAGGTATCTATCACAGTAGCTTCTACCTCTTCGTTAAAGACGTCTACCTGGGTTGACGCGAATTTCCTTGCGCTGACGCCGCGTTCAAAAAGCATATCCAGCTCTGCGAACGATCGGCCACGAGGCTCTGGCAAGCGGAAATAAGTATATATAATGCAGCAGAAGCAGATCCCGGCCCAGAAGAAACCGGTAAAGTTCCCCCAGTTCCAGGCTCCAGGGTTTAACATGTATGGCGTAAGGACACCGGTAATAATGCCGACGATGTTGTACAAGTTTCGGCCCAGCACGACTGTCTTGATCTGTAGCCGCCGGGTAGATAGTTCGGCAACTAACGAGTAACAAACAGTGCCAACTGTGATCTGGTAGAAGAACGCCCAGGCAATCATCATGCTGCCGGTAGCCATCGATGCCTTGTCACGGCTGTTCTCCGGTACCAAGCCCAAGAATCCCATGACAAAAAGCATGACAAAGAGAGCGCAAAGGCCATAGAAGTAAAGAGATCGACGGCCAACTCCCAACGTCATAAGGAACCAGGAGCCGAAGACACCGACTATATTGATGGCATACTGGCCCATGGCGAACGAATAAGCATTCGATGCGCTCAAACCCGCTTGTTCGAGGAAGTAAGTCGAATAGTTCGAGAAGCTGTTTCCGCTGAGGTTCTGTATCGCCCAGGCCATGCATACAATCTCGGTACGTCTTAGGTCTGTGCCCTTGAAGCAGTCCCAGTACGTCGTGCCTTTCGTGATCTTCTGTTCGAGTGCTGTCGTATGGACCATCATAGCGATCGTCTCATCCGGGTCGAAATCCGTTTCCCGATTCAAGCTCGTCAAGCGCAGAAGGGCACGCTTGGCTGCCTCGATCTTGCCCTTTCTTACCAACCACCACGGAGATTCAGGTGCGAGACAGATGCCAATGAAGAGAGGGAGGGGCCACATCCACTGCAATCCATAGGGAATACGGTACGCCCACTCGTCATCGCGGCCTAGCATTGACTTGATCACACCGATTCCTATTAGCTGGCCCACGCCCCAGCAGCAGTTGACATAGGTTGTCAGGTAACCCCGGAGTGCGACTGGGCACACCTCAGATGCGTAGGTAACTGTCAATGTTTGGAAGACACCCCAGGGAATGCCGCAGAGGATCTCCGCCGCCAGTAAAGCCTGGACATTCGCCGCCGTGAAGAAAATAGCAGTCCAAGCAGCCACGAGTACCAAGCAGGCCATAATAGTATAGCGGTATCCGAATCGCTCTGAGAACCACCCATTGATAAAGAGGCCGATGATTTCGCCTACCATGGCCCCGTTACTAAGACCAGCTTGCCACTATACAGACGTTTAGTTTTCTAGTTTACGGCATTCAGAAACACAGATGCGGCAGATCTACGTACCCTGGCGGGCACCTGATATGTTCCATCAGGCATCTGTTCCCCATATTTCCGGTTAAAGGCGGGAAAGGCGTAAAAATTGTTCACCAGACAAATATCGTAGCCTTCCATGACAATGCAGGTCGAAATCAGCAAACTCCAGGCCATTGCCTTTGGATACAATTTGATGCCTTGTAGTAGGGTCATATTTTGTTCCTTCTCCGTCGCGATTTTTGCATTCTCGATGACTGTCTCCATGCCAGTGGCAGATTGGGTCTGAATTTTGGCCTCGAGAGACAGGGGAGTATTGCTTTTGGCGACGCCGCCATCTTCAGGCTTTAAGTCTGCCATGTTATCTTGTGGACCACCCGTGCTGTGTGATTCCTTCGGCGTCGAGTGAAGGGGAGCACGAGGGCTTTGTAAAATATTGCGGCAGTCAAAAAAGTTTACGGGGAAGCGCAACGCCCCTAATAATTGCACGGGGGCGGGGGAGCATTGAATGCCGGCGCTAGTCGTCTAGTGTCGCTTGGAGGCGAACAGGATAATCATAAATAATAATGTCATTAGTCCGAGTATCCGACTACCTGAGTGTCGGTATATTATTATTATAATTATAATTAATTTAGTCCTGGACAAGCATTGGGGAAATCATGGATCTCGGCCTTAGGAAAATGAGGGCTAAGCCCCGCTAGCGTTGCCCTAGTCACATGATTCTACCGCCCGCAGTGCGAGAATCTTCCAAGCAGTTTTTTAGAAGTCTGGGCCTAGACGAGGCACTACTACTGATTAATAAGAACAGGTTAGTGTACTCTCAAGAGTAGGGGCAAGCGTTGAGGCAAGTCCTTGATCGCCTCCGAGGCATCTCCAGTGAGATCGACACACACTGTTGGCACGACAGAAAGACAGTATGTAAACTCTTGCAGGATATTGATCACGCCAATCTGTATATACCATATTTCATGTACTGATTATAAGTAGATTAAGCCCCACCTGGCCCTGGTGGAAAAAACCTATAACAGCCGCCTACCACCATAAACCCATATCAGTGCATAACAACAGCCACATGATCATCTATATACTTCTCAATATCTCCGAGGAAGCACGCAGCCAGAATACTCACACCTCCGAACGCAATGCTTGCGAGATAGACGTATTTATAGCTTTCTGCATAGGCAACTTGGCCTGCTTTTACCACTATATCATAGGCGGTCTCGTTCCCCGCAATTCCTGGGATCCCCTTGAGTCCTTCCAACAAGCTGGAACCTGTCAACTTGATAGCCTCCTCAATATAGGTGATATTAGTAATGTGCAGCTCCAGCTCCATAGTACCACCGATGTATTTAGTCGCATTAGGAATAAACTTCCCAATAAATACGTTATAGTATGTCGCATACCCGACTGTGCCACCAACCACTCGAATAGCTAGGGTAAGTGCAGCGACAGATCCGATAAGATCATCGGGACAAATAATGGTGGAAATAATCGAGGCTGGAACCACAATCCCACCAATTCCCAGTCCAGCAAGAACCAGGAGACCCCACATTGTATGGAGATTATCGACAGTGGCGCATGCCATTGAGCCGCAACCTAATCGACGATATCTCTGTGAGTATAATACAACCACAAAAACTTCAGAACAGGAAGCGTACCGGCCGTCATTACAATGCTACTAGCAATCATTAATTCCCGATTGCGGCCACGGAGGACAGAGAGCATCCATAGAACCACACAGGCACCTGTGAGAATTGAAACTCCGATTGGGAGACCTCGGATGCCAACACCAACAGGGTCATGGCCATACACGTTGAACGCTTGCGTAGGCCAGAACATAATGACCGAAAAGAAATTGGCACCTTGGTTAACCGTAAGTACTATTGCCATCTTATGGAGGAGTACTGGGCACTGTTATACCTGAGATGAATGTGATGACAAGGGTCAATGCGAGCACCCGCGGTTCCTGTTTGAGCCGAGAAGGAAACATGGGGTACTGAGCACCGTATACTTCCCAGACGCAGAAGGTGGCTATGAGTACTACGCCCAGAAGCAACGGTATGAGGACATGGGCGGACGTCCATTTGTACTTTTTGACGCATTGTCAGTAAACTGCATTTCTCAGTGCAGTGGCCAGGAGAAACCCTTACCTGATAGCCTCCCCATTGAAGCCCGGCCATGAAAAGAACAAGGCCTGAGATGCTGAGTATTCCCCCAACATAGTCAATTTGAGCAAGGACTTGCTTTCTATTGAAGCCACGGGTATTAGGCCTCGGGGGTGGGAAATAAAAGAGCGCCGTCATAATCAATCCTACGCCAGCCCACGCTCCGCAGAGTGCACCACAGTATCGCCATCCTGCATAGGCGGAAATTAGCTGTCCCCATAGAACAGAGGGAGTGAACGGAAAAATAGTGAAAATAAGAACAGCGACGTATTTGCCGCGCTTTCGTGTCGGTGCGAGCTCTGAAGCTACAGCAAGAGCAGTTAGTTCACTGACGCCAGCACCTGCACCCGCAATTGCCATTCCGCTGATAAAGATATTCATGGTATGTGCTGTGCTCGCAACAATCATCCCGAGACAAATAAACGTTGAGCCAGAAAGTGCTACATATCGACGACCAATCAAGTCCGAAAGAGAGCCAACAAAAGGACACACAGCCGCCAAGGCGAGTAGATTGGCTATAACGAACCAGATCCATCGATCTGCACCCCCAATGTCGCTATAGATAATCGGAGGGATACCCCCGAAGATGTAAACTGGAATCTGACTACCCGTCCAGAGAAAAGCCATGGCAATCAGGCTCATCACGCGACGGAAAGTCATCGGCGGTTCGTCATGATGAGCAGACAATGCAGTATTTATGGGACAAGAGTCCTCCTTCTCTGTGTCATTTCGAGAACCAGGAGTGTCGGATGTTTCGATATGTTTGATATCGCTTGGTGTCTTCCCGTGCGGGGAAGAGTAGATATCACTATTTTGTGCCATGACAGGCAACCAAGCTGTTCGCCACGTAGAGCAGCATACACAGCACTTTTCAATTGAGTGATAGGGAGTTAGAGAGGACGCGAGGTAAAAAGAGGATCGACAGAGATTGTACACGTTATATGTAACTGGTGTAGGTAGGAGCTAAGAGAACTGGAGGCTAAGCACAGTGAGATCGGCGTCAGGATGAACATCTTAATGTCTCGGGGAGGCCGTGTGGCGGGGAATGAGCCCTGTGTGTTGCGGGGGACGTGATGCCAATACGAATTAAAGCACGTACTATTGGAGGGAAAAAAGACTCCGTTTAAGAGTAACCCATATTCAGAGGAAAGTACTAAGGCCTCTTTGCGCGACGCTGTCAAGACCTGTATGAACCGAGGTGTTGTCGATGGCCGCTAGCATAGTAAAGATGGCGTATACGTTTTGTAGAGAGTAATTATGTATTTTATGTCAAAGATACGAAAGGCTATCTATTTCGTAAACTACAATCACTGCAGCTGCTAGATAAAAATAATAAGATGTAATGAAACGATCTCGCAGACCTTGGTTATACCTCATCCATAGTTAGAAAGCATCTCCCTTAGATCTCCTAGCATCTATACGAACATAGTGCCTCTCAAGTCACAGAGGCAGATAAGAGTTAAAATCGCGGGCTGAATTAGTGGTAGTAGTATCTCATTCGCCTGCGGGCAAAACTCGTTGGGTGTTCTTGAGAAATCACAGATCAGCATAGCGCTTTTTTCTTTCCTTCGCGCCTCCAGCTATGAAGCGATGTCCCCAACATTTTAGCATTCTGTATGTTGCATTCTGCAATAGCAGGAATGTGTCATGATAAAGCATGGAATAACAAAGCAGGAAATAGTATATTGCGCTAGCATCGGACTGGAATCACTAGATCGAATGGGCTTTGTATCCGCAGCCCAATGTGACCAACGCCACAAATCCCTTGTTTTCCAACCTACGCTAAAGAACCATAAACAAAAGAATATCCCTGTCATTCGGAGCTACAGTTGTGGAGGTTGAGGGGCTCAATCGCGAGTGACTTGAAATGCGGGGGAGAAGATTAAATTAGGGTTTTCGTTAGCGACCTTGCTACTTAAGTTTGGCAGAGCAAGCTACCAGGCAGCTTCCCATATTAATTATACCCTAGATATTCGACCTGGAAAACAGTTACCTAAGTCGTTAAACGACGTTTCTTACTATGGGATAAATATAGAGTGGGACCAACGCGAAGTTGAAAAACAAATGTATCCTCATATGTGTCGTCACATAGCTCCCACACGGACTCCCATTTTTCAGGAGGCACTTTTGGTTGGTTAGCTCTCTGTTGCATACCAGAAACTAGAGGCATTAATTCCTCGTAAAAGATAGTATTATTTTGGCCGACGCGGTCTATAATCGCCGTCATAGTAATATGCGGCCGAATAGGATATCCATCCTTTTTTTTTTGGTCTCCAGGATAGTATAGGTTCTCCAAAAACCAATTGCCTTCGCCATCTAGGCCTCCCCCCACAGAAACGGGTCCGGATGGCTGTAACTTCAATCAGTCATCAAACAACTTGCTTATTTTTCTAAATTGTACCGACTTACCTTATCGCACCCAGATTCCTATATTCCCCCAGATTGCCGCAGGACTTGGGCAGGTTCTCCCTGGACGGCTTGAAAGCAAAATAGGTTATGTATTCTGAGATTTCTATACCACGAGCTTCTGAAGTCCAGGCAAAGTCGAGATGTCCTCCAGGCCTCTCAGGTTCAGGCCTCTCAGAAGGCTCCAGGTACTCCTCAAATGGTCTTAGTTTTTGTCGCGGGGGGTGTCTCCTGAGCTCTGACAAGGCGGGTCGTCGACAGTCATGGAGACATGCCCGAGGGGGTCTATCTCCAGAGGATGGACCCTAATATTGAGCCGCGTAAGAATGTCATCACCAATAATTCCTGTTTCCTTCGAGACACCGAGCTCTTCGGGGTGATCCAGAGTCTCCCTTAGGGCATTTAGAACGTCGCGCGCCTTTTTCATCGGCGTTCTCCTCGGCATTCTGAAGTAAAGATGAGAAGCGTGGGGGAATTTGAATAAGCAATCTTGGAGGTGAGGAGCTGAAGATAATGAAAAGCTCGAAGCTCTATTTATCGAGCTACGTGCACCGACTTCTGACTATGATAGAAGGCGACGGCGATAGCAAACAGGTCCTAGGTAACGGCTATAGCCTACAGGGACCCAGAAAGTACTAAGAATTGTGATAGGAAGAAGAGTTCTCAGATGGTAAAAAGACTGGGCGGGGCATGTAACACTAGGGTTTTAATATATGGTATTCACTGAAGGTAGCAGGGCGGAAAATTAGCTAGGCGGCGACATTCTCCGCTTAGCGATAAAGGGCGCGGGCGTGTTGCCTTGTAGAGCTTACATATTAGGACTTCACTCTTTAAATCCTATTACATATCTGACGACAAGCCACAGGCTGCGCGTGAAGTTATTGATATTCTACATTAGATCTCTACGTCGCTGGTAAGATCGCCATTCTCCAGAAATTCCCCGCATACTATGTATGCCTGGGCTATGTGAAGCTGTGTTCCTCTGTCTCTGGTCGAAGTAATATGAGAGCTGATAGTGTTTCGTTGTTAGAATACACATCTCGATCGAACGGAGCTTTCTCTTTGCGTGTCGCTGATTGAGAATGGTGCCAATATGGACGCGCTTGCGGTGAGTTCCTTGAGGCAATGCTAAATATGTTTTGGTTAGGTAAGAAACTGACACGCGTATGCCAAAGGCTGTCATACAGGATCCGAGGAAAGCAGCGCCCATGACGCCAGTAAGACGAGGCATATCTGGTAGAGCGGACTAAGGACGGGGAGTGCAGTGCGAATACGGTTTTTACACGGCTGGCGTTTACGGTGCTACGATGATTATTATTCCAACTCGGGAGATACCATTCACGTTCTCATTTCAGAAGGTGGGAGTACTCAGGGTACAGACGGAGCTTATGAGATGATATGACCACCTTTACGCTGAGTTGTATGTGCAGGCTGCAGCAGAGTCGTGAAAGGAAATAGATATTTGAGAAATATATCATCCTTCGAGCTGGATCCGATCTCGCCAGCTATCGCTTCGGTGGTGGCTTGTTTCACACGGCCCCCTTCGTCTGCATTGGAGTCTTTATTTTTCGTTTCCTTTTCATCGTCCCTGTTACCAAGGCTGGAAGAGTTGTGTTCGCCAACAGGATACGGGTCAGCGGCAGCCAAAGGCTGCCATTTTCTGGACTTGCCTCCAGTAGAGATAGTCACTCGCAATGCCGCAAAAGGCGGTTAAGAGAGGAAAGTCCAAGGCAGAAACCCTTCGTCCCCTGTGAGTATCTCATTAGGGCCTCGCAAATGGATCAACATGACCAGTACAAGTTTGAACGCTCGCCCTGTTCGCAGTTAGTGGCATGATTTGTAGCAAAAGTTCTATAGAGTTGACTGTTCCATCTTCGACTGCGCCATTCTGGAATTCTTGTCCATTTTCCTGGATCCAGCAGTGAACAACTCGGCAGTCCATAGGCTCTTGTCACATTTTATTCACACCACATATACTAAGAAATAGCTTAGATGAGGAATGTTCCATTACAGACTGCAATATCTCGTCAGTCTATCCAGAAGACCTTTCAGGGGTGGTCACGAGGTGGCTGTGTAACCATATATATGAATTATCAGACCGATACCTGGTACAATGGGAGCTAGAAAACATCACCACTGAAAATATCTTCCTGTCTACCTAGATAGAAGAGAGGGATATGCTCAATGGGTGCAGGTACTGTCACGATTTGCCCACCTGCATATGTCTCGTTGGTCCACCAATATGTCCACGGCTTAATCTCTCTCGTCCCAATTTGCGGCAGATACACCGACCACTCAGTCACGTTTGGGGTTGTTACCGGCGTGACAAGAAGCCTAGGTCCAAACATGTATTGTTGAGTCGTGGCATTCGTGTTTTTCCGAGTCATTTCCGCTATATGAGGATCGGTACGCTCGAAGTCCATGTATAGCGGCCTCATAATCGACCGGCCAGTCTGGTGGAACTGGTCAAAGATGGTTTGGAGATATGGTTGAAGTTGGTAGCGTAGTTTAATGTAAGAGACGATTATAGGAGTGTTTGTCTCGCCATATGACCATGGCTCATTGCTACAGGTATATGCGTTTTGAGTGTTACACTCTCGGGAGCCATGGGTTCGCATAAACGGCAGGAAAGTCGCCCATTGGAACCAACGCACATAGAGTTCGCGATACTGAGGCGTATCTATATTTGCACTCCAAGGCACAGTTGGATCAGCCTGGAATCCACCCGCGTCCATTGTCCACCATCCCCATCCGGTTGCAGCGGCAGATAACCCACTGGCCACCTGCACGGCAAGGGTATCCCAGACTGATGTCGTGTCCCCAGACCATATCATGCTGCAGAAGCGCTGAGAGCCAATGTATCCTGACCTGCTTAGGCTGATATGTTCGCATTCGGTGCCCATCTTGGTCTCGGTAACATTGCGAAAGCCTTCTTCGATGGCTTGCTGGTGCGCCCAAGGATATAACTTGCCGGCACTGAATTGTGAGCCCACCGCATACAGTGTGTTGGGTAGAGTGAATGGGATGGACTCGATGTAGCTACTTTGTCCGTTGTTTTCGTAGGCTTCACCTAATGCTCCGCCGTCTGCCTGGTCGATCCAGAAGTTCTTAATCCCCTTCTCATAATAGTTTCTCTTCAGTGTTTTCCAGAGGAATTCTCGTGCTGCCGGATTTGTCGAGTCATAATTGCGGATATATGACCCATTCCAGGAATCAGTAGTACCAGGGCCAGATCGAGTTGCAGATAAGAAGCCATTAGCGATTAATTCGAGATAATTGTCGCTATCATCGGCCACGCTGGGCCACAAAGAGGCCATCATTTCCGCTCCGGTTAGATCTTTTACCTTTTCCGCCATTGATGCCACATCAGGCCACAGGCGCGGGTCTAGTTGCCAGTCTCCCTGATGAGCCCAGGACTGGTAGTCGATAACAATTAAGGAAACAGGAATGTTGAGATCCTTGAAGCGTTGTGCTAGAAGTTCAACCTCAGTCTGGTTCTCGTACCGTAGCTTCGACTGGATAAACCCTAATGAAAACAGTGGAGGAGGAGGAGCACGCCCAGTCAATGCCGATAGGCGTCGCTGGAGGGTATCATAATCTCCTGAAGGCGCAGCAACAATCACATAGTCGACAACAGTAGCTAAGTCTGCTGTAAATTTGTTGCGTACCGGACCAAACTCCATACGACCTTCAGATGGCATGTTCCAAATAAATCCGTATCCTTTATTGCTCATAAATACCGGGGTAGGGATATGGGTGTTGAAGTTGATCAGATCAATGACCGAACCCTTCTTATTAACCATATGATCCTGCTGCGTGCCCGTTCCATAAATCTGTTCATCAGGTGTCGTGCTGAACGAGAATTCGGCAGAAAACTCACTACCTGGTCCTGGCCAACGATAATATCGAGGGTTGATTGACTTTAGGGGCGCATACTCATTCGTCAACAACGTCTCCGACTCGTTCTTTTCAACACGGTAGAACGCCAATCGATATCCTCCAGGGTTACCGCCCCATCCAGATGTCCTCACGATAATGTTGCCGTTGCGAATCGCCATGGTACGATTACCATTGAAGGCAGTGTCGAAGTTCATTCCATGGGCTTTTCCATTTTCGAATCCTTCTAGGGGCGGGTCGTAGATAAAGCTGATCTCGTTCCCAGTCGGCGGCCGATAGGGCCAGGCTCGCACACGGAAGCCATCATATCCAAAAGGTTGAACCAATATTGTCTCAAAACCGTGCTGCATACGAAACCCTGTGGAGTTTGGCATGAAGTATTCCAGGTCTCCGGCTGGGATGGCGTTGGCCCACACCAGTGGGATAACGGAGATTCCCAGTACCCAACAGAACACAAATTGTATCATTGTGTCACGTTAGGTTTTTTAATAATACAACGTTTGGAAATTCACCGTTCGTCGAGAGCTATTTAAGATTCCCAGTACAAATTTATCCGATATATTAGCCTGATCTTCCATGGTGTGTCATATTTCTATCGCTGCAGAGTGTACCTGATTGGGGGACAAATATTTCAAGGCGCCGTGTTGACTGGTTTTATTTCTCCGCATGAGATGTTCGGAACAGCTTGGGCCGAGAGACCGTCATCCCAAGTCAAAAAAAAAAGAGGTGCTGCTCCGGCTTTAACTAACTAGAATCTAGAATTTACTTTGAATAATAATGCTAGATTGCTAGATACATAGCTATCTACGACCATTATATACTAGCAATCATAGTCCCGGTGGAACATGTCATGTATGTAGATAGATGCTGGGATGGCCTTAAAGGGCTAGGGTCTTCTGGTACTAGAAAATCACCATGAGTGTGCGCTGCACTTCCAGTAAATATCGCATTGACCGGCCTTCTTGTGTTTTTCTCGTGAGATTAGGTGTTTTGAGTGCATCATGTTCTTGCGCCGCTGTATATTTGTCTGTCAGTGAGACTTTCCCAGTATAGTGTATTTTTCCCACGAACGGATCTCATTCAGAAATCCCTAGCAATCTCTTGATTACGGAGGACATTTCCTCGGTTTCGACAAAGTGATACCCTTTTCTGTATGGGTAAAATTCTGCGTTCGATCTCTTTGAAGAGACACAGAGAACCATCCTGATGTCGACCAGAGTATATGAATAAGAGTAGATATTGATTTAGCAGAAGGCAAGATTACAAGGATTTGTCTTCGTGAATGCTCATCAATCACATTTGCAGCGCACGGGCCTCAGGTCTCTAAGTAGATGACACTTCACTGCGACAGTCACTCTGGACAGGCCAGATCCCATTGACAATAAATAGTTGCATGCCGGATGACAATTGTATAAGGAAACGGTGATGATTCGGGATCAAAATTTTACAGAGAATGTCAGGGACCTACTAAGGGCATGTGTATACAAATTCTCCCTTGTATTCTGCGGCAGTAGTTGCTATGGTTGTCTTCCATTATGTACTACGCCTTCGACGAAGATCATAACGGAGCAGCGAAGAATCGACTATGGTACATACTCAAGTAAGCCAACATGTCTGTTTGTGAATTGCGGTATCCTCATATACACTGATGTTTTCCGGGATCTTGCGCGAGCTACTTAGTAAGAACCTTATCGAGAGCAAGAATGTACTCTTGTTTACTTGTATAGAACAAAAGCTCTGACTAGATATGAGCGGGCATGAACTGGTCGCCATACGCCAAGGAGTCGAAACCTCGTGTGTAATGACCGCGTAGACAAACATGGGTTCGAACGACAAGTGTAGGGTCGAGTCGATTTGATCCGTACCAAGACCCTAGCCTAGACATATTAATATTATTCCCTGGATGTTTCAGTTCCTGCAATCACTTACTTTAGATTTGCTAGCATTAGCGCTGCGATGATCTTATGGGGCAAATACGCGATAACTGGATACATGCGGCAATGCCTCCGGCGGCTCGGATACTTTTTTCACATAAGAAAAAAGGAGGGAAATAACCCTAGATAGCTTTCATAGGCGTGTCACTATGCCCTATACTAAGTGGATAGTGCAGATATGAGAGACCAATAGATGATATATCAATCGAGTGATGGAATACATCTATGGAACCGAAAACTATTCATGGGACATTTAGTCTTCTTTGTTCCTCCATAGAAGGGGAACATATCTGTTCTAGAACAACTAGCAACATATGCAGATCAGGCCGTTTTTAGCCGTTTTTATGAAATAGCAATAGCAATATTTGATCCTTAGGCATGTCTAAGAAGAAGGACTGCACGTATGTATGGCAACTATGGAGTACATAGTCAAAAGTACATACAAAACAGGGGTACAGTAAAGTTCAACCGGTCCTATGCACCAGCATGTAAGTTTTTCTTTGGCAGCAGACGAGAACGCTTGGCCCGGTAGCGCTTTGAAGTGACAGGCGAGAGATGGTTTGACGAGATATGGATAAACTTTTCGACTACGACACTTATGCACTTTTCGTGTGGAGCTTACAAGGCTAGCTAGACCTGTGCTCCAGTGAACGACCTAGATAGTCCGCAGTCTCGGTAGAGACAGGTACAGTCAAACCGGAAAACTGGAACAGCTTTCCGTCCAACGGCCCTGTCACCTTTTGGATGATGGCCTAGACTTTTTGTGCTCCATAAGTACCTGCTGTAGTCTAATAATATTATTATGTACACTTCTAACCCCGTATTATTAACTCCGGATACAGACTCGCCGCTGTCACGTTAGACTAATGAGCAGCCGAGCCCAGTGGCTTCGGCTGTGAAGCCCAAGTGCATCAAGTTTTAGTAACTAGCGGATTCTACCGTTAAGTTAGTAAGTCGTAAGTCGTACAGTACTTCTGTCACAGGTCATTTTTATTTAATAATTAACAAGAGGCCTGATCAGATCTCAGATCCTCTGTGACCGCCTCTTGGTCGCTCGATCCGTTCGTTTCCTTCTTTCTTTATTTTGTTCTATATGCCCCTGACCGCAAAATGACCCGTGTGTTCGAGAATGCGTCCAATCTTCAGCCATGGTCGATAGCAACTTGTGTTTCGGTGACGGGACTGGCTTTCGTCACCGTATGCTTGCGTCTGCTTTCTCGCTACGAACGGAAGCAAAAGCTCTGGTGGGATGACTACATGGTCATCTTCTCCATGGTCCGTATTATTCTCCTGCAGTCCCTATGATTTCTGTCAATACCAAAAGGATCTGGATTGCTGACAGACAATGGCCTTGTAGGTGTGGAACATCATGGTATTGGGATTCATCCTTGGAATGATCAAGTATGGCATGGGTCTTCATGCAGACACTATTCCACCCGAGCACGTCGTCATGATCGCAAAACTCCTTGTCGTCGCGGAGGTTCTCTACGTTTATAATCTAGTGTGGACAAAGATTAGCTTCCTGCTGATGTACTACCGCATCTTCCATGTGCCCTATTTCAAGAAATGGGCCTATATCATCGGTACCTTTGTCGTCCTCTGGGTGATCACGATCATGTTCGCATTTATCTTCATTTGTGTCCCCGTGGAGAAGCTGTGGACTCCTTCATTGCCAGGCCATTGCATCAACCAGGTCGGCACGTGGATTGCGAACGCTTGCTCAACGATCGCCACCGATCTGGCCATTCTCGTCCTGCCCATTCCACAAGTGTGGAAACTACAGCTAGCGCGCTCCCAGAAGATCGCACTTACGATTGCTTTCTGCCTCGGCTTTTTGTATGTCTCTCCCTTCTCGGGCTCTTCTGTCGGTCCTAGTCTACTCGGTCCAGTGACCTGTTCTAACCAAAGCTGCAGCGTCGTCTTCGCATCGGCCTATCGTTTCACTGTGCTTTTCTCCTACTCCGCCCTCGATTCCTCCTATACTTTAGCGCCCACTGTCGGCTGGACCGCCATTGAAATCTCTGCAGGCATCATCTCAGCATGCTTGCCTACTTTGCGCCCTGCGTTGCAACTGTTTGCCCGGAAGTGCGGTATCAAAGGCTTCATGTCTGATCTGCGGACCACACCAGCGACGGGCTATTCGGGGACTGGGCGTTCGAAGGGAGGTAGCCACGGGCCCGGTACGACGATCGATTCCACCACGAGCCATGCGCGATCGGAAAGCCAGCGACGCTTCTATCGGCTGGACGATGAAAGTGGCACTGGCCAGATGGAGAGCGATCGATTCCCGATCGACAGTTCGTTGAGGCCCAAGCACGGCTACATTTACACGACTTCTGTTCTTGGTACGACTAAAAACAATGATGCAGACAGTCTGAGCGGCGATGAAGTCCCTCTGCACAGCATCCGTGTGCAGAAGGATTTCAAGCAAGTGGAAGGATGATCGCTATCTCGGCGAGAGCCACTCCCAAGTACGTATGGTACTCTAGTATTATAACTTGGCGCAGCCCTCCCCACCAGATCGGTTCGTGCTAGGATTCCGCCGTTCGCTGCGGGCTGTGCTCTCTTCACGGGGGAAACAGCACCCGTACATATGGGATGAACGACTGTATATAGAGATTTTGTAGCATATATCCCACCATTCAATGTCAAATTCCTAATTTTCTTTTGTTCGCCCCTTTTTCTTTTCTTTTTTTTTTTTATTATTTCCCACTCCTGCGTATAAGGGGGCTGTGGAGAGAATGACAGCGGGAGCGGATAGATACATCCCATGGAAGAACCCGACTTGCGGGGCTGACTCAAGCCCCCCCAGTAAAAGAGAAGAGAACTCTGGATCCGGGCTATCTAAGTGTAACTAGAACAAGTTACGGGCAATAAATAATCAAAACGTGCCACGCGCCGTCCAACCCCGATCGAACCCTGTTCCCAGCCCAAGAGTACTTAGTCGCCTCGGATACGAATAGTAGTACCTAGAGTGGCTCAGTGGAAGGACCTCGTGTTTCACGATCTGGCAGTCCGTGATGCGGCCGATCCTTTTCGTGCAGGGGTTCCCCAAGCCATGCATGCGAACAGTTAATATAATAATAATAATAATAATAATGCTTCATTATTGTTATGAAGCTCAGTTGGTGACTTTGTGCGCAACATGAGTCGCGGTTCGGGTTCTCCGATGTCAAAGTGCGGACCGGGGAAAGCGAGCCGTTGAGCCAAACCAATTTTCCAGCTTCTTCTAACCTCACTTGGACAGATCTCCATGGTCAAGTTCTCGGGGCCCATCCCAAACCTGGAAACTACTGGAGACACGGCTCGTTCTCCTTCGGCTGCGGTTCGGCCCACGAAGACTGAGGCGACGAGGACATGTGCGAACGTGGTTGGCGATAATAATAATACTCGATGGTAAACTGCTGATAAGCGCGCGTCGTCTCAATGGTTTGCCGCCATGGGGATCGAATCGAGATCTATGCTGATCGCAATCGCCAGAAGGGAGGATGTTCAGACTCCAGAGACCTTCCTGGCTGCAGCATGGGACGCCTGTTCCCGCGTAGCCTCGCGAGGCTCGCTATGAGTCTGTCCACTCCGTATCTAGTGCAAGCCGGGATAGCTGATGATTTAAAAAGGCCCACTCTCGAGGCAACTTAGGGGAAACGAACGGTCCAACATCGGATGATTCTTATCTGGTGGACGCCATGAGTGGGAATCCGTTAAACTCTCTGGGTTGGAACCGACAGAATCCAGCTGTCAAATGCTAAGCTGCTCTTAGTAGTAAGTAGCTCACAAAGTTTTCTGATTCTTGAGCCCCCGGACGGATTTTTCTTCCACCGTCCTCTTCTCATTTGAGCTAATTCTATAGAAATACGAACAATGGCGGCAACAACGACGATTGAGGTCCCGCATTTAGGCGGCATCAGAGTTGGCTATGCCCTCTCTGGAGATCGCTACGATGACTCGAAGCCCACTGTCGTTCTAATCAATTCGATGTGTACGACAGTCTCTCTGTATCGTGAGCAGTTCAGCGACACTAAACTCACGGATGTCGTGAACCTGCTTGCCATTGAGCCTCTGGGTCATGGCGCCACGAGTACAAAGGCAGAGCACTGGACGTACTGGGATACGGCAACCATGGCCCTGCAGGTCATGGATAAGTTGGGGATTCAGAAGGCATTTGCTCTAGGAACCAGCCAGGGAGGATGGATTGTTGTCCGCATGGCTATGCTGGCGCCGGAACGGGTATGTTCCAGTCCTCTTCTGTGGCAGGGGCAAACAGAATGTCGCTGGCAGAATTCGAAGAAAATTGTAGCAGTAAATTGTCCTATGGCTGACACAAAAATCTCCTGTTTGGTCAAATAGATACTCGGTGTCATTCCCCTCGGCACATCTATGGACAGTGAATCGGCCGACTCGCGCACGAAGAACTGCTGGGATCCTTTCCCCATCATCAAGCCTTTTTATGAGAAGTGGTCCAGCGCTACCGAAACTCCAGACTTCGTGATCGATGACGTCTGGTGTGGACTGGTTGCGACCCTCGGTTTTGGCAACGGTGTGTCACCGGAGACGGTCGAGTTTTGGAAATCCACCGTGAGAGACGTTTATCGGGGCGATGAGGGCAGAAGGAAGGCCCGCATGGCATGTATCTGTCTCCTAGAGCGTGACGGCTTGCTCTTGAGATTGCCGGATGTCAAGTGCCCCGTGTACTGGTTGCAAGTAAGTAGCATACTGGGTTCCGCGCGGGGATTGCACCCCTGTAGTCTATGAATCTCCCCTGCCACATCCTTGTTTACGACCCGTCCTTCAATGCAGGCTACTAATGATGTGAAAACAGGGAACCGAAGATGTGCCTTATGGCCAGGTCGTTCCCGCCGAACAAATTAAAATGTTCACCGCGTCAAAGGAAGCAAAGCTCGTCCCTGTCCAGGGTGGTGCTCACTATCTGAATGCGACTAGCCCGACTGAAATCGCAGATGCTATTCTGGAGATGGTTCGCAAGCATCAATAGAAGGATCGATCAGTTAGAGATACACAATCATGTTGCTCGTGTCAATGCATATTATCACAAGTCTGCTGATTATGCTTGACGAACAACGCAACTGCTAATTCATGCGTCCCTGCCACCTCTAAAATTCCGCTCAACTTCCGGGTTAGGAATAGCGAGTCTCATAGATGTAGTTAGATAGCTTTCTGGAGCTTGGATATTCCACGCAATCAAACAGCTTATCGAAGAGCTCCAAATACCATGTTTATCAATGAGCTGGGAGGATACTGGTCTGATGATAGAATATCCTCATGACCATATGCCAACTAACCGTGACTAACCGATCGTGAGGGGAAGGGACCAGAGTACATATGAGCGGCCTGCTTCTTCTAAGCGACATATACCTGAAACTTCAAGGTCTTCCTATTCGACAGCCATATAAACCAGTTATAAGCCGAAGAGAGTAACCAGAATTCTGATTCTGAGCAAAGGTTCTAAAGACTACTGACAGCCTGAGTCATACATATTATAGATACGAGAGGTCTACGGGGAACTTGAATTGATATACAAGCATCCATTGAGATTTTGTAGTAGGACTTTAGTTATTGTCAAACATTCCGAGGCGAACAAATGCGAAACTTGAGAAATAGTGATCACCAAATCTCTATAATATACTACAGAACAGATGTAACTCACATAACCCAATCAGCACCAGGTCGACTAAGTCATAAGCTTAGTTGATTTATTGCCAGTCTAGATAATGCCAAAGACAGTATGTGTCCTGACATTACCAAGTAGCTTATAGCGAACATTAATTTTATATTCTCCATTCCTATCATACAAAAAAGCGACACATGAGTAAATTTTATGTTGGCAGGCCTCGAGGCTTGCGGTTCAACATTTCTCTGTGAAAATGAGTAGATAGGGAGTATCTCACGAAACTATGCGCATTTATTTGTATTTCTCAGTGTTGAGACTGAGAAGAATGGACGTGATATGGCAAGGAATGAATGGTGGCCAGCACCTTAGAGAGTATAGTATAACTCGTGACATATAAATATGATGAAAGCGGGATGATCATAGCTTGTTAAGTGCTGGGCTCCGAGCAACCTAAACGATGGTCAGAATCAGTATGGACATTAAATTGTGGAAGGCACGAGCACCAAGAATACATACCATGCTTCTGAATCTCTTTCCAAAAATGTACATGGGAACGGTAGTCAAACTTATCACCAAGTTTACAATCCCAATTGTAAGGAATACCACGAGCGGGCCACTAGCAGTGTACCATCCATTGGCGAAGAGACTGGCAAAGAATGTGAAAACAGCCTTCATAAAGTTGATGGTGACAAAGGCTTGGTTCGCGTCTCGTGGATGGCAGTCAATCACATAAGCAAAGCTGGCGGTACTAGCGAACCCAACCGACGCCGAATGCAAACTCATGAAAACAATGGCAATAGCAAGAGGCGCTCCTTGAGATACGCTGACGCCAAATCCAATGAATCCTACCGTGGAGAAGATCGTAGCAGGAATCATCAGTGTCAAACGGAATTCAGGCTCGTAGATACCATTGTTGCGCCGCGCCATGAACCGGGAGATCCTGTCAGCGACAAATCCAGAGAGAGGATTGGCGATGAGAGCCACAATGAGCAGTGGAATATTGGTGAGACCAATTTGAGCTGGGTTAAGGTTATAGGGAGGGGAGCTAAAGACGTTGACAGAGAGGACGCCGAAAGTGACCAGCCATGTCATAAATGAGCCGTAGACAAGAGTACTGAATATAACGGCAGGGAAAGCAACGAGAGGCAGGGGTTTAATGACCAATCTCCAGAAGCTCTCGTCCGACAATCGTCCGTTGAAGACTCGCAGCTGACTAGTGAATGGTCGCGGTGGTTCATTCAATTCGAACTTGTTGATGCTTTCGGTGTCTTTCTCGTAATCGTCTAGCTTCTTTCCTTTGATATAAACAGTCTCAGGGACAAGGAAAAAGATTGCCGGCACTAGGAAGACAAATATTATAGCAGTGACACCGAATGTGGCAAGGAAGCCCAGACTCTCAATTATGTAACCGGAGATAACTTGCCTGTTGTAAAATGAGCGAACGTGAATAAGGACGATGGATGGTGACTTACCCAAGAAGGACGCCAGATGCAATCATTACTCCCCAGATGGCAATCTTCTGACCCCTTTCATGGACAAAGAAGATATCTGAGACGGTCGAGGTTACCAGAGTTTCCAAAGGAGCGGAGGCCAATCCTTGCACGATTCTCATGACGACGAGGGAGACGAAGTTCTGACAGAGCATTGAGCATTCCAAGCATGAGACCTGCTGTATCTGGAACTTACCATGGAAAAGAAACCCCAAACATTGGTTATCAACAACGCAAATGCTGAAATCACAAACACTGGCCGCTTTCCCCAAACCGTGGCAGAGGCTGCGGTAAAGAACGTTGCACTTCCAGTTACAAGCAAGAAGAGTCCAATAAGCAAGGATGAGATCTGATCCAAAGAAACGTTATACATTTGAGAAGCTACTTCCAACCCAGGCGAGATCATCGGGCCGAGTCTGTTCTATATCAGTGTCGGAACTCGGATCATCCTTGGGATGCCGGGACGTACGATGTTGTAACTCCAGAAGTCAAGGCCAGTGTTATCATTATCACATTCTTCTTGATGAAAGACCTGATCCAAAATGTAAGCACAGGCGATTACCAGTTTAGGAGCTTCTGATTACCAATTGTAGGGGTCGTTCGGACTGTCGCTCGGTTGGGGAACCAATACAACTCCGTCTTTCGTCTTAAGTATGGCATCTTCAAAGCTTTGCGCTGCAAAGTCATTGTCAGTATCCGTTAATAGTGATACGCAACCTTTCCTTTCTTTTCCTTTTTTCTGGGAACACATACTTGATTCGGGCTCTCTGTCCAACAGAGTGGTCCCGGGAACTTCAGCAAGCTTAGTATCTTCCAGGATACCCCACGCCATATTCACAGTTAATATTGCGAGGTTATTTTGCTTCTTTATGGAAATGGAAACGAGAGTAAAACAAAATAAGAAGAAAAAGCAGAGATATTAATAAGGAAATAATCAGAACTAGAACAGTAAGGGAGAAAAGAATAGGACTGCCCAACACCGTCCTGCGATGCTGTCAGGAAGAACAGAACTGAAGTCAAGAGAATGGATACCAGTCGAAGCATTGGAAAGATGGAAAAAGTAGCACATAGATATTGTTATACCGCAGTAACGCTAATTCACTCTTTGCCACAGATCAGACCTTAAACACAGCCCATTACTAAAGCATGCGTAGCAGAAAACTGGGTACCTTATTGAATCCTTGCAAAGGGGGCGGACCCAATGTGGTCACCACAGCGCAGGAATCGTGGCATCATAAAACATTTCCCATAGCGCCCGGGGTCACTTCAAGCTCCACATCGAATATCCACCATTTTTCTACGGTAGATGTTGGTGGTGTTGCTCAGATTCTGAGAGCTGGATAAGTAGGGCAAGTCTCAGGTGAAACTGGCGTATCCAGATGGAGACGAGATCATGCTAGACGATATCTCAAGAGATCATAGGATGGGCGATCATCTGTTTCCAAATGTATCGGCTGCAGTTACTGCCAATGTTGGGAGCGGAAGATACCCGAATTCTCGACTAGATGGGTTCAGTCACTTGTAAGCATTGCTTTGGAGTGTCTCGATAGTTCATATCGATCACTGGCGCACACATGCATATCGTCTCGTCCAAGTCGAGTGGAAAACCGAATATCCGTGAAACAAGATACCTGGCAGAGAAATGATAAAATCATCTTCTTGAAGCCGGATACATTCTGGCAGCCCGTCAGCATCGAAGCAACCGATAGTCACTGACACGCGAGGAGTGTCGATACAATAAGATCGAGACAGAAGCAGCCCGGGGCGTGGTGGATCCTGTCGATCACTCTTAGAACGTGCGAGCGTTCTTAGCTTCATTGTGTCTCTGTTGGTCACATCTGGAACAGCGGACCGCATTAGGTCGTCGATCTTCCTTAGAACAGCGATCACCCTGGGAATTAGTTCCTGGTCCGTATCAGGAAGTTAATTTATCGTCTTCCCAAGGTGGACTTAAAACTGCTACTCCCTTGGCAATGATGTTTCCCTTTCTAGAAGTGGTATGTATCGACGTTTTCTTACTCGCAGTTCGAAATCCATCTTGACTTCTTTGATCCGCTTAGAAATGCTACTAAGCGGAATCATTCCGGGGTTGCTAGAAATAGCATTATCAGCGTGCCCGGAGTAGAATTTATCCTCTATCTATCTATATTTACAGACATACGGCACTATGAATGATTAGCTCTCCAGTCTAATCGGCTCCACTTTTTCTGATCTTGTCTCTCGTCGTCCGGGCGAGACTGATGTGGAGGTGTTGAAGAGCGCAAACAATGCTCGAAAGGCTTGCAAAGAAGTGGTGTTAGCGAGACGCACAGACAACAGGTTTCCCAGACTGGTTGCCATAACGGTCAAGGCCGCCGAATCGGGAGACCATAGCAGCCCCCGTAAGGAAGGCTCATATAGTTACATCTTACTTGGTTAATTGTGTTCTCCGTTGAGTAATTCAGGAAAATAAAGGTCCAGACTTTTGGGCGACTTAGTTATGCGGAACTGTGGTAACCTATGGCTGTCTCTTTTGAAGCAGCGTACGGCGTATCTCAGAAGCTAGATAGACTATGGCGTAATGTGGAATACGACTACTGCTGCAGATCCTATTCAATGCTATATTCTGTATCCGTGACTAGCTCACCCACGCCCTTCCGGTCGTGGGTGAGCCCTCCCGTATCTTCAATTCCTACCATACCTTCAAAAAAAATTTTAGGTACCTTTTATATGGGAACACCATACAAAAGGTACATAAGGCCAAAAACACAATATTTCCAAATATCTCAACATTTTATTAGAGGACACCTTTATTTTAACTGATAATATTAAAATATTATTATTAAATAATTTATATTTAAATTTTTTAAAAGCTCTCATTAAAAATGAGAGATATATTGGTATTTAAAGATTTCTCACTAAAAATTTTTTATATGGGGAAAATAAAAAAGCAAACGCTTACTTTAATAATTGAGATTTTAATTTCAAATTAAAGCTGTAGGTTATTATATCATATTATTTTAGTATTATTAATTAAAATAAAGGTATTCTCTACTAAAATGTTGAGATAATTGGATATATCATGTTTTTGGCCTTATGTACCTTTTGTATGGGAACACTATACAAAAGGTACCTAAAAAATTTTTGGAAGGTATGGTAGGAATTGAAGATACGGGAGGGCTCACCCACGACGGCAGGAGTGGGTGAGCTAACAGTCACGGATATTAGGCGATCCATGTTCGATAGGCCCTTCTGACATGCATTTGTAAAAGCAATATTCCGTATGTAGCTATGTTTTGGTCCTCTATTGGTCTGGCGTCCCGAATACGTGCTTCATGAACACGCAGATAGTAGATCTTATCAAGCCTGAACTCTATATACTATTGTCCAGTTACAAGGAGTTTTTGATTCTCTTGCACGATGTGTGAAATAGCTCAGCTTCCGGGATCCGAGCTGACGAACTGCACGGTTGGCCTCCACTTTGAGTCTGGAGTCAGGACACCCGTTCGTCAGAGCGGGCGCCGTCGTATATCTTCGAACTGCTCCGGGGCTCATTAGAAGAAGAAAAATTAGGGGGCCTGACATGAAACACGGCGCCAAGAGCGTGACAGCTGGCTAGGGTTTTGCTCATTCACGATTTCACACAAGCCTCGTCAGTCAACTCTGTCAGGTGGGAGAATTAGAATCTGCCAAGTCTCACAAGCCCTAAGGCATATAATTTTTGCTTCAGGTAGATAGTTAACTGACAGGGTTTCGTAGGATCACTCCGGCTGGTCATGTCCCGAAGTTGGGGACTCGTAAGACACCTAGTACGACCAAGAGTCCCAATGAGATAACGGGGGTGCCATACGGAGTATATTGCGCAATACTTCATATTATGTTCCGTGCCTGATCACCATCACTGTTGTCTGTAGTATCGTTGGCACTAAAGAGTTACAATCTCGTCCTCTACCGGAAGGGCACCCTGTGCCTGTAATTCAAGAGCGACATCGTCCACTTCTTTCCATACTCTGAGTAAATTTCCTCCTGCAATTTTCACCGCATCCTCGTCACTGACGCCCCGCCTCAATAACTCAGCGATAAGTTTGGGGAACTTGGATACATCTTCCAATCCTGTAGGGGTCGTGAGGATACCATCAAAATCGCTGCCCAGCCCGACATAGTCATATCCAACCAGTTCTCCGATATAAATGATGTGATCAGCAACGTGTTCCAGTGTCGCGTTTGCGGGAAAGAGATCTGGGAGACCATCCGATCGGTCCGCAGGAACACAAGATACGAAATCGGGGGAAAAGTTGACCATGACGATCGAGTTCCTCTTTTTAACAAGCTGTAGGACGTCGTCTGGCACATTTCTAGGATGTGGGCAGACACCATAGGCGGAGCTATGACTAAAGATCACAGGGGCTTTGCTTCCTTCCCAGTCGTCCTTCCCAGCTCCCAGGACATCCCGCATCGTTTCAGAGCTCACATGAGAAATGTCCACGATCATCCCCAGACGGTTCATTTCGAACACGAGGCTCTTCCCTTCGTCACTAATTCCATGCCATAGCGGTTGTGCTTTCTTCAGGGTGCCTTCCGCTGTCTCTTGCAGGGCCGCATCTGCAAATCGGTTATGGCAGTTGTGAGTTAAAGTTGCGTACGAGACTCCCATATCGTAGAATCTCCGCAAGTGTGCTAGAGAGTTGCCAATGGAGTGGAGTCCTTCGATTCCAAGTGGAGAGATGATCTTTCCCTCACGAAAAGCCTGGATAGCAGTCGTACCATTAGGAGGAGCAGAAAATACATGCGGATACGCTTGTTGGACCCGCGACATAATGTCCACCTGCTGTATGGTCATTCGAACGCCTTCCAATGTCAGTATTACTCTAACGCTTGCCGGCCATGCCACAAGATGGGCGCAGCCTCTGATCCGATAAAGAGCCAGGATAATCTATAAACATCTCGCAAGAAAAATATTAAGACTTAAAGAGGTATGTGGACATACTCTGTGCATAGTTCTCGTCGGAAAAGTCCATGCCATCTTCCGGGCATGGGACAAAGACGCTCCAGAATGTACCGCCCACTTTGCCCTCGAAGAGTCTAGGCAAGTCAACGTGGCCACTTAAATTGCCATGCGTGAAAGATTCCGTGAAGTTCTTGTCATATATATGATTGCCGTAGAGCATGCGGATAAGAAACGGAAGATCATTGTGCCCATCTTATGATGAAAGTCAGCTGCTTTCATTCTCGTATGTCCAGATAGTGATCGGTACCTATCAGAGGACTTCTCGAGAGAATCCTGTCTACTCTCTCCTCGATCGTTAACCTTCGAGCTTCGTTATCCCCTCTAACGTCGCAGATGCGTAGAGCGAAGAGAGTGACTAGGGGAATCAGGAGGGCAAACGAAGTGATGAGCTTCGCCAGTCGTCGGGAGACTTGCTGTCTTGGAGCTCCTTGAAGCTTCTTCTCAGCGCCCAACAGAGCACGCGTTTCCTCCATCCTGGTTCTGGGTAGCGGATGCGAGTAATCGACTCCACGATACCCGGGTATTCAAGTCTGCTGCGAAAGGTGCAATGGATGGAAAGAAGATTATCAATGGGAGCCAACAGACGAGACAACGGCATGTCTCTTATCGCCGACTGGGGCAGATTACTTAGCTAGCGCTGCCTCCGAACGACGCAATGCGCAGCCACTTCAGTTCTTATAAAGATACGTGCATATTCCTAACTGAGACTACCTAGAGAGCAGTGTATGATAACTAGTCTCTGCTGAATCATATTAATAATAATTGCACCCCCCGCGGACACCAAAACATCGGCCATCTGGCCCGCGGTACCAGAAGCCTTCGCACTCCACATTTGATCCGCGCCATTTTCAGCCACACACGGTGATCACGAAACCGACCAGACTTTCACCATCGCTTTTTCTTCTCTCAGTCGCCCTGCGCAGATACTCTGATGGCTGCATTATCACTGCTGTGAAATCCACTTCAAGCGGGCGGACATCCTCAGCGTGCCTAAAATGACCTCGAGTCCACCAGAAGCCGCCGCTGCGGTGGCAGGTGAGTGTGAATCGCACAGCTTCCCCGTTCCGTATAGCTGATGATCCTCATCCTAACAGGCTTACTGGAGTTGTGGCACTCGTACCGGCTCGTAATTCTCGTCGCCATCACCGCGGTTGGGACTGTTACCTACATATATCGTACGGCCTATCGCCGGTCGAAAACTTCCCTGTCTTTGTCGACCCCGCCATCACCCCTCGTTCCGTCAGAAAAGATTCCATGGACAAGAGATAGTAAGGTGGTAGAAGCTCGCGCGGACAGTGAATTCGCCAAATTGCCATCGAAGGTCGACTTGAAACAGAACAAACCTACCTCTGGTCCGAAGATAGTGCAAGGGAAAAAGCAAGTCAAGGCCCGAGGCGCGCAACGAAGCCCCGAGCAATCCGAGTCGCCGTTCTTCATACAACCCGTGATCTTCTTCTCGTCTCTTACCGGAAATACTGAGAGATTCGCGCATACTGTGTTGGAGAATTTGCGATCCGCAGCTCAGGCCTATTCCAAGACCGATCGTGGCCGTGGACTGCTTCCGCCTCAGATGCATGACCTGTCTTACATCGACTTCGACGATCATTTCACTGCCGCACCCAAGCCGCCATCGAGCTCTCCGAACACTCAATATTTCTACTGCCTTCTCATTCCTACCTATAACATCGATACCATCATCAATACTTTCCTGGGTCATCTGGAGGAAACGCACCATGACTTCAGGATAGACACAGCACCCCTAGCTCCTCTTACAGGATACTCTGTCTTTGGGTTCGGAGATCGAGAAGGATGGCCCACCGAAGAGGAGGGCTTCTGTTCGCAAGCCAAAGAGTTGGACCGATGGATGGCAAAGCTGACCGGCGGAAAGAGAGCTTATCCTCTAGGCCTTGGCGATACGAAGAGCGATGCTTCGTCCTCTTTGGCAGAGTGGTCCAGCGGAGTGAAAGAGATCTTATACGATATTCTAGCAAACGGTGGCTTGGGCGACGGGGTGGCTGGTAGTGGAGATGCGTTCGAGAGCGATGAAGAAGACCTTGAGAACACGCCTGGTGAAAGCAACACCAGAAAGCCTCGTAAGGCTGCTGCTTCTGGGTCGGTCTTGGATCTTGAAGATATCAAATTTAATGTTGAGAGCCAAAATCCGGGTGCAGGTTCGGCGCCGCTTCCTGTGGACTTTACAACGTTTGGAAAAGAAGCTTCGAATCCCATCACCCAACCGGCGGCGAAAGAAATGGTGCCCAAAAAGTCTCCCACGTATACTGCTCTCACTAAGCAGGGCTACACTATTGTCGGCTCACATTCAGGTGTGAAAATTTGCCGCTGGACCAAGTCCGCTCTTCGCGGTCGCGGGTCTTGCTACAAATACTCGTTTTACGGGATCAAGTCGCATTTGTGCATGGAGACTACGCCGTCTCTTTCCTGTAGTAACAAATGTGTCTTCTGCTGGCGACACGGTACGAATCCCGTCGGCACTACCTGGCGTTGGAAGGTGGATCCCCCGGAGCTTATCTTCCAGGGAGTCAAGGAAGGTCATTACAAGAAGATCAAGATGATGCGAGGAGTCCCAGGTGTCCGTGCCGAACGGTTTGCTGAAGCAATGCGCATCAGACATTGCGCACTGAGCTTGGTAGGAGAGCCGATCTTCTATCCCCACATTAACGAGTTCCTCTCCATGTTGCATGGAGAAAAGATTTCAAGCTTTTTGGTTTGCAACGCTCAGCATCCAGACGAGCTCGCGGCCCTTGACAGGGTAACGCAATTATATGTCTCCATAGATGCCAGTAACAGGGAAAGTCTCCGCAAGATTGATCGACCCCTTCACCGTGATTTCTGGGAGCGTTTCCAGCGCTGCCTCGACATCCTAAGAGAAAAAAGGCATGTGCAGCGCACCGTCTTTCGACTGACTCTGGTCAAAGGCTTTAACGTGGATGATGAGATCACCGGATACGCAAACCTTGTCGAGAAAGGGCTGCCATGTTTTGTTGAAATCAAGGGCGTCACTTACTGCGGCACAAGCTCAAGTGCTGGTGCTGGTCTAACCATGAAGAATGTCCCCTTCTACGAAGAGGTCGCCGAATTTGTGGTTGCACTCAACAACGAGCTCCAAAGGCGCGGTCTCAAATATGGAATCGCAGCCGAACATGCTCACAGTTGCTGCGTTTTGCTTGCATCGGAACGATTCTTTATTGGCGGAAAGTGGCATACTAGGATCGATTACGATCGCTTCTTTGAGCTCCTTGAAAAGGAAAAAAGAGACGGAACGTCCTTCATGCCTGAAGATTACACCAGAGAGACTGAAGAATGGGCGCTTTGGGGAAATGGGGGCTTCGATCCAAATGATGAAAGAGTCTACAGGAAAGGGCGCAACAAGACAGCTCTTCCCCCAGCCGCTTCCTAGGTGGAAATATATCATATACACACTTCCGGTTCGCGGTGGTGGCTGGTGACCTCACTGTGGCTTTTACATTGGTCTTTAGTCCTTGCTCCATCCATATTATATGGCATGGTTAAGGAATTCCGTGACCAATATGACTATATATTATGGCTCCACGAAGGCCATTTTCGTTGCATGTATTAGCAAGCTGTGCCTTTCTACAAATCCATAACTTACCTTGGTCTAGCTACTGATATATATATCTACCTACATACTTTTGTGACCGATAGAGACTCCGGATATGGGGATACTCCAAACCGTCTACAGTAGATTTGAGTTCAAATATAACTCTCGCTTCTTCACCTCTTACGGGTGGAATCAAACTCAATATATTTCTCGGGACCTTTGTCCGCCAAAACCACATCGCCGGACTCCCTTATAAGTTGTCGTCCCCATTGCGTCACAAGCTAGGATTCGAAGCCAATTTTAGAAGTACGTACTCGCGGGCTTTTCATTCTTGCCTCATTTTATTACGTCCTATCTACGATGTCTTCGTCTTATATTCCCATTAGCTATCGGAAAACAGTACCAGTGGCGGGAGAAATATACGCCACGAGAGAGAAGAGACCGTTGGAGTTAGTGAGACTCCGTTAAATTTGGGAAACTACACTGACAACTAAATTACTAACATTTTGTTACTGGAGAATCTATAATCGATACTCCTCGCTTGATCCTCCCTTCAGAGACAGCTCGAATACCCATCAATATGGAATCAAAGAGCACAACCGAAATCCGCGCAGACCTCCACGAAAGAGCTAAGCGAGGACAGGCTCTGAATGACGACGAAAGAGAGGCAGTAATCAAGGCCGAAGCATCTCTTGGAGGGGAAGAGATAGGGAGAGGGTTTGCTGACGAAGCTCCAGCACGTACGTGTGTCATATTACATCTCTTGAGGTTTCTACTGATATCAGCAAGCGGCTCCCTCCCAAGAGGTCAATCCTCATCAGTGTGCGTGGGCTTCAAAAGCAGACGATGTGCTCAGCCAGCGACTCGATCGGGTCACGAAGGATGATGCAAGAGATCTGCAGTCGAAAGAGGTAAGTGTCAGATCAGTTTCAACATGGTGGTTCTTTGTTTAGTCACGCTACATCCCTCCCTCGAAAAAATCGAGACTATACTGTGATGATAAATCAGTAACACATCCTATTCTAGACTCGGGCTTTCGATAAGCTTCCTGCGAAAGCGTCGCTTGCATCAAATGTACAATCTGTTGCGGACCAGAATGAGGATACGAGATTTCCCGAACTCCGGCCTCCTCCTGGATCGTAGAGTTCTGACCAGATGAGTCAACCGTTTTATAGTAGATAGTATCATAGGTCAGATTCGGTGATCGAGCGGCATTGGAATTCAGGATGAAGTTTCAGCAGATGACTGCTCGTGCTGTTGGTACAAATGATCTCGATCACAAAATATGGTTTTCAGATTGCACAGAAGTGCTCCTGTAGATGCCCGAGATAAGAATGTATCGACAAAGATAACAGTAATTGGCAGTAAAAAAAAGCGGGTGTCAAAAAAGACACCTCTTGTTCTATCTGATGCACCGAACCTCTGAGACAATTACGCACCGGACTAGTATGCATAATGTCTCTGGTATTGTATTGCTTGCAAAAGGGAGTCAAGAGATCAGTAAATCAAAAAATCCGTACAATGGTATATATGAGGCCGGCGACCGACCGGCTCACAGCAGGGGAACCTCGCAATGAGGACTATTAAAACCATTTCCGAACGCCAGCGCCGGTGCCCATCACATCTTGCCTTCATGAAACAGAATATATCATAACCCCGATCAGTCCATCCATATTCTACAGGAAATACTCACTGCGGCCTGGTCGCGAGGAAGGAACGTGCCGTTGATCATCACTGACAGCACTGAATAGCTTAAATGTAGGTTTGAGATCCTCGCGAATTTCACAAACAGAGGCCAGGTTACCGCACCGATAACAATAGTTGGGAGCACTCCAGACCGTCACAACGTCTTGATTAGCGAAATGATATTTGTAGCCCTCGTTAACCAGCTGGTGCGCACGAGCAATCAGCGTGAGGTCATTGACGTGACAGAATTCTTCTGCCACTTTGTCACCAAAGAGCCAACCTGGATACCTTGTGAGTGAAGATCATACGGGGCGTCAAGATATTACACATACCAGCTCCTCTAGGGCTGACCGCCCAGGTCTCAACGTCTTCGGGATCCGACCATACAAGATCGCAGAATGCACCTTCATGCGGGATCTCCTGCGCTCGAGCGACGACACGCACCTGGTCCAAGGTCCTGATTTCTGGACTCAAGCCTCCGTGTACACACAGGACCTTGCCATCAATAATGGCACCAAGTGTCATAAAGTCAAATACCTGACAACAGGCTTTCCATACAGAAGCATTGCCGTATTTTTGGAAACATTCCTCGTAGAAACCGTAAACCTGCGTAATCTGCCTCGACTCGTGGTTTCCTCGAACCAAGGTTATCTTGTCTGGGTATCTATGGAGTATCAGCACCCGGCGGCCCTATGAGAACGGGCATAGATACTTACTTAGCCTTCAGACAAAGCAGCAACGTCAATGTCTCCAAACTGAAATATCCACGGTCGACGTAGTCTCCTAAGAAAACGAAGTTCCCCGTAGGTGCATGATCCCCAGATGTAGCGCTCGGTGATCGCTCCCTCTGCCCACTACCGTTCGACCCAGAATCATCATCGCCGTCATCACCAGGAGCATCCGCGTTCCTCAACCTCTTCCTGAGTTTCGGGTCAGTGATAGTGGATGGGGGTTCGATATCTTCCGATGAGATCACAGTAGGAGCAGTAGCTGGGGTCTCAACCGCCGGCTGGTTTGGCATGCCTCCAGCAACGCGAAAGAGTTCTAGCAAATCGTAGAATTGACCATGGATATCTCCACATATCGTAACCGGTGTAGAGACAGGTTGTATGTTTGACTCTAGATGAAGATAAAAGTCAGCGAGGTGAGCATCTACCCAAGTCTGGCTGCGGATAATCACCTTCCATCATGAATTCCTTCACCATCTCGCAGAGCTGCTTCATGTGGTGCTCTGACAAGTACTTGCAGTCCTTAGCGGCTTCTAGCCATTCATCTGGACCGGCATTTCGTTTCAGACGCGCAGGCCCGGGCTGCGGCACTGTTCTCTCGGCCATTTCAGAGCTCTGAGCACGTTACAAAGGAAGGGTGTGTCCAAGGCGTTCAGGACAGAAGATGATGTGGGATCACAGATCTCCTCGGGGTAGAAGGGATCCAGTCGGGTGAACTTTCGAAAGAAAGTCCACAGGTTCTCACGGAAGATCCCTCAATGGGAAAACAACTGTCAAGGGTGATCCTGGGGAAGTTCGAAGCGTGTCCAATTGCCCCCCGCAGGTTGTTGGAGGAGCGGGAGTGGGAGCGTGCTTGGCGTCCTTCGACGCCCGTACTCTCCGTACGGTTGTATCCAACATCACCGAGCAACTCTCCGCAAAGACTGAAATACTGGATTGCAAGCGGGATTTTCTTCTCTCTATAGAGCTTTTTCTGTCCTCTGATAGTCGGGTTAACCCCGCTTGAGCATGCGGAGACCAGTTCTCTTCGCACTTATCCAACCCCTCGTCCCCAGTGATCTACGCATAATAAGTACCTAGGTAGCTTATCGATAGTCTCCTAGTGCCAAACGCTGTTGCAACTCGCAAACCGCATCTCAGAATGACCCAAGTGTCCATTTCAAAGCCCACTGGAGGCGTGCTTCCTATCTCTGCTTCCGCGACCCAGAAAAATGCATCTACTCCATCGAAAAGTTCGGCAAAACCACCTACTCCGAGGCTCAAGCTGCTTGTGAGACGACTCCCTCCTGGTTTAACACAAGTGGAATTTCAGAGTGCTCTGGGGGAGGAATGGAAACTCGGCGCAGGGAAAGTAGATTGGTTTCAGTATAAAGAGGGCAAGGTTTCGAAAGAGTATGTGGTGTTACCTATCTCATCTCTCATCATGCTAACATGCTACGATTTCTCAGTCCTGCAAAGCCATCCCGGCCATCGCGTGCCTATCTTCGTGTTGCTTCAGAACAATATATTGGTCCCCTAGCAGAGAAAGTCGGTCGAACCTCGTTCTTGGATTCCCGTAATACGGCAGGCGATCCTGTTCTCTTGGGCCCGCCGTCTCTGGAGTTTGCGCCCTTCGCCCGTGTACCGGGCAGTCGTGTACGCAAGGATGCACGGCAAGGGACTATCGATCAGGATCCGGAATTCATTGACTTCTTAGAGAGTCTCACAAATCCAATCACAAAACCTGCACCCGTCGAGGCAACAGCGGATGGGGAGAAGGCTGAGGCTGTGACAACGACCCCCTTAGTGCAGTATATTAAGGAAAAGAAGGCCAACAAGACCAAGGAGAGCGCATCATCTGCTAAGGGCACGAAGCACGGAAGATCAGAGAAGGATAGCAAGCCGGAGAAGGTGCAAGCAAAGAAACTGCTACAGAGACCTGACAAGGATGCTCCCCCAACGACGTCCACGACGGACAAGAAGGCTAAGAGCGAGAAGGCCACCAAAGAAGCCATAAAGGTCGCAAACAAGCAAGCTGCAAATGTAGCCGCTAAAGCATCGGCGAAAACACCACCGGCTACAACTTCCAAAGAGACTCCTGCACAGACGTCTGCACCTGAGCGGAAGAGAGAACGAGGGAACATCAGTGCAGCCGCCAGAATTGTCCAGCGCGATCTCGGACTGGCTCCTCCCGGTAATCGTCGCAGAGGGGGCAAGTCGACTACTACGTCTACCGACACCGACGCCTCCAAGACAGGAGGAAGCTCTCAGGAACCTGTCTCCTCTCCTGCCGCTGGGAAGCAGCCGGCAGCAGCCAGGTCATCTAAAGAGGCCAAGGAGACTGCAGCAACGCAGAAAAGTGCAACTGAAAAAGCCAGCGGTGCAACACCGTCTCAATCGACAGTAGCTTCCTCGACTGTCCGTCCAGCGTCTTCCGCTGGTAAGTCTTCGAAATCTGTGAAATCGAAACAGCCAGCTCCGACTGGGTCAACTCAGGCGTTCCTGAAACACGCCAATCCCTCACAAGGCGTAACAGAGCCTCTCCTGGAGGCAGCTTTCGCGTCGTTTGGACGTATCACAAAGGTTGAAATTGACAAGAAGAAAGGATTCGGGTACATCGACTTCGCTGAGCCGGAAGGTCTCCAGAAGGCCATCGCAGCCAGCCCTGTCTCAGTCGCCCAGGGCCAAGTAGTCGTCCTCGAGCGGAAGTCGAGTCCTTCGACTGAGAAGTCGCGCGGTAAAGGGCGCAATGAGCAACAGTCGCCATCCAGCCGTGGGAAGTCTGGAAGCGGTGGTGGACGTGGACCGGGTGGAGGAGAGAGCAGTCAATCTACACCTCGAGGATCAAGGGGTAGCAGAGGAGGGTCAAAGAATAAGAACAGCAACAACAACAAAGGTGGTGGTACTGGAAGCACGGCCAACGCGGCCACGGCTGAGTCTAAATGAGTCGCTGCCAGTGCTCTTCTAGAGTTATCCTTCCATAGTTAAAGTCCTGTTAGAATGATACCCATCCGATACTCTTTATCCTACTGTATATTATGTCTCATGGCTACTACCGAATAAATCTTCCGCAATGCTGTCTAGCCACTGTACTAATCAGCGTCATTACCATTACCAGACTGTGTCGAAGATAATCGCTATCTGGATATCAAGTGCCTCGTAACGGTAGCAACGTTACCCCGATAATAGATTCAGACTCGCGAACAGAATGTGGCTCGGTTCTGCAGAATCGTTGACATGGTTGCTCAGCACGCTGGCAAGGTAGCCACTGTACCAGTCTTGGTCATCTGCAGTTCTCCGGGGAATTTCATTACAAGGTTTTATGGTTACTGTTACTCGTGCAGAGAATCGCTAAAGATATTCTTCAGAAAATATTCCATTTCTGATCTATTCATGGACAAGCAAAACTTATATTCCACTTCCTATCCCAAACTAACACCGTGCATCAAAGTGTAGAGGGGAAAGGGGCCTTTCAGACCTCCTCGACACCCACCAAGTCCAACCGACCGAAGTCAAGACGTCGAGACAAGGTAAAGATCATCACCACTCCCTGGACACAGATACCGAAGCACCGGAAACAAGCCCGCCTTGCGGCAGTTTGTAACACAGCACAGTTGGAACCGGTCGAGGCGGGAGTAAAAGGCTTCACTTTAGGGCATCGAGGACATAGAAGTCATCAGCAAGGGTGGAGATTCTGTAGCTCTTTTAGAGAATACAGTGAGAGGACGTCTACTGTAGAAATGATTCTATGAACTGTTCGAAATAGTTAGCATCCACAGCCAAAAGTTGAGAGAATGGTCACTGTAGGGGAGGGGATCACATACGTAGAGTCGCTTAATTCTTCACAGAGAGTCGAGGGTGCGACGGCTACTTATATCTGTCAGTGGAGTCGTGTGACCGCGCTAAGCCTAAGCGAAGGTGTGGATGTTTGACAGGTTTGCGTAAATCAAAAACATTTTCATTGGTCAACATCTCTTCGCTCGAGCTCTCCACTATCAATTCGGTATGGCCGGTGAAGAAAAGTTTTTTTGAAGCGAGGAAGTGGATTCTCTTATGCTATCATAATCGATGCCCTGAGCAATCGTCGAATACGCTTCTCAGCTTCTAGACGGAGGGGCGATAATGATGATAGAATCCAGGCGAACCGTCCCCTAGTGCTGCTGTTGTTCGCCTCTGAGACATCGCTTTTACTGTACTATGGTAGACCGTAGTACTGAGTAGAATTTCTTCGCTCGTTACTGGAGCACAGCACTACTCTACTCCACCGAGTCCTATTCGAAGGTTTTGGATAATAGTATTCCAGTCATGTCATGGCCACCATGCATGTCTGGGCAAAGCTCAAAGAACACATATATAGGCTCAATCCGAATACTGATCATATTATTGGCTCCAGAGAAGAGTTAAAAAATGCGTTTGATGAGCTCATTCAGCAAGCGTGGTGCAGTCTAGGTCAAGAAGACTTCAATGGGTTGATCAAGTCCATGGAATCGACTATAAAAGTAGTATTGCTGGCAAAGGGGTGGTATACTAAGTACTATAGACTATTTCCAGTTATGTGATTGAAGAGACGTTGTCTTAACATACCATAATAAAATTCTAGGGTCCTAGGTCCTCTAGGTTCTGAATAGTATTCGATTTAAAACCACGTATATATATTTTTCAACAGGTGCGGGAGGCGGAATATCAAGAACATTTGACTACTGGAAAAGGAAATATGCAGCAACCTACGTTCCGTTCCTGGGCTCCCAATCTCGGCCATAGTCGGAAAGTGGTACGATATACAACTAGCAAAAAGCCTATACTATTTTGTGGAAGATTCTATTCACTTTGTACCTGTGGTCTCTTGAAAACAGAGCCAGTAGTGACGAAAGTTCTATAGATACTTCAGCCAAGAGACTACTAGACTTTGAGTATTGTGCATTGATAAACATAGATCTAGTCAGTTTATTCGTGGATCATGGCACAATCAACTCTTGATGTACCTTCTGTTGATTTTATTGTTAGCAATTACAATTTCCCCAATGACAGGAAGACTTACATACATAGGATCAGGAGGACTACCCGTGCTGGTAGAAGTTGTATCGCAATCTCTGTCCCTACGCAATATGATGCTAAACCGAGGATTCGAATAGAGTAGGTCTTAGGGCATAAATTGGATAATCTGAAGACAAGCAAAGATGAAGCAAGGGTGTTTGCTGAATAAGTATACGAGTCCCAAAGGATAACAGTGAACGAACTGAAGAATCCCCTGGACAAGTGGCGGGGTTCAGGGTCTAATTCACCGCGCAATAGAATGGAAAGAGAAGCAGGGACGAGATGGATCAGAATGAAGTTAGGGATATATGAAAGCATTTTTCAGTATTTGAACGAATGACTATTATCCTTAAGGACGCACAAAACTCAAAACTTGTGCAAGATCTCAACACTCCACCTTCTGCTGTATCCCCTTGAACCTCCCCTGGGCCATCTTAACTCCGCACCGCGTTCCAATAAACAACTTGTATCATTCAATTCACCGCATGTACACGGAGCACATAGATAGTACTGAGTATTCTATTCCTGCGGTGTAATCCAGTCACGGGTTGTTCGGGTTTACTTCATCTCATCCCCAATATATAAATAGTAATTAGCAACGTTAAAATCTCTATGTGGGAGATAACATCGCTCGTGGTACACTGCGCCTCTCACGGTGCCGAGATGCGGGCTTATTATCTAAGATTTAGAATATTGCCTTCTTCTCCGCGAAAATAAACAAGTGCTACGACCTATGTAGTTTATCAAATGTGGGAAAAGGAGATTTCCATGGGGATATATAAATGATCCTTGGCCCACCCTGATTCTGCTGTCAAGAAAGAACTTGTAGCACTAGAAATCCCATATACCACTTCTGTAAATAGAGAAACCATCCACGCAAATAGACCAAGTCCAGAACGCAGTGATTTAACTAGCCGCAGCTTGGGCCAGGTCGACTTTGTTCCCAACCGGCCTCCACGCTTCGAGATGGCTACCTACTTATCCGTATCGTTGCAGTGGCCTTGAATCCAATTAATTGGAAACGTCTGGAGAATACGGCAGCCCCAGGGGCGACTATAAATCACGACTACATTGGTGTCGTCGCTGCAGTTGGTGCATCCATAGTTCGAGTTAGAAATCGTGTCTGTGGCCTGGTCAACGGTGGTGGCAGCACACCGATGGAGAATGGCCCCTTTTCAGAATACATAGTCGTCAAAGGGAATATCCACATGAAAATCCCAGAGGGCGTGAGATTTGTTAACGCAGCAACTGCAGGATTCGGCATAACGACCGTCGGCCAATGCCTCTATGGTCTATCTGGATTAGGGCTGACTGTCAGCTGAGATCGTAAGTTAAGGCGCTTATTGCCGAACTCTACGATGGCTGCGGGCTGTTGGCTTAATTATTACTTACAGCAAAACAAAAGCTATAAGACTTATTCATATACCGTTAAGAATATCGGGACAGGTTCCCATTTCATAGCAATTAACGATTTTGAATATTAGGCTAGGTATAAAAAAAAAGACAAAAAAGGAAGAATACATACAACAGCAGGGATTCGCTGGTGGTCACCCACCCAACTACTAACCTGCCGGCGTGTGGCTTAAGTACGGCTGAGCGGACGGGAAGCCCTGTTTTCCACACCCTATGGTCGTATGTGCTTGATTGGAACTGGACTATAATTATAAGCTCGAAACAAGTGGCTTGTTACTACTCCTTGAATAATAGCCAAGGGACACGATAGAATAAGCAGTCCCTTCTACACGAGTGACTCTTACGATTTAAGTTTGTAATTTCCAAGTCTATCGTCGGTCTAAATGACGCTTACCTATGCTACTAGTCAGCCCAAATCGTGATAGGTATGGACCTGTAGGTATACTACTGAAATTAGTCTAGTCCATACATAAGTACAATATCGCGGGGAACCGGGCTTGGAGGGGGAGGGGAGCAAATTGAGGGGGAAATCCGATGGCGGAACGGTTGATTCGCCCGTCGATAGCGGGGGTCGGTCGAATTCTCTCCGAGGACGCGGAGAGAAATTAAAGTAGAGCAGTTCGTTAGTTACAGTAGCAGGCCTAGACTCCCTAGAGTGCTTGCTAGCAACTATATTTTGACGTATTATTGGGATATTGCTCCGCATTTTCATTCATCCTACCGGATCCGCATATGATGTTGAGTAGTCAAGAAACAGTCCCTAAAGCATAACCAGGAGGGAGCTACTAGTAACTATGACTATGACGCAGGGTCATCACCTGCTCCAGTTGGTCTTTTGAACCGGGCATGCAGATGAGCCCAGAGGAGCTGGAAATAGGCGTTCCAGAGTCGTGGCATTGTTGCTTCGGCCGAGATGGTCATCTACGGAGTGTTTATGTGTGATATTATCGGTTCTTCTGGAGGAAATAAATGAAGTTGTTACATAGAATTTCATTTCACGCTAGTTTCATGGCTCGTATACTGGACAGGCCTGCTGTTCTTTTGCCGAACAACATGGTATATATATATAGCGAGAGAGTCAGAAAACGACTCACAATCCCGGCAAACAGACAGAACAATTACGTATTTTGATGCTGCATTTATCCGAAAATAGCATCGGCAAGACGGATGCGGACAGTCTTGATCTGGGTGTAGTTCTCCAGGGCATACGAGCCCAGCTCGCGGCCCAGGCCAGACTCCTTGTAACCACCGAAGGGAACCTGGTGGTGGAGCATGTTGTAGTTGTTGACCCAGACGGTTCTATCAGCAGTTAGCGGGCTGTAGCACAATAAAATCAACCAGAAGATGTAACTTACCCAGCACGGAGCTCGTTGGAAACACGGATGGCAGTGTTGATGTTGCTGGTGTGGATGGCGGCCGCGAGACCGTAGTTAGTGTCGTTACCAATCTTGATGGCTTCTTCCTCGGTCTTGAACTTCTGGATAGCAACGACGGGGCCGAAGATCTCCTCCTGAACGATCTTCATGTCCTGGGTGACATCGATAAAGGCGGTAGGCTGGATGTAGTAGCCCTCGTTGCCGTGGCGCTCACCGCCGACGAGAACCTTGGCACCAGCCTTCTTGCCCTCATCAATGTAGCCCATGATACGGTCGAACTGGAGCTTGGACACCTGGGGACCCTGGAAGGTGTCCTTGTCGAACGGGTTGCCGACCTTGTTGGCGGATGCGCGCTCCTTGAAGCGCTGGACGAACTGGTCGTAGATGCCCTCCTGGACGAGGAGGCGGGAACCGGCACAGCAGCACTGGCCGTGGTTGAAGAAGATACCGAAGTTGGCCCAAGAAATGGCGTTATCAATATCGGCGTCGTTGAAGACGATGTTGGGAGACTTGCCTCCCAGCTCCAGAGTGACCTTCTTCAGGTTACTCTTAGCTGCGGCCTGGAGGATGGTACGGCCAACGGCGGTCGAACCAGTGAAGGCGATCTTGTCGATGCCCATATGGGCAGAGATGGCAGAACCCGCAATGCGACCAAAGCCAGAGATGACGTTAACAACACCAGGGGGGAATCCAGCCTCCTGGACGAGCTTGGCAGCGTAGAGTCCGGATAGAGGAGTCTGCTCAGCAGTCTTGATCACAACCGTGTTTCCAGCTGCGATAGCAGGGCCGATCTTCCAAGCCCACATCATCAGGGGGAAGTTCCAAGGGATAATCTGACCACAGACACCAATGGCCTCGTGCTTGGTGTAGGTCAAGTTCTCAGGGTCTGTGTCAATCGTCTGACCCACGATCTTGTCTGCCCATCCACCGTAGTACCGAATGCATGCTGCGGAGTTGGCGACGTCGAGCTTTGCGAAGAAGAGAGACTTGCCGTTGTCCAGCGACTCGATAGCTGCGAGGATATCCGCATCGCGTTCGATCAGGTCGGCCAGCTTGGTCAGTAGGCGACCACGGTCCGTAGGGGTGGTCTGCTTCCATGTGGTCTCGAAGGCCTTGCGAGCAGCGGCGACAGCAATATCGACATCCTTCTCGGTAGCCTCGTGGACGGAGATGATGGGCTTCTCGTCGTGGGGGTTGATGGTCTCAAAGGTCTTGTTCTCGACGCCCTTGACGAACTCGCCATTGATGAACCTGTGAGGGTCAGTACCGTCCCATATTGGGCCCCGAGAGCAGGGGATTCCGTGGCAGAAAACACGTACAGTCCAGTGGGCTGCTCATACTTGAGCGTGGGGGTGGTGATGGTGGAGAAGAGAGTGGAAGACATGATGGGCAACTAAAGGATAAATGGGTATCTGGCTTAATTGGAGAACAGAGATCAGTGAGAGGAAGGTCTATCTGATGAGAGGAAGAGAAAATCGTCTGGGGAGAAGCGCAGGCAACTGGTATATATATACCATACTCCAGGGACCCTGGGACCGTGGCTTCCCCCGCTCTCCCCCCTCCGTTGCTGGACGACAATGAGCTTCCTTGCTGCAGTGTCCAGTTCGCCATCCCAACCCCGCTATGGTGGAGCCGCCATGAAATCATTGACGATCCGTTGCTACAGTTAGATAGAGACTAAGAAAGATAAATTCTACTGCAACAATGTGATCCAAGTTCTTCATCGCCCAGACGGTGCGGGGTCATTTGGCGACCAATTGTGACGTGCCCGGTTCGCCATAGAAACCCACGCGGACCATAACCATAACCAACTTACTGACTCTACAGCAGACAGACGCGGTGGAATCTCAAATATCAGTCAATGGACAGTACAACTACAGCAAGTTAACAACAACCCGTATCTAGCGTCAAATGGACACCCTGCATGGCTGGGATGTGAGTCCCCCGCCGCCTTAGTCGACCGATCGACCAACACCACCATCGGCTGGAGGGAACGCTATCACATCTGGTCGGATTGCCGGAGAGTTGCAAGGTACCATACAACGGTTGGGAATCCAGGATGATTATTATTTGACAGGTGATGGTCGATGCGGAAGCCAGCTTCAAACAACGTTCATATCCTCAACCCAAACTCCCCGCAACGACTCCGCCCCTTTTCTCGTGGAGTTTCTGCAATTCATCGTGGAGAAATCTGGGGTTGGCGGGGACCACCGGCCCGGCTTTCCCGACGATCCCCGATAAAACCGACCACACGCGCTACTAGAACTCGTATATGACTCTCTGTCTCCCTCGGCTTTGATCGCAAGAACGTTATAGAGTTGAGCTCATCGCATCCTGATCTTGAAGCGGATCATCTGGGGTGATACGAGCAAATAATATGCAGAGTCAGACTCCGTTTCATCGGATCTCTAACTAATATCGACGCCTCCTAATGCCACATATTTTGGTAATGCGTCTACATCACATCCCATGCGGATCAGTAGAATTACTACTCCGTACTTCTCCTCCATGGATGTGGCGCTGCCGGTCTTAACTACTAATAATCTCCGAAGTCTACAGCGAGTCTATGGTGGGGTGGGATGAGCCAGCATTCTACCGTGGCGTCGGAACCGCACGGTTGAGAACCTGCTCAAACTCAAAGGGACGGATAGCGACGGTGGTTTTCTAGTTTTTCTAGTAGTCTGCTGGCAGCCTGGACGAACTTTCCCCGACCCGAACAGGGCGTAATATTGGATCAAAAGTGGTATCTATGGTATGTACACAGTACATACTCTATTCCCCTGCGTTCGTGACAACCCCGGGCCTGTGCTTCGTCAGTCTTCTGCAGCAGTAACTTAGGCACCTGGCAAGTAGTTATCACTGCCACCCACCTCTTTAGGTAGTTAATCTGGATTCTGTTTTATTAGAAATCGAATTAATAGGTAATAGGTAATCGGAACGACGGGCCGATAGATATTGGTACGTAGTATGAATATACTGACGGTAAACCCCCCGCATAGTTCAAGTTTACTGTTGATCTCCCGCCCACGCCGAGGGCTGAATCCCTGGAGTACCCCGTAAGACTTACCTACTGAGTACTAAGTATGCGGCTCCGGGCATTCTCCTGCAGGGTCCTTAAAGCGACCTGAACCGGTGACGACGTTAGATAGTCTAGTGACCTTTGCCCCTTCCGACATGTTTCATCCTGGCGATGAGCGCATCGGGGGTATCACGGGAGGAGCAGATGGCATATCCCCGTTGCTTCCTATTGCTAGTCGATCATCGTTCCCTTAGTCCGAACGCCTCTCTATCTTGGCTGAATAATTACCTACATACTTAGTTAACTAGTTAGTCCATAGTTGAGCAATAATTGCGAACTGCAATGAGAACAATGTCCACCTGATCCTTCTGTTCTCGGCTGCCGCATGAGTGCTTACGAGCCTAATAATGTGTCCTGATCTGATAAAGTTCGATGTCATGGAGGACCTAACTCTTCCCGTGGATCAAGCCAACTACCTAGGTAGGTAGAGACGTTCAGAATCGGGTTCACTCCGTGCAGAACGGATGAGGCTGTGATTATTATTACCTACAGTTGTCGTCTATCTGAAAGTGACCGGAGACGGACTGTCTATCTATCCGCGCACCGTCGGGTCGGGTTATGCACGGTAACTCGTGCTCGTAGAGGGAAATACCAGCAAATCAATGTTGAGGACAGATAGAAGGAGATGCTCTCTCATGCAACCTACGAACATTGTGGGATCGACTCAACTGCAGTCTGCACCTGCTCGAGGGGTTAGGTTGCCTCTTTCGGATACTGGCATCCCCTACCACGATAATCTAATGAGCGTCAATCGTAATAGCATATTACCTTAGATGAGAACTGCAGGGAATACCTATGCAGGTTTCTCTAGGAGTGGTTGATAGATATGGTATTTATCGTGGCATTTCTCATGATTCGATCTCCCAGTATCTGCAGGTTCATCCTGCATGCAGGCAAACTGCATATACATAATACAATCTTTCTCTGCCCGCACCGACCACTAGGTGCTCAAACTCTCGAGCTTATCGACGTCTCCTCGTCGTAGTCGGTGCTGGCTCGAATGCATCGTCATCATCCTCGATATCCTCACTCAGCACACTGACGCTTCGTGTAGTCCGGCTCGGTCGTGCACTGTTCCGCGAACTGGCCTGTGACGCACCGAAATCAAGTGTCGTCTGAGTCTGTCTCCCCCTCGTCGCAGTCGACCTAGCGGTCGTCCTCCGGGTTGAGGATGCTGCTGTGACGGACGAGGGGGCCGGAGACGCTGCTGTCCGCCCGCTCCGACGTTGGCCTGCAGTAGACGACGGGACGGTGCTGCGAGCTCGAGACTTCGTGGTAGCAGCCTTGGGTTGTGGCTGTTTGACGAAAAGAGCCTGAGACTCGTCGTCCGACACAGCATCCTCTGCCACGTCTTCTTCATCATCATCGTCCAGCATTACGACGTCTTCTTCCTCTTCTTCCTCGTCCGATACGACCTGTTTGCGGCGACCTTTTGCTGAAGCAGCTCCTCGTTTGGTCGTTGTCGTAGCTGTCTTGCGAGTGCTAGCAGTGGCTGTGGTCCTGCCACCACGACCTCTGCCACGTCCTCTTGATGCGCGTGGTGGCTCTGTGCCATCTTCTGCTGCTTCCTCCTCGACGGGGTCACCACCCTCGTTGTCAGAGTGGATGAGGGCTCCTGGCTGGTCTTCCCACGCGCCGTCGAATTCACTATCCCATCCATCGGGCTTGGGTTTGAACCGCTTCTTACCACGCGTCCGTCTCCCGGTGCCCTTGGAAAACGCCTCTTCCATCCGCGTGCGATACTTCTCCATTGCTGCATGGAGGGAAGCACTGCCTGTCTCCTCATCCATATCGTCACTGTCTTGATCTAAAGACAGCAAATGCTTGATCTGATTACCCAAGGACTCGTTGACAAACATTTCCATGGCATGCTTGTCATCTTTGTCGACAAACTGCGACACGGCATCACCAAATGAATTCTGCGGAAGGATTGTGAGGGATTGAGCCTGCAGAAATTCCCTAACTAGCTTTTCCACCTTGACCGTGTCCAGGGAGGTCAGCTGGGATACAACTGCCTCATCAACACCACTGTCCTTGGGACGGGTAGAGCTCGCCGCCTTCTTCTTCCTGTAAAACTGTACCACATCATTAACGTTTGCGACCCTCCCGACGAATCGGTTTGAAAATCTCTGCGGATTTTCACAATCGAAACTCCCTCCATCAGGTGTTGAGATCTCAACGCGTAGCCGGACTAACGGCAACGGTGGCTCTTGTTCTTCTTCTTCTTCGCCCTCTTGGCTCTCAAGCCATTCAGCTTTCGCTTCTTCGATCAGTTCGTCCACAATGGACATAAGGAAACGCGTGACTTCGGTCCGGTTATCATCTTTCCTCGCTAATTTCTGCGCCCCTTTTTCTTCAGAGAGGACAATCTCGCGCATCACAAACGGACGAACTGTCTTCAAACGGATCGGCTCACACTTGAATTCGCGGCCAGTAATAGTAAGGATGGCAACGTGTTTGGCCACAGCCTCGCCAGGCATTAAAGACGTTGCAACAGAAGACCCTGGCTGCATGACATGGAACTTCGTCTCCGGGTTTAGACGAGGATTGATGAGACACTCGTGCTCGTGACCCCAGATAACGAGGTCAAGGAAGTCTGGAAGGAACGTCTCAGGAAGATAACCAGTTTCCGTGTAAGCATGGTGATTCTGATGGACACTCATGAGATTAAACCAGTCGTCCTTCTGGGTGGCTGGCTGGAAGAACTTGACTTTGCCATCGCGGAAGGTCCTGAAGAGCCGCTCGTCTCGAACGTTGCTCATACCGTAGAGGGCAAGTTTTGTCCTGCCTTTCTGGAGAAGAACCGGTTTGATCTGAATGTTGTCGGATTCCGGCGTCCGCCCGTAGTAGTTGACCAAACCAGATACTTGTAGCAGATCTAGAGCGGCCAGATGGCCTTCACCAGACGGATCGTCATGATTGCCGTGGATCGAGAATACCGGAATGGCAACGTTGATGTCTAGATCTTCATAGTTGACATGATTGAAAGCCCCCTGGAAATTTTCGCTGGCGTCGCTGAGCATCTCGAGCTCGCAAGGCTTGTCCCCCAGACAGTTCATCCGTAGGGAACGCATCACTTGATACATGGATTTTCTCGACGGCTTATTTTCATGGAACAAGTCTCCCGCGAGCAGGACCATGTCGACATCTCGTTCCTTGGCCAGACACATCACTTCGTGGAAGCTCTTCCAGCTATCGTCACCCCGGATCGGATCACGCTCGTTGTAACCGACATGGTTGTCGGTGGAGACAAGGATGCGGATCGTGTCCGCGTCTGCGTTTGTTAGCTAAAATCGAATGTAATTGTTGATAATGGATCATACCTGTTAAGGAGGGCATCCGCTTAGTATATTTATTTCTCGAACTTGAAAAGGCAAAACTGAAGGCAAGATGCAGTGAGAGGTGTAAGTAGGGGAAGCTTCATGGAGAAACTAAAATGGCATCGTAGAACTTCGCGAATGCTGCCTAGTTTTTAGTCAAGTATGACCGAAAACCGACATTTCTCGATTAGGAGCTAAAGAAGGTTACACAAGCAAAAACGGAAACTCAGTGATCTACAGCCATTTAACAACGTATCCTGTTGAATTAATGCATCGTCGTTCTTGTCGCCTCTCGCGTTTTGGCGCGACGCGGTCACGTGCAGAAGCGCGAGCGCAATCGATCCGGTTTCAACTCGTCGGCTGCGCTCATCTTTCTTCCCCTCATCATCTTCCACCCTCCAAGACGCTCTCGTCCGTGATACTACTCCAACGCCACTCGCATCCTTCATCGACTGAACCAGAAACCCCTGGCTCAGTCGCACATCCCTCCTAGCGCTCCTCTCAGAAATCTTTTATGCCATCAGAGTCTACCGCAGTATCTCCGCATACTATAGACTCAGCCGCAGCAGACGCTCTCTTTTCTTCCCAGCATGGAGATGACCATCGCGACCAGCCGGTCTCTGACCATCTCTTCGATGAAAGGGTTGGAGACCACAGCCAGCCGAGCTGGATCGCGCACACGTCCGTCTGGGATTCTGCGGAACAGGACGAAGGTATCTCCTTGCGACGGTTGAGTTCCGGCTTGTCCGTGGACCAATCGTCGAGCGTCGACCGTGTCAGGCAGTATGAGAATTCTTCTATGTCGCCGGAGAGGAAATATGGAGACCTCCCCTTCAAGGTGATGCCGTCCAGTGACAGATCGCGCGTGTCGATCGAGGACTTCCCTAATGGTACGTACACAGGCGGCAAGATAAGGGACTTCCGATTTTAATATACAATGCAGAGGTTCTCACCCATATCCTTTCTCATCTGCCTCCGTCGAGCCTGTCATCAATGGCAGTAGTATCGCGCCGCCTCCACAATTTAGTGACAACACCCCATGCGTGGCGGATGGCGTTCTCTCGATACTTCCCGGGCCCTGATAGCATAGAGACGCGGCGTGCTGGGAAAAACCACCCGGATACGTTGCGTTCGGAGAAGCGGTACTTCACTAGGCTGACTGCACTGGCTTCCTGGCGCAGTGAGTACATCTTGCGGACGCGACTGTTGAGGTCGTTGGCCAGGGGCAAGCCTGCCAATTTTCAACCGCCCGGTAGACATGGGCCAGTGCGTTCAGCCAGTGTACAAAACGGTAGTGCCGTGATCACCTATACGTCCCAGCTTCTCTATCCTGTCAGTCACATTGATGGTAACTTTGGGACTGGTCTGGATAAGAGGCAGCCGAAGTTCATACACGGTGCCGTGGAGCAGGGTTTTGCTTCGGCGAGTGACCCTTCCATGGGAAAGGTCGGCAGTTGGGGCTTGTCAGATCATCAGATGTTCCAACACTTTGCTGATCTCTATCCTGGTGACGCACAGTACGGGTTAGGACCGGGCAACATGGTCGGAGTACCTAATTCTATGGATGTCAGTCAACAATATGGAATGGTCTACGGTGAAGGTTGTCCCCAGGGTCGCACCTACTTCATCTCCTCCGATGAGCAGAGGGGCCGATTTCTGAGCGTTCCTGACTCTAGCTCTCATCCTCAACTGGGAATACCTGCACTGAACATGATCACCACGGCTGTTTGTTCCGTCTGGATTGCGAAGTCCACAGCCATATTAAAAATGACGAATGGGCTTATTGGGTTGTTGTCAGGTTCATCGTCCGGAATCTTGACAGCATACTCATTGGGCACGAATTCTGCTCATGAGAAGCGCTTCGAACGAGGGCAGGTCACCGCCAGATGGGTCATCTGTCCGGGTGTCCCCATTATTGCTATTGCTGTGGATGAAAACTATTCAACCAAACGCCATTCTCACCGGCGCATTTGGGCTGTCGTCCTTAACGCGCTGGGAGAGCTGTTTTACCTCACCGAGCTTCCCGTTCAGCCGGAGTCCTCGCCCAAGCTTAGTGCCGAGCAGATGGAAAAGCTCGCCTGGAAAACAGGTCGCAGTGTCCGATGGGAACTAGTTGAAGCGAGCAGGCGTGTGGCACGCCCGGATCCCTATAATACGCAGCTCGTGCATGGTAGCTACAGTCCAAGATCATCATCCGATTCGATGGGTCTGAATGAGAATCAAATAGCTGCGGAGACCAAAGAGATCGAAAAATTCCTGGCATTCAAGCCGAAGCACTTTCGCAAAGTATGCCAGAGTTGGAATATGAGGCGCCACCTGAAAGTTGACTTCGCGGGTGACGACCTTCATGGAGCGGGCGAGTCCATGATCGTTATCGACTCTGGTCTTGAGGAAGAGCACTCGACTGCCTCTATCCGTCGCCTGACTAGAACGAGACTTGCGGTCGCGCGTGAAGGCTCTTCCGAGCCTTACCCTAGGATCCAGACTCCTAAAGTCCAGTCACTCTTTGGAGGCCCAAGTAGTCCTAGCGCCTCTCCTTTCCCTAGTGCTACTGAATGTCCTTCGAGGACGTCCAGTCACGCCAGCGAGCCTGTCTCCTCAGTTGCCAACACGGAGTGGAGAATCTCCGACTTCGTCTTCGGTGACCGCAAATCTGTCCAGATCACTTGCAGTGCTCTCGATCTTTCGAACTACGCCCAGCTTACCGTTGACGAGGACCCCCTCCTGAGCATGTCTGGTTCTTCGTCATCGTCTCCAGCTTCATCTCCCATGCCGCATATGGACCGGCCATCTGCAGTGTCGGAGATCCCAGGCCAACGGGGCAGGTATCTAGCGGTTGGGACTACAATGGGCACAGTATACGTTTGGGATGTGCGCAGCCCTTCTTCTGGAAATACAGAAATTGTTAACTCGATTTCTCCTGTCCGCGTGATCAACACGGACTCGCCACAAGTCTCGTGCGTTGGCTTGACGTCTCTCTACCTTGTGCACGGTGGAAATGACGGGTTGGTACAAGCATGGGATACTCTGGCTTCGTCCACGCGTCCTATCCGGACGATGAACTCCCGTTTCTCTTCTCGAGCTCGCCGTCGGCTTATCCAGGCGGAGGCATCTATCCAGGGCGTAGGCAACAACTACTTCGCTGCTGGTGCTCTATGTCTCGACCCTGATCCTACCGTTTTACGAGGCGTTGTTTCGCTTGGGACTCACCTACGCTACTGGGCCTACAGTTCCTCTGCCGCAGATCAGTATAAAAGCAGCAAGCGGCGACTGCGGCGTTCTATGCGCGGCAGTAACGGCGCTGTCGAGGGGCAGCGTTTCACCAGTAGCGGCCGTGGTGCACTTAGAGATCATATCGTTGACGAGAAGATGGAAATAGAGCGGCAAAAGATCGCTGATGCGAAGGAGAGACGACTCCTGAGTGGCCGTTTCGGTATTGATTTGCTTGGCCCAGATGCGAGCGAGGAGGAACTACTTGCCTACGCGCAAATGCTAAGTGAAGAAGCGTATACAAGTGATGAGCGCAAACGCAGAGAGAGCACTGCGAGTCCTACCGTGGATAGTACATCAAGCTCAACTGTTGGACCTAACGACAGCTCGTTTCCACCTCGCGAGTTTTCGTCGTCATCATCTCCCAATCTGGACACGGTCGAGGAGGAGCTGGATCCGGATATCGCTGAAGCCCTGCGTCTGAGTTTGCTTGAAAATAACCCCGGTCCTGTCGATACGACAGTTTTCGACTCTATCCCCGTCAAATACGTGACAGGCTCAAAGGACGAGGGATATCCGCCTTCGTCACCGGAACGCGCAGCGGCTGGAAGCAGTAGACAGGAGGAAATGGATGATCTCGAATTCGCCTTGCAATTGAGTTTGGCGGAGGAGGAGAGCCGTAGAGAGGCTACAGCGTCTGGACAGGACGAATTTCCTGCACTGAATACGCTGTCATCTTCATCAAGGGACAAGGGGAAGGGCAGGGCATAGTAAATAGCAGGGTGGTTCGATTTACAATGAGGGGTGATTTCTTTTGATTTTTTTCATCTGAAGGCATTGTTATGCTCAGTCACAGTTGCGATGCCAAGCATGCTTTATCATTTTCAACTGGTTTGCGAGATATATTTGAGTTAATTCCCTTCAGCTGTGTATACTTTTCCAGTAGAATAGGCCGGGGTTATAGGGATGGACCCAGCTTAACGGTGTATCAATTTCTCTTTCGAACTTATCCTACTCTGCCCATTCCCTAGAGCAGAAACCATGAAGTCAATATAAACATAAGCAGTTTCTTGGCTCGACGATTCCTACTCTACATGTCTACTCTAGAATATGTGGCTGTACCCACCATAACATCATCCCGAGAACCGATCTACAGTCCAATACATACTTGCCTTCGATCTCACTATTCATCTTATTCCAGCACATCCCTGTAAGTAGAGTCAATAGCAACACGAGCTGTTCTGTTCTGTTCTGTATTTGCTCTTAACGGTAATAACGGACTTTGCGAGGCAGAAGCAGAGTAGTGCAATTTGAATCAAGTGGCGCTTTAGGTATGCATTATTAGTTGACAGTAGGTAGTCTGGTGGCAATATGCCTAACACCTGGACTGATATTCGAAACCACTGGATCGGTCGTGGGTATAGATAGCGGGGAATAATAAACAGATAGGAGCATCATGGTGGAACGTGATAGGACCCACGGAAATTATACTGGGCATACGTATTATTATCATCCCATAGGGAGGAAAGTGAAATACAGATTCTTTTTGCTCTGGCAGTACTACAGTACTACTACTGTAACGTACCACTATCTAGGTACAGCTCTAATTTTCTCCTGTCAGGTTGGTGAGACCCAACTCAAAAAATATATGTTTTCTTTTTATGATTAAGGAGGACCTCTTGGGAGTCCCTGGTTCCTGAGACATTCTCTCCCCGATGTAACGGTCAGTCGCTGATCCCTTCAACACGCGAAGATCCGAGACCGACGGTGCGGCCCACCATGGGAAATGAGCCATACCCACCGTGCCGATCAGATGAAGATCATGTACTCTACGGAGTAGCTAGGATGAAAGGAGCACACGCCCACAAAAGCTGAATAAACCAGTCCTTGCAGTGAACCACAGTCGTTAATTGAGGGTCAAATATGTACCTATGGAAAATCAGAACGCCTAATCTCAAAAGAGGCCTGCCCTTTTCGATGGGATCCGCGATGCTCCCTCGCATCTCTGCAAGAAGAAAGCATTACATACAAGACATGCGGCAATAGCCCAAAGCGTAAAATAAGTGACAAGAAAAAGCACGGATAATGATCCGAAAGATATCCGCCTCTCAGGGTCACCACGATTCTCGAGTCCTCGCGTCACGTTGCTTGTATCATGAGCCAGATGCCCGACGAGCCCGTGCAATGTGTACATTGAATATGTTTAATTTTTATTGCCTCGAAAAGAAATGATGCACCCAGTCTCTGTTCCCTCAAGTAGACGACAAAAAGAACCTACGCAGCCAGAGCCAGAAGCATGGTAGTCAGAGCACCGGCAAGGCTGAACATGCCCGAAGCAGTGGACTTGCCGGCGGCGTTTGTCTTGGCAGAACCGCTGGCGCTGGAGGTCGACGAGGCGGAGGTAGAGGAACCACTGCTGCTGCCCGAAGTGTTTGAACCGGGCTCATTGGACTGGTCGTTGGCAAGAACGTTCAGTTCGATACCGGTGATCTCCTTGCCAGTGCTGTCATAGATGGTCTCGTTGATCTTGGTGTTCTTGACGGAAACGAGCTTGCCAACGTTAGTGCTGCCGACACCGTTATCGATCATCTTCTGGATGGTGTCCAGACGCGCGGGGAGGTCAAAGGTGTTGGGGAAGCCACTGGTGCTGATCAGGTCGGCACTGCAGACGACGGGCTCGACCGAAGTCTGAGAGCTGTTGGCGGCCCGGACGCTCTTCAGATCGACCTTGGCGAACTGCTTCTGCAGGTTCTCGTAGTCCACAAGCAGAGACACGGTGTCGTTGTCGTTGACCTGAACCAGACCGTAGTTGTTGGCCTCCTGGGTCCACTCGTATACCAGGCCCCCGGAAATGGCCTGGGTCATCTCCTCGCTGTAGATGGCCTGGACTTCAGTGAAGACGCGGGGGGTAACCTTGTTGCATCCGTATTCGGAGAAGAACACGGGCAGGCTGGCGTTCTTGAAGTCGTCGGCCAGAACATCGTAACCGGCAGTCTTGATGCTGGAGTCACCGCACCACGAGTAGGAGTTCAGACCGAAAAAGTCAGACCGGGAGCTGGTCGAGTTCTTGATCTCGCAAGACATGTAGTTGGAGGTGTCCACAAGGATATCGCGAACATCAGCAGCAGAGTAACCGACAGGGATAGAACGGTTGGCGTGCTTCGCGATGTAGTCGTGCATGTCACGTTGCACCGCCTACGGGTCATTAGTGATGACAGCTCTGCGAATCAAACGTGTAGTAAGGGGCACAAACCCGAACGTAGGAGGGGACCTGCTCGACACTGTCCTGGTTGATGACCTCGTTTCCGGAGAAGAGGGCCAGAGTGTTGGGGTAGTTCTTGAAGGCTTCGATCATGCCGAAGACCTGCTTCATGTAGATGGGGTTATACGAGGTCCAGGGTGCCGTCCGGTCCAAGGAACCGTTCTCCAGAGGAGAGTTGACATCCAGAATCAGGTAGATACCGGCCGCGTTGAAGATGGAGGCACACTCGTCATGGTTAAGGTCAGGGCTCATGTTGTAGATACGGATGGTGTTGACCTAGGTGAAATCCATGAGCGCTTCTCCCAGTGAGGCAATCTAGAAAGATTGGAACATACACCCAGACGCTGCATGAGCGCCGCATCACGCATACACGTTTGAGGGTCGCTAAGAGGGTCGGATTTGCCAGTAAAGCCAGAGGAACCACCGGGCTGGTAGCTAGAAGATGAACTGCGTTAACGGAGTGATCTCCTCACAAAACGGGTTTGACTGGAGGCGCTGCTTACTCGACACCGAGGATCTGGAAGCGTTCCTTGGTGACGCTGTTGACAAAGTCTTTTCCTTCGACAATGACGGGCTGGACGGCAACAGCGGTAGTCGCCAGACCACAGAGCGCAGTGAAGATCTGCGCGTAGGACTGTGATTCGCAAAGTAGTCAGCGCCAAGCAGTCGACATGTGGTAGAGGGGCAGATAGAAGCACATACAGGAACCATGTTGGCTATCGAGGCTTATCTACAGAGAAGAAGAACGGGCGAGGCGGAAGCGATCGCGGAGATTGAATGTCCAAAAGGAATGGCTGCGCGGGGGCAAAGGGGATTGAACCGTCGAGAGAGTGTAGACGGTTTTTAAACAAGAAGCAGAGCAAAGGAAGCTGCGAGGGAGGAGGGAGAGAAAGACCGATGGAGACTGAAAAGCAGTTGGTATGCTCCGCACGGAAGAAGGATGCAAGGTTATTTCTACATTCACCGGGAATATATCAAGGAAACAGAAGGGGAGAGAACTCGGGGAGGTCAAATAGGAAAATGGAGCATGGGGTCAGACACAACTGATTCCAGGAGTAACCAAGCTTGAGGAGGCGCCAAATGGGGCCGGGCTAAGATAGCGCCAGGAGCGATAATATCAATCATACATGCCGGCGGTTGGGCGACAACACAAGGGTTCAAGAGCTAAATTGAATAGATACTAGTAGATAGTAGCAGATTTGATTCAACAGCCAACCACCGGGCTGGAATGCCCCCCCTGGCTGATTGACCGTCACTGGCACGTTTATCTGTGTCCAAAAAAAAGTCTCTACTCGACATAGGGCTGGTGTTGAACAATAATAATGTAACTAGAGCACACTACGGAGTCCATTAGATATATTATTAATCTCTGCAGGCTGGATGGATTTCATGCCATGACGTCTAAGGGACCGTGCACCAGGAGCATCCGAAACAAATCGAGAAAGGAGAAAAATCAATCAATGAATCAATCAATCAATCAATCAATTGTCCACATGGGGGTGGTTCGTTAAAAGTACAGCACATACCGCTCCTTGGCAGGAAACCTGAATGAAACAGACCAGCACCGACACTGCCGAACCGCCATGGCGCCAACAAGGACCAAGACGCCCACGCGCTTGGCACTGGGTGGCGATGCAAATATACAAGACGTATACACGGGGAAGAGAGAAGTAGTGGAGATGGAGGGGAAGATGGGGAGTTTGTGTCGGATTAGGGGGGGAAATGAAGAGAGGATGGAGCCGTGGACGATGACCAGTCCACTGCATATTGGTCGTCGTCACGATTCATCAACACAGAAGATAACAGGCGATTCGGGGTTGTTTTTCCCCAGACAACCCCAGACCGTCGGCCGTCATCAATTCATCGGGGTCAGTCCATTTATTCGACGCCGTGTCCATCCACGCTGGGGCCTTCGCCCGTGAAGGAGCCCAGCTTCAGGCCACTGTCCAGGGCGACCATCTCTGCCAAGATCTCCAGGACTTCCTTGGGGACGGTCTTGTCGTATATCGAGATCAGGTCCTTGGGCTGCGGGTAGACCTTGAGGGCCTTGTAGAAGGCCAGGGCTGCCTCGATGTTGTCGGAGCCTGAAGCTTTACGTCAGCGTCGGTCCTTTCTTCCTCGGCCGTCAAACGCGGAAAAAAGAGAAAAGAAAAAAAAGGCGTACCTTCAGCGCACAGAGACTCTCCCTTGGCGACCTGGCTCATGAAGTAGGCCTCCTTCTCCTCCAGATCGGTGGGGAAACCCTCATCCTTGGCCTGCTCGACAACAGCCTTGATGGTCTCTCGCTGCTGAGCGCCTTGAGCCTCAACTTCCTCCTTGACCGCCCGAGCAAGTCGTCGGTTGTCCTTCTTCAGGGCGCGCCGAAACTCGGGATCCGACTGCCTCTTGTGGTCGAAGTAGATGGCGTAGGCTGTGGACAATGTCAGCACCAATGCGAATTAACGTCCGTGACGCCGTGCTGGCGATGTTGTAGAGGCGGCCATACCAAGAAGGCCCGTCAGGACCGTGCCGGCGGATGCGGCCACCAGAGTCGATGTCTTCATGGTGATGTGTAGAAGAAGAAGGAAAAAAAGAAGAAGATACTGAAGACAGAGAGAAGAAAGAAAGAAAGACAGGCAATGAGGGGGACAATAATTGCCTGTTGATGGAGCGAGAGGGAAGCGTTGTTTGGTGAAGCTGATTCTCTCTGGCCCTTCCTTTTCCCTGCCAGCTTCGGCTCGTCGGCGATAATTTTGAGAGATGGATCATCGTTCTTCCGTCGCGGCCTCATCGCGTCACATCAAGAGCATCAAAGACTCCGTGTTATCTTGATCTGGATCTTGATCTTGAGGCTTTGCATCGATCCATAACTGCACATCCATCCTCTCTCTCTCTCCCTCCCAGCAGCCATGGAAGGCCGTGGGTTGACCCTGCGCAGCAAGTCCCGACGGCCCCAGATCAGTGCTCCAAAGCCCATCTCAGCTCCTCTGCCCGCCAACAGCAAAGCCTCCGGTGCCGGTCTGCCTTCCGGTCCCCGCGAGAAGCCTCAGCAGAATGGCGCGACCGCTGATCTCGTCAAACGGAGATATTCAACCCGGTTCAACCAGGTCCCAGATCTGGACGCCAATGCGCCGCCGGTGCCAAGTGTGCCTGCACTCCCCGGAGCTTTTGGAGGTCGTGATGCCTCTCCAGCAGGCAATGGAGGAGCTGCTTCCGGCTCATCCCCAGGCCTACGAGTCGATCTCAGTGCGCTGAGAGATCCCAGTCTCCCCGTGGATAAATGTAAGTGCGGCAACATGGACTTTTGATGATTGAAATCCCCTTGCCGGTTACTGATTACTGACTGGATGATGTAGATGTCGCCAGCTTGCTGGCTGACGCATCAGAAGAGGACATCCAAGAGTACCAGGATCGCCTGCGGAAAGTGAAAAACAGAACCTCAACCGACCTACAACAGAACGTCTACCAGAATCGCACCCAGTTCATCAAGATCAGTAAGGAAGCAGAGAAGCTCAAGGGTGAGATGCGGACCCTGCGCTCTCTGATGGCGGAACTCACGACAGCTCTGGGCCAGACGAGCTCTGCAAATGGCCTCAGCCCGCTGTCTGCCTCATTCGAGGACCGTCCATCTCGCAAGGCGAATCGCAGTTCCGTTGCCAACCTTGAAAGCATGTGGAGCGTGCAGCTGCAGGCCCTCTGGAAGACTGTCGAAGGGTCACAGAAATTCTTGCCAGCCGTTCCAGGTCGTCACATCGTCCTCGAGACGGGCCACTGGGTGGAACTGGATTCTGCAACTTGGAAACCACGACGGCCTGTTCATATCGTGCTGCTTAACGACCATCTCCTCGTCGCGGCCAAAAAGCGGAAGCGTGTCGACCAGAGTAACCCGAACAATCGGGGACCGGTGCCAACGAAGCTGGTGGCGGAAGAATGCTGGCCGCTGCAAGATATTGACATGATAGACCTAGGTGCCAATCTGGGGTCTGGCTCAAGTCGTGGGGAGGCTGAAGGGCGTGGAGTCACCAATGCGATCAACATCAGGGTGGGGTCGAAGTCTTTTACCTATCGACAAGACCACCGCAATTCTTCCGCTAAAAATGAGCTTTTGGCGACCTTCCGCAAGACAGTAGAGGATCTCCGCACAACCCTTCGATCCGAGACGGAGACTGCTGGAAAGGCCAGCGACGCCCTGGCCTATCTGACCGGAGGCTCGAGGAGATCGGAGCTTTTTTTTGACGGCGGCGAGAACATTCGAGACACACCGGAAGTCCGAATCGACGTGGACGGAAAGCAGCAGAATCTCCGCTGGGTGGAAGGGCAGATCGACGACCTCGACATTGCCATTGCTCTGCAGCACTTTGAGGAGGCTGTATCCAGCATTGAACGTCTGCGGAAACTGGCCCGTGGTCTGAAAGGAAACACGGTCGCGCAGGATGCGATCAACACGAAACTCGACGAGCGAGTCACGAAGCTGGCCGGTATTATTTCACGCGCGCTGGTGAACAAGCACTCGTTTCTGAACGCGACTAAGACGAACGTCAGCTGGCTGACTCGTCTGGGATTGGAAGACCGTGCGAGGGAGGCGTATCTTCGAGCGAGATCAGAAATCATCACCAAGAGAGTCAGGTTCGTTTTCATTTTCTGTTTTAAATTGTGCCCGTCCGTTCAACGATCCTAATTACTTGTACTTAGGCAATGCATCTTCGAGGGTGATCTGCGGCTCTATATCTTCCAGATTTCTTTCGTCTATTTCACTCTGATCCGCAATACTCTGAGCATCTATCAAGCCTGCTTCCCCGCTCTCATGACATCAGCCTCCATCAAATGGGCGAAGGAGCACCTAGACAGCTTCAATGCTCTTCTGGCGCGGCAACTGAGCTCGGTGTTGCGCGGTACAGGCGTATGGAACAAGTGCATGGAGATTGTGCACGAGCACGCAGCGATGCTGACGGAGGTTGGGGTTGATTTTCAGGACTTTGTCGGCAAGGGTCTTGAAAACGATCAGAGTCCTAGTCGGAAGCAGAGCGGGTCGTCAGCAGAGATGTTGGCAGCTGCGCAGGGAGCGGAGTGAAGACCTCTTTGGACTCGAATTAACGATACGATACCCCCCCTATGCGGACGCCTGCTGGATGTCCCTTGTCGATACAGGCTACAGCTTTTTTATTTCATCTCATCATCAATTATATTTCAGCAAGAATGCAATTGTCCAAGAACTTTTTAGGCTACTGCTCCTCTCATAACACTATTAAGCAGATATCTTTATAATGGCGTATTATGTATATATATATTTCACGGCACCAAAATCCGATGTCGTACAGTGTCACTTGAAACTTTTCATGCTTTTTCATCACATCTAGGCATCTATATATGTAAGTACAGTACAGAGACCAATCGCTCGGATATCATCCTCAAACGATCAGAGTAAAATTACAGAGTGAAATACTCGTATATATCCTCATCCCTCTCCTCTGGCTCTACGTCATTATCTCTCCGACGCCAAGTTCGTCGAGATTTCTCGGTGCCGGTAGGGGACCAGACGGCATCCCAGGCCTCGCCGCCAAGGGTGCTATCGTAGCCGAGAACACCCATCTTGAAATCGAGGGGTTCACCAACACCGAGGTCAGAGGGCAGACGCATCCAATGCCGGACAGAATCTGGGATCTCCTCCCGGATGTGGCTAATGACGAGGAGGGCCTGCTGGTCGGAGAGACCCTTGTGGCGGGCCTTGGAGACTTCAACGGTCGCCTCGTTGAGCCAGGTATCTGCTGTAGAGGTGCGACGCGTGGCCGTGCTGACATGATTACGCTTCAGTTCGCCGGACTCTAGGAAATGGAGGCATTTGTCGCGCAGAGAAGCGGGCATGCCGGAGAAGGCTTCGTCGAGAATAACGAGATCAGGTTTATGCACGATGGCGCGGATGAAGAGAACAAGACGTTGCTGAGCAACGTTCAGGGAAGAGAATCGGAGTGAATCGGCGTAATCGACATCGTAGTCAGGAAGGGTATAGTCGTGCTTCAGGGGCCTGTAGTTGGAGAGCCTGGGGAACATTTCCATCTGTGCTCCCCTCACCTTGCTGGAAGAGGCATCTACTCCTGTCGTGGCGTCGGGGTCTAGGTCAGCCTTGAAGAATCTGAGCGCGGCATTGACGTCGAGATCCTTTTCGTGATCCAGCCGGGGCTTCGACAAGAAGGTATCGGCAAAGGCAGATTCGACAGCCTGACGGACGGTGAGATTGCGAGGGAAGAAGGCATGGATCTCGGGCGACGAATGTCCGATCCGTGACTGCAGCTCGAAGATGGAAATTCCGGGCTTTCCTGCCTCCGGCAGTCGAGATCGTCCGAATAGTTTGATAGGCAAAGCGTAGGCCTGGGGATGATCAGATGTTATTAGCGACAGCAGTGTCGTCTTCCCGGATCCATTGGCCCCAATGATGGCCCAGCGCTGGCCGCGGCGGACTCTCCAATGGAGCCCATCCTGGAGCTTGTCGTTGACTTTTTGCTTCCAGTTACCCAGGACGACCTTGTCGCCATACTGAACGCGGACACCGTCCATTTCAATGACAGGCTCCCCTCCTCTCGGGGCAGTAATCTCCAGCAGCCGCTGCTTGGTATCCACCAATTTCAGATCTCTGAGGAGTTGACGATCCAAGATACCTTCATCCATGGCGCGTTTAGCCTCGATGTATGATGGATTTTTCTTGAGCTCTTCGAGCTCTTTACGTGGGGTTGACTCGTCGGTGAGACCCTTCCAGACCTGGAAAGTCTCATGGACTTGCGATCGGTCTCCCTGCAGTAGAACGCGGTGGGAATTACCCAAGACCATCATGTGCGTAATCCAGTCTGGTAGATGATCCTGCGGTCGCAGGGAGAGTATGAGGCGTGGCGAACACTTCTCCGCCAGGCCATGCAGGAGGATCGAGATGCTCTGGACCGTAGCCGGATCGAGTCCCACTGCGAGTTGTCAGTACGCTGTAGAATGAATCCGAGGCAGTGGTAAGCCTGGCACTTACTGAATGGATCATCCAGCAGGAGCAACTCGGGCTTGCTCAGCAGCGCTTTTGCGATTCGCGCACGTCTCGTCTGGCCGTTGCTGAGGTTGGCTACCGGCATATCGAGCAATGGTTCCAGCTTTAGATTGGCGATAACCTGTTCGAGGAAAGCCAGATCCTTAACGGTGCCATTTTCTTCACCCTCGAGCGGGTTCAGCGAGGTCTGTCCCTGCAGATACTGCCGCAGCGTCCAGTCGGTCTCTTCTCGTAGACTCTCGTAGCGTGCGCTCAGGTACGCTCCGCGGACACCACCTGTTGCTTGTGACCCCTCTCCACTGAAACCAACATATTGAATAGCGCGTCCTGGATATCGCAACCGGTGATCTTTGGCGGCGATCTCGTCTGTCAAGAGGTAGGGATAGGTACGCGCACTGGGTGGAAGACAAATCAGCTGGCCCCGCAAGATTTCCAACAGCTTCGTTCTCTCTGTGGAGCCAATGATGGCCCAGTGCTGCAACGACTGGCCATCTTGAACTCCTTCAGCAGCTGAGGAGCCGGATGGGAGAATGAAGTTGAGGTTGGGATAGAGAGGCGGATTCTCTTTCTCGGCCTTCGGGTCGGGACTAGGATATCTCTCGTAGAAGGTACCGTCCTGGATGCGAATCAATGGAGGCGCAGAGGAGACACGCCGCAGGGTCCGGTAGAGGACCGGAGCCCTCAGAGGCCCAGTCAGAAGACGTGGACGCAGCAGCATGTCTGGGTTGAAATGCGCAAACGCTGGAAGATCGATAATGATGATCTGATAATCCTCATATTTGATCCTCGGACTTAACGCCGAACGCTAAGCTCCGGATGGCTGATACGGCCGATATCGGTCACATGACATGGTCTACTTGTTATTCCTTTTCGATAGTAACTGTATACTATATATACTACTATATATACTATATATTATTATATCGTTAGTATATAATATGTTGGGTCAAAAAGGAGCAATCCTTGGGGAGATAAAAATATTGCCCTCATGTTACGTTCTTTCATCGCATACAACGGGTAGGTATATATATATATATATGAATGCTATACACATGGACACAATAGTTATCTAGTCGACGTGAAGTTACACTCTGACATCCCCTGGCAGGGGAAGATCACTCATTGTCCAGAATTTTCTTCCCTGTTGGATTAATCTTCTCATTCTACGGCCTAACACTATGGATCCGTGGGAATGACCGTCCGCTGGCTAACTATCTTCTCATCAACGCGGGGTAAGCGCGGGGCTTAAGTATGGAATTTGGAATGGCTCAAGTTAACGCATTATCCAAGCCACAAGCGAGCGCCTCCAGGTCCAAATGACTAGCCAGGGATTAATACGCGCTGCTGATATGCCTGGAGGCCTGCGTACTCCTCGTTGCAGAGAAGGTAGCATCGGTTAAGAGATGATGCGATGATCGCCGTTCTACCGAGCCTCCACGAGCCTGCGCCGCGATATCTCCGCGCGTCGGATTTCTCTCTTTGGAGTTGGCAACATAAGCTACGAGCTGTAGAAGCAGTCATCTTAATTTAATTATTTCCTGTAGATTTTGCAGTCGAACACAAGCATTGACAACTCAGCATGGCCACTGTGGTAGGTTCCGCGCCTCGCCGGCTTAACTGGTACCCCGCTCTGGGATTCGTTGCGCTCGTCTCTATTATTCCATTGCTGACCTGGACTCTGCGACGCAAAAGGAAGATTTATCCTCGATCCCGTCTCTGCCTCTATTTGCTGCGGCAGAAAAGCTGGCAAAGGAGAGTCCCGACAAGATCGCGATTATCGACAAGGCCAAGGGTGAAAGCTTCACGTACCGCCAGCTACTGGCAGACACAGCGGGATTGAAGAAGCTCATCTTGGAAAAATTGGACCTCCAGTCTTCTGGCGATTTGGAAGAGCGCAGGATTGCTTTCCTCGTTCCCAATGGCTATGATTACGTCGTCACCCAATGGGCAGTATGGGCCGCAGGGGGCATCAGCGTGCCATTGTGTATGGATATCCCGGTGGGAATAGATCTCCACTTGAAATTGATCTGACGAGGAGACAGGCACCTCGCACCCGGTCAAGGAATGGCTATATACCATAGGAGATTCGGATCCGTCGTTGATTATCACCCATCCTTCCTTTGAAAAGGCCGCAGCGGCCCTCCAAGAAGAGGTAAAGAATATCGCATTCATAACCCTGACTCCTTTCTCGGCAGCGAATGCTACCACCGTCTCGTTGCCATCATTGAAGCCTTCGCTGCCATTATCCAGAAGAGCGTTGATGATCTACACGTCTGGCACGACATCGAGACCGAAAGGTTGTATCACCACGCACAAGAACGTCACCTTCCAGGCAGATTCCCTCGTTAAGGCGTGGAAATACACTTCTGAAGACCAACTAATCCATGTGCTTCCGCTTCACCACGTCCATGGCATCGTTAACGGCCTCGTGGCCAGTTTTCTCAGCGGCGCAACAGTTGAGATGTACCCTAAGTTTGATGCCGCAACGATCTGGAAGCGCTGGCAGGAGAAAGGATCGACGATGTTCTTCGGAGTCCCTACTATTTATTCTAGACTGATCGAACATTTTGACACCCATATCAGGGGTACAGAAGCAGAATCCACCGCTCGTGAAGGCGCCAAAGCCTTGCGCCTGCTCGTCAGCGGCTCTGCAGCCCTGCCCACCCCGACGAAGGCCAGGTTCGCCGAGATTACAGGCCAGGTACTTCTGGAGCGTTACGGTATGACTGAGATCGGAATGGCCATCAGCTGCGGGCTAGAAATCGACTCGAGAATCGATGGCAGTGTTGGCTGGCCTCTTCCGGGCGTCCAGATCAGGTTGACAGACAAGGAAACGGGCGAAGTAATCGAGGGTACCGACAAGGACGGCATGATTGAGGTCAAGGGGGATAATGTCTTTCTCGAATACTGGCGACGGCCCGAAGCTACGTCCAAGGAGTTCAGCTCTGATGGATGGTTCAAGACAGGTGACGTCGCACGAAGAGATGAACGCGGAGCATACTTCATCCAGGGCCGTGCGTCCGTGGATATTATTAAATCCGGAGGGTATAAGATCTCCGCCTTGGAAGTTGAACGTGAAATGCTCAGTTTGGACTCGATTCTCGAAGTTGCCGTTGTCGGGCTTCCAGATGAGGAATGGGGCCAGCGCGTGGCCGCTGTCGTAAAGCAGAAGCCAGGGGTAAGAGCTTTTCATCCCGTGGATTTGGGTATCTCCTAACCTTTTAGCAGACTCCACCTCTTGAACTGGAACCGCTGCGAGCCGAGCTGAAGAAGGAGATGGCGCCATACAAGATTCCTACTGTCCTCAAGCTTGTCGACAATATCGAACGCAACGCAATGGGTAAGGTCAACAAGAAGGACATCCTGAAGAAGTATTGGCCAGAGAAGGCTTGATTACGACCTGAAGTTTTGGTATTAGACTAGAGAAATATGACCATAGGCGATAGATCTATCTGTATGTATTGAACATCACGAAGTAGTGATGAGATTTTTGAATTTCAAGACGCTTGCATCCTCAGCAACATAACGTCTTCAGGTAAAGATATCCGAAACAGCTCCAGTGGAATTGGAGCGATGGCAGACTCTTCCTGACCAGTTCAGCTTTAGGCGTGGGCTGTGGCCTCGAAATATCTTCTTATTATCAGTATCACTAGCTTGGACTTACCGAACGTCGAAACAAGCAATAGTGATATGTTGAACGCAAACTCGAACTAGTCGTTCTGGAGATTTGTCTGCATGATTCATTCTGTCCTACTGTTTCGTGATAGACGCACTGAATTCCGTAACCGTCAAGAATAAAGAGGAAATGCTGTTTTCATCGGGAGCGTTGAACCTCACGATCTCCTCAACCAGATGCCAGGTTCCGTGGGAGTCCTGTATCTGTCTCTTGAACTTCATGTGGAGCCCAGACGATCTATCCTGCTTAGGATAGAAGACTATATGATCGCTGATTCTCTTTTCCCGACCAGGAAGGCAATTAACTTCAAAAAGCGATGCAAATCTTCCATCTTCCCCAGTATCGATACCTTCTTCCATAGCGATGAGGTTCGCCGCAAGGAACACAGACGGAACGACCCTATGGAGACCCTCCACACGAGGTGCCTGCAAGAGTAGAGCTAGGGCTCGTCGCCGAAGGATGGGATCTCGACATTTTTGGGCCGTAAAAAAGAGCGGATAGCCAGCCCCTAATTCGAAAGTGAAAGGGGCTGGTGTTTTATCCTGTCCAGTAGTCGCTGCGATGGCCGATGGTGCATATTCGATTATTTCCTGAAATAGATGCTTGTAGCGGTCGTACACCATTTCATCCTGGTCAAAGCATGTTTCCACCACAATAAGACAGGTTGCATAGGCCATTTGAAGGAGTGAACATGTACCACGGTGAGCATCGTCCCATTTATCCCAGGAGTCGACTTTCAGTCTGACCATCGTCTGATGCCACGCGGATAGTCTGAGCCGCAAGTCAGCTTGTTGCGCTTGAAGGCTTTCCAACACGTTGATATCAGATGGGCTCCGATGCACGGACTCAGTACAGGTACGAATAAACACAACGACGTCCGATACTAAAGAGTATAAAGCAGCCCTGGCATCCGGTAGGGACTGGAAGTATATGATAGTTCTATGTGGCCAAACAATCGGCCAATCTGCTGGCAGGTCATGCCCGTAGAAAATAGAAAGTGTTCCCAGGCGGTAAAACAGGGGGACAATAACATCCGTAAAAAGAGTCTTGGTCTCCCACAAAGCAGAAATCATCACTGGACTGAAGGTGGATATCAGTTGTAACCCTTGCTGATATAACTGGAGAGCTTCAATAATGTTTTCCTGTAAAAATTCGATGCATATAAATAACACGCAGCTGAGTAGAGCAACGGCAGGATCCATATCACCGCGCTTCTGTAGTTGACTCCGCACGTTTGATAACGCCCTGGAGTACCAACTTAAAGCTAAGCGATGGTTTGAGTCAGTTACTGGAGGTTTGAGGGCAGGGGCCACGGGGGGAGCGTGTGAAAATGGCGGATGTTCATATAAGCAACTGATAGCAATCACTGCATCCCACATAGCAGGCTGGGAGCGACTAAGTCGGAGCACAGCACCACGCCAGAGATCCGCATCTAGAGCGACAGCCAGACGAGGTGAAATCTGGTGGAAGAAGAAGTGAAAAGCTCGACGCTCTTTACTGGTGGCTGTGGAAGCAGCAGAGAGTAGGGTCTCGGACAGGCCGACAATTGACGCTCTTTCTTCCCATCTCAACATGCCCTGGCCGCGTGAATAGAGATCGCCTGGGCGGACTCCCTTGTATTCGCATTTTCGGCCGGTGGAACTGCACCGGTGACAGGTTGGTTGACGTTCATCGCACTTGACGCGCCTGATCTTGCAGGTAAGACAGCCCAATTTGGATTTGGAGCTGCCAACACGGCCTTTTCTGGGTCGACCAGAAACTGGATCAGCTGATTCCATGGGTAATCGCGAAATTTCCAGCAGCGGAATATCTAATGCTCATAGAAAGTGATTACAAGAGGCAGTGCTCTGCGCCATCCATTATGTAGGTTGGATTTCGGGCCTCGCCCGCTCTCGCTAAGCAATGGCTTGGCATAATACCTAAGTACTTAGCGATGTAGGATTATTTTAGCTTGAAGCCCTGGCGATTGTCTTCTTCAACTCCCTGATTTCCATAAATCAAAGGAGTCACTTGGGGGAAAAAATCTATAACATCTACAATCCTCTACAAACAACGATTCCATCAGGCGTTTGCTCGGATTTGTCCTCATGACCCTCTTATCGAAAACCACAAGGCTCCACTTGAGGGAGCTATTTTGGGAAGACGTAGACAAAAACAAGTTAGTCAATCTTGGGATTTAGTTAGCGTTACTAGCCTCGACAGCATAATTGAAGTCAGCTTCTATGCAAAGATGACATAAACGTGCGGAAGAACAGTTACTGAAGCTGTAATATAAATATCTATAAGCAGAAAAAATTATATCGGCTATAGAGAGCCGGTTATATCCGCTTATATCCACTGATATATATGAAATCTTTAGTTTCATGACACTACTTAAATAAGATGATAATCCATAACTGGGATCTTATGTCTGAAAGACCCATCTGGGATCCTCGTCACCCTGGAACTCTCCCTCGGCATCTCCAATGTCTCCCAGTAAAACGCCCAAACCACGTCTCTCGCGCTCGGCTTCCTTTTTCTGATTCTCCTTGTGCAGAACCAACCACAAGATACTGACGACGGCTGTGTTGGCAACTAGATAACCGAGAGCGAAGCCGTGACCCAGGAAGAATCGCGGGCTGGTTTCCGTGCGGTACAATTGAGTACCGAGCACAGCTCCACAGTTGCCAATGGAAATCTGCATTGCATTGGCGATTGCTCGTTTGGTCTGACCGGATACATTGTTCGCGGGCCACGACAGAACAATGGCTGTGGCAGGGTAGATCCCAGCCGCCGCGAAGATGGTGCCCAGGTAAGATACGCCGGCACGATCCTGGGCCAGAAGGATGATGTAGCCGATGATCGCGAGGACAGAGGAACCAATGATAAAAGGGGCACGTCGCCGTATGCGCTCCGATAATATGGCCACCGCAATCGTGAGGACGAAAGCAACAGCATACGGTGGCACTGAAAGTAGCTGAGCCTCTGCGGCAGAGTAACCGAGCTCGGTGATGATCGTAGGCTAGTTACGGTTAGAAAAGATAAACCAAGTGCTTAACAGGAATAGGACCTACCAGGAACAGAGACAGCGTGTACAGTGGAAGAGACATTGTGTGGAATGCCAGGCCATATAGCCAAACTTTGGGGTCTTTGAAAGCTTTCACCACGGCGGACCATGAGAAAGGTTCGGTCCGAATAGCATCATTGTCGTTTTTCAGACGAAATTGAATAAACTCCCTCTCCTCCTTGCTCAGGAACTCCGCCGTTGCTGGATAATTGTAGATCCAAAAGTATGCAGTCGCAGAGACGACTACTGTCAACAGACCTTCCTGTAAAGAAATTTAGCCCCCATTTCTGCTTGACAACTTGCTAGCTTCGACTTACCAGTATGAAGATCCATCTCCAGCCGTTGTATCCGCCCACACCTCGCATATGCGAAATGCCCTATAACGCAGTCAGCACAAATCATACATGATGAATGAAGTAGATGCTGAATCGCCCACCCATGCTAGAATTCCACCAAAGGCTCCAGCCAAAGAGGCCGCACAGAAGAAGAGAGCAACGCGATAGTGTTGCTCATTCCGCTTATACCACATGGACAGATAAAACACGACGCCGGGGAACAAGCCACTCTCTGCGACACCCAGGAAGAAGCGGGAGCTGAGGTATCCGGAGTAGTTCTGGACCACACCCAGCAGAGTCGAAATAATTCCCCAAACCAATGTCAGTGTCGGTAACCAGAGTCGCGGTGTCGTCTTCTTCAGGACGATATTGCATGGCACTTCGAAAAGGACATATCCGACGAAATATAGTGTCAGGCCGTTGAGGTATTGGTCGCCCGCTAAATCTGACTGTCAGTTTCCCTTCCGTGAGCTATTAATCGACCGTAGGCACCTACTTATTTTGAGATCCGTCGCCATGCCTTCGATACGCGCATTGCCAACTGGATTGACTCCCCATTAGTGATTTTCTCAGATAAACAGAGGCGAAGCAATGTACCATTGCTGCGATCCAGAAATGAAAGCAGATACAGCAGCGTCAGCGGAGGAAGAAGTCTTAGGTCCAACTTGCGCAGCAGCGCCTTCTCATTGACACCGAAACTGGCCTCCGCGATGCTGTTCGATACTGGTGAGACCGTTTTCTCGTCCTCCTCTCCCGTTTGAACGCCAGGGTCTCGCTTCTCAGTTGGTTCCGCCATTCTTTCTGAGATAGTCCACCGTGAAGGCCCGATGGAGGACTGTCGAGCTGTCAGAAGCTCTAGCAGAAAGGATAGAATACCATACTTAAGACAGAAATTGTAGGACAATGCAGGTTATATCAAAGATGACGAAAGAATCGACAGCTATTTCAGGAACCCCGCGCTGCTCCAGCACACCATTATCCCAGCTCTCCACGCGACAGCAGCCTATGCGCCCAGAAAAGCCTGGCTGGATCTTGCATCGCGTCGTAAATAAACGGGGAGAAGTTTAAAGCCGTCAAATAACTGCCGACAGCGCGTGCCAGAAGCTGGAGAAGTGGACAGATTTTCCCCGACAGCTGCCTGTCTGGGAATGGATACATGGCTCTAGGCGATGAGCAATGTGGACTCTGAAATGACGAATATCGCGTGTAGTTATCAGGCCAATGAACGTTGGGATGAGCTTAGGTTGGCAATTCAGACGTTGGTGCGACTCGTGGAATCGTGAAGCTAACGTCTTAAGTATCGAGTGGCCATGAGAACTTGGCATTTCCCGGCTGGGAAATACAGGAGGATCAATTTCAGGAACATACTGATAACATTCTCTCTTCTCAGTTGTTATGTGCAAGCATATTCGATGTAATACTGTACAATCTGTTCTGATGATGACTCTGGTCCTCGGGATCACGCAATCCACCAGCAGATGGAGTGATCGCTCCCCTCATCGGTTATCTCCACCATCTCGCGTGATGGTTGGAAAAGTTCGTATACGGAGGATTTGCACCGTACTTTATAAGCGATTTTTAGCCCAGGTCAACTGGCTAGACAGTTCTCGAATTCCTATATTTGCCCGTTATTGTTATTGTTATTGTTGTAGTTATTGTTATTTTTTTATTTTTAATTTATTTTTATTTTTTTGTGGTCTAATACACTAAGTATATCTCTAGAGTCCGTGCCATAGGTGGAAAGGATGTGGCCACTTGAGGCTGCGTACTTGCAGGCCAGCTAAAATGGAGCTAATTGCCGTGTCAGTTCGATGTGACAAGTTCCAGACACCCGATTAGGTCTTCAAGCTATCCAGAGAAAGGAAATTCTGAGTGAGGATACCAAGAACTGCTGTTTCCTCCAATCCTCAAGCCTTAAGAGGGGGAGGAACAATAGTATTTCTAAACCTATAATGTCTTTTATGGAATAGAATGGGAGTATTCTACAATGGGTGCTTCTGTGTAAATCCATGGTGTTGAGAGCCGTATGTAATAAAAGATATGGAAATGGGCTGACCCTTGCTCTGTCGCTCGTCAAAAGTATAGCACAACTCCTTCTAATTCCTGGCCCAAAGACGCCCACTTCGTTGACATTGCATCAACGAATATCACCTATCCTTCCATTACCATGGATAATTGTGCCTCTTGTAGAAAGATTTCTAGGTACTTCAAAATGAGCTAAAGAATTGTTTCTTGTTTTGTCTCAAAGGTTATCATACCGCCGCCTGACAACTCTCGTACTCTCCTAGCATCTGGCTCACAACAACAAACCCGCCGATGGCAGGAACGGACCAAATAAGATGCCAGATGAACACCGCCACCCTATTCCAAGTTATCATTCCTTTTGACTTCCCCTTTGTCCAGGGATGACTGGTCCCTGAATATAGCCCCATAGCAATCCCCAAGGCTAGCCATGCCATAATCCATGTTCTTTGTGCGATAGTGCTTGAGGCACCGTTGAAATGAGTCAATCCCCCGATAACAGCGATGGGAAGACAGCCGATCAGAGTCCCGAGCCATTGTATGAGTGACATAGATGACATGGACCTCTGCCACTGTGATCTGGAGTGTACTAACTGAAATTTTGGAGTGCTGATCAAGAAGACCTTATGAAAGAAAGCGCGGAAAAAACCAAAGTTATCAAAGTCGAGCTTGGTCGAAAGGCTAGATGTGCGTCTGAAGTTGTGGCAGTTGGAGACTGAGATGAAAGGTTTGCGACGGGGAAGGTTGACACTACTGAAGTGCCAGGGGTAGTCACTCGGAAAGATACGAGGTTCGCGCATGGGTTGAGGTGATATCGATAATCGAATTTTTTCCTCTTCATACTCGGCAGAGACCTTATCGGGAAATTGTGGGATACGGCAAGTCAATGACTGGCTCGTGGCCTTGCCTCCATCACTGTTTTCTTCTTCGCAGCAACCGGTGAATGTCACCGTGCGTTTGGGATCGTTAGAATCATTATCTGCATCCAATCTCCCAATAGTCCCCTCGAATACTCCTCCTCTTGCCCTCGCTTCATCCATAATTTCGGATTCCACCATGTACAGCGCCGGATATTCGGGGTTAACCATCGCGCTAATAAGATTAATGATAGACATGATCACGTAGGGGATAACGGTGAGGCCATAAGAGGCATAGCCGTAGCGGGCAATTTGGTCGCCACGAGACTGGTAGAGCGTAATCGAGGCGTAGATTGCCTGGATGATGGCGAATAATGCTTTTGACAGACTGTACGACGCAGTGATGTCTTCGCTATATCTCTGAAATTGGTCGCCATCGGGGTTTGAAGATCCAACGGCCTCGAGAGCTGCGTCGTGGGGAGCATAAACAAGACCATAGCCTGGCGGGAGATGGCAAACGCCATGGATGGTGAAGTCTCCATCTACTAGTTGAATAGAGTCGTTGATAAGTCCGTGAAGATGCTCTTCCACAAGCCACGGAGGCTGAAGTTGGACACCCAATAGGATTGGCTCTGTACGTTCCCTCCTGTCATATCTGGTCAGATAATCTTCATATAAGACCAAAGAAAAGGAACCTACAATTCCTGTAATTCCTCCAAGGGGCGACGAATCTCCTTCAGCGAGCTATCTTGGTCCTTCCCTGAGGATATTTGCTCCAATTGTCCTGCATTCAATTATTAACTCGATCCAAAGCATACACTCAAAAATTGCGAGGAGAGATATACGCAAAAGCTTCTCGCTGACAAACGTCAACCCTTTAATCTCTTCTCCATTCTGCGGTCTCCAGTCCGACAGCCTAACAACCATACAGGTAGCTCCTGCCTGAATGGCTCTCTGCCTCGGATCCTTATTAGTAGCAGCATGTCGCACAATTGCATTCAACCCGCGCATCACCCCCGAAACCGGATAGAAAAGCGCCAGGATGATGGTTATGATTGTAACTAGACCTGACTGGCCGGGGGCAGAGACGACCGTCCCTGCGTGGGAGATATAGTTGCTTAGAATAAAGGAAGCGATATCGAACCATTGCGATGGCGTACACAAATCGTCGCGTTTGGTGATAGGAATCGGAGTGGTTCTTATCGTGGTAGGCACCGCGCGTGGTGGTAGAGAGAGAACAGGCATCTCTATTGTCCACCGTAGGAAGAGCTATTTTCTAAGGTTTGGCAGTCTCAGCATCATCGTGCATTTTATTTACAATTTTTATCCAGCAAGGATTCTCAGCTGAGAATCCGCCCCCGCACTGCAGTGTACTCTAACGTTGGCGAGATGCCGGCCGGGGTGCGTTCTAGCCTTCCCATTTGGGAATGGCATCATCATTCCACGTTGGACTTCCTCCTATCCCTTCTGTCCAGTCTATTACACTATACTGTATTCCTAGTAGCACTCTCGCCCCCATTCTTTTTTTACACGAAATGCATGTCTTCTGATGTCGGGCCATCTCTGGAGTCTCCAACCATCGTCCCCGTTTTTGGCCCCCATTTCCCCTATTTCTTGAGCTACGGTTTCACATCACTTGATCGTCTGTGGATCTTATCTAATACGATGTCTAGTCTCCATTGATAAATGCTTTATCTATCAGACACACAGTGGCTAAATAGTTTAAGCGCCATGGTGCCTATTGTAACTAGGTAGTTAGTAACTAGTTAACTAGGTAGTTAACTAACGTTAGATAGGCTGCTGATTAAGTAAGAGTTCCAATCGCTTAACTAAGTATTTCTTAACTTGAGCATTGTCCAGTTAGAACTAACCAATGTTAATAAAATAAGACAATTGCTTTTATACCACTTAAGTTGATAGGTTATTATTATTCCCTAGATCGCAGCGTTTATCCAGAACAATGTCCCCTTGGCATCAGCAGTAAGAGTTCTATTATGTGACAATCCAATGATAATAGCAGAGAATAGAGCCCACTAAGACCGGAAGGGTGCTCTGATGTCGAATCTACCCTACTAGTTTCTAGAGCGCGAAGAGTAATACATGGCATGTAAATTCACGAGCAACATATTCACCTAACATTAGTGCCAGTGACATGTAGTTTAAGTATAAAGACACTAGGAATACCCTATCAACGATCCACTAGATAATCCTTCTATCTCTTTCAGGCGGCGGTACATTGATAATAATAACACTAGGACACAACAACATACTTGACCATAATATCCATTCTACCAGCAAATGACCCAACTCCTTAACGGTACCTAGATAGAAACATCATTTGTCAAGAATCCCCAGAACTGATTCTCTTTTTCCTGATTAGGTAATGAATGAGATACGTTGGACCACGATGATAACAAGTAAAGTCCTAGTAAATAAATCGACACAGAAAGAAGCAAACTAAATTTACTGCAGTAGCGGTTCCAATATGTCTCCGTTTGCGTCCTTGAACGGATGCGGTGTCACCTGTATGGAGTCACGTGACAATCATGTAATCATAGAAATGCAGACTTAGCTGCCAAGCATTTTGACAGAAAAGGAATGGGAACAGCAATCTGTGACGTGCAGAGAAAGAGAAGGGATGAGTTTCAGTCGAATGTATTCCATTAACATAACTATCTGTACTACTTAGGTAACTAAGTACCTAGGTACTAGGTACTGTACGAGCTGGTCCGCAGGGTTTCTGCCACGGTCGGAGTAGACTAGGGCAAGAGCGGTGACGATCTCACCGCATTGGGCCTCTAGCGCGGGACACACGAGAACAGCAGTATGTGTGAAATTTCCTAGCGGGGTTGATGCGTGACGAGGAATTGGTGTTATTTTTCATGATTGATCATCAACCAAAGGCAATTAACTGATTTCCTGCTAGCGCTTAAAGAATTTTCCATCGCAGAAGAAAAAGAAGAAGAAAAAGTGCCCACATATCGGCTCTTTTGGCCGAACGGACCAGTTCTCTGGGCGGTGACTCCCGGCAGAAACGCCGCCGTGATCCATCTCCCAATGGGAGAGCTCTGCCGGCCAGCTGGAGTCTCCATACACAAAAATTTATTCTTTTCTTGCTGCTCGACCTGTTCCCGTCTCTTTTCTCTATCTCACCTCGATCCTCGAGAGATCAACCCCCCCTCTACTATACCCTCCTTATTCGAAACCGTGCAGAGGCAGCGACGAGACCTTCTCCTCTGTCTTGGAGCCAGCTGATGCTACGGTAGACATAGTCCTCTCATAGTCCCTCAGAGGACCTCGACGAACAGCCATGCCGCAGCTCGCCACCTCTATCGAGGCGACTTCGCCCACGACCCCTCGCCTGAACGAAGCCGTTCTTCCTACAAGTCCTTCGTCGGGAGGTGCAGTGTCCTACAACCAGAACATAGACCTGCAGCCCTTCCCCGTCATCAAAGCGTCCGTCAATGGCGCCATCATCCCCCCCGCTTCATCCCAGATCCTGGGCAACCAGGAAAGGCAGGTCGCCCTGGAGCTCGAGGATGGCACCGTCTGTCAGGGTTACAGTTTCGGTGCGCAGAAGAGCATCTCGGGTGAATTGGTCTTCCAGACCGGTATGGTGGGCTACCCCGAGTCCGTCACGGACCCCTCATACCGCGGCCAAATCCTTGTCATTACCTTCCCCCTCGTGGGCAACTACGGTGTCCCCTCGCGGGAGACGATGGACGAGGTTCTGAAGACGCTTCCAAAGCACTTCGAGTCCAACCAGATTCACATTGCGGGGTTGGTCGTGGCGTCATATTCCGGCGAAGACTACTCTCACTTCCTCGCCGTTTCCTCCTTGGGTCAATGGCTCAAGGAGCAGGGAGTTGTCGGTATCTACGGTGTCGACACTCGAGCGCTCACCAAGCGCATCCGTGAGAAGGGTAGTATGCTCGGTCGTCTTCTGCAGCAGAAGCCTGGCACGTCCAATGGCACCGATGGTGCCACTCTCATCGGAGACGTTGACGGAGCGGACAAAGACAGCTGGAGGGCCCTGTACGAGCAGGTCGAATGGGTAGACCCGAACAAGAAGAACTTGGTCAGCGAAGTCTCCATCAAGGAGCCTCGCCTGTTTTCTCCGCCAGAGTCCGTTGCCCTGAAGCACCCCTCTGGCCGTCCCGTCCGTGTCCTGTGCTTGGATGTCGGTCTGAAGTATAACCAGCTTCGCTGCCTGCTGGCGCGCGGTGTCGAGGTACTGGTGGTTCCGTGGGACTACGACTTCCCGACCTTGGCCGGTAAAGATTACGACGGTCTGTTCATTTCCAACGGTCCCGGTGATCCCGCAACGCTCTCGGTCACTGTTTCCAACATTGCCAAGACTCTCAAGGAGGCCAGGACACCCGTCTTTGGTATCTGTCTTGGTCACCAACTGTTGGCGCGTGCTGTTGGTGCGAACACTATGAAGATGAAGTTCGGTAACCGTGGTCACAACATCCCGTGTACGAGCATGATCTCTGGGAAGTGTTACATCACCTCCCAGAACCACGGATACGCCGTGGACGCAAACACTCTCCCAGAAGATTGGCAGGAGCTTTTCGTGAATGCCAACGACGGCAGTAACGAGGGTATCAGACACGTCAGCCGTCCCTACTTCAGTGTTCAGTTCCACCCCGAGAGCACCCCCGGCCCGAGGGACACGGAATTCCTGTTCGATGTCTTCATCAATGCCATCAAGGATACTCTTGCCTCTCCTGAGGCTCTGAACAAGCCTGTCACCTTCCCTGGTGGTACCAAGGAGGAGAACATCAAGATCGCCCCCAGAGTCCATGTGAAGAAGGTTCTGGTCCTCGGAAGTGGAGGTCTGAGCATTGGACAAGCCGGAGAGTTCGACTATTCCGGAAGTCAGGCTATCAAGGCCCTGAAGCAGGAGGGTATCTACACCGTCCTCATCAACCCTAACATCGCTACCATCCAGACTTCCAAGGGTCTGGCAGACAAGGTGTACTTCCTTCCGGTCAATGCGGACTTTGTGCGCAAGGTCATCAAGCATGAGCGTCCTGACGCTATTTATGTCACCTTTGGTGGACAGACCGCGCTCCAGGTCGGTATCCAGCTCAAGGACGAGTTCGAGGAACTGGGCGTTAAGGTTCTGGGTACCCCCATTGACACGATCATCACTACTGAGGATCGTGAGCTGTTCGCTCGGAGCATGGAATCCATCGGAGAGAAGTGTGCCAAGTCGGCTTCCGCCTCGACCCTTGAGGAGGCTCTGCAGGTAGTTGAGGACATTGGATTCCCAGTTATCGTCCGTGCCGCCTACGCGCTTGGTGGCTTGGGTAGTGGTTTTGCGGATAACATGGACGAACTGCGCGCCCTTTGCACGAAGGCTTTTGCTGCCAGTCCTCAGGTTCTGATCGAGAGGAGTATGAAGGGCTGGAAGGAAATCGAGTACGAAGTCGTGCGAGATGCCCAGGACAACTGTATCACCGTCTGTAACATGGAGAACTTCGACCCTCTCGGTATCCATACCGGTGATTCCATCGTCGTTGCTCCATCTCAGACTCTTTCTGACGAGGACTACAACATGCTCCGAACCACCGCTGTCAACGTCATCCGTCACCTTGGCGTGGTCGGAGAGTGTAACATCCAATATGCCCTGAATCCGTTCTCAAAGGAATATTGCATTATCGAGGTCAATGCTCGTCTGTCACGATCTTCTGCCCTGGCTTCAAAAGCAACTGGATACCCTCTCGCCTTTATTGCCGCCAAGCTCGGTCTCGGAATCCCATTGAACGAGATCAAGAACTCTGTCACTAAGGTGACATGCGCATGCTTTGAACCATCCCTGGACTACGTTGTCGTCAAGATTCCCCGCTGGGATCTGAAGAAGTTCACCCGTGTTTCTACCCAGCTCGGCTCATCTATGAAGAGTGTTGGTGAAGTCATGGCCATTGGACGGACATTCGAGGAAGCTATCCAGAAGGCTATCCGATCAGTCGATTTCCACAACCTTGGTTTCAACGAAACCAACGCTCTTATGTCCATTAAGGGAGAGCTCCAGACGCCTTCTGACCAGCGTCTGTTCGCGATTGCCAACGCGATGCACTCTGGTTACACTGTGGATCAGATCTGGGAGCTGACTCGGATCGACAAGTGGTTCCTCCGCAAACTGAAGGGTCTGAGTGACTTTGGAAAGCAGATGAGCACGTACAACGCGTCGACTGTGCCTGTAGACTTGATCCGACAGGCCAAGCAACTTGGATTCGCTGATCGTCAGCTTGCCAAGTTCCTCGATTCCAATGAGCTTGCTGTCAGGCGAATGCGCGTAGAGGCTGGTATCGTGCCCGTTGTGAAGCAGATTGATACCGTCGCTGCGGAGTTCCCGGCTTTCACGAATTACTTGTACCTCACCTACAACGGTTCTGAGCATGATATCTCCTTCGAGGACCACGGTATCATGGTTTTGGGATCGGGTGTCTACAGAATCGGTTCGTCGGTTGAGTTCGATTGGTGCTCGGTTAGGACCATTCGAACGTTGCGCGAGCAAGGCCACAAAACCATTATGGTCAACTACAACCCGGAGACGGTCAGTACTGACTACGATGAGGCTGACAAATTGTACTTCGAGAATATCAATCTGGAGACCGTCCTGGACATCTACCAGCTGGAATCTTCCAGCGGTGTGATCATCTCCATGGGTGGACAGACCCCTAACAACATTGCTCTGCCTCTCCACCGTCTCAATGTTAAGATCCTGGGCACCTCGCCTGAGATGATCGACGGCGCTGAGAACCGATACAAGTTCTCTCGTATGCTCGACCATATCGATGTGGACCAGCCTGCCTGGAAGGAACTCACCAGTACTGAGGAGGCGACTGAGTTCTGTAACAAGGTTGGCTATCCTGTGCTCGTGCGCCCGTCCTACGTGCTGTCAGGTGCCGCTATGAACACTGTGTACTCTCAGGACGACCTGGCAAGTTACCTCAACCAGGCGGCTGAAGTCTCCCGGGAACATCCCGTCGTGATCACCAAATACATCGAGAATGCTAAGGAGATCGAGATGGATGCAGTTGCTCGCGATGGTGTCATGGTTGGCCACTTCATCTCGGAGCATGTGGAGAACGCTGGTGTGCACTCTGGTGATGCAACACTTATCCTGCCGCCGCAAGACTTGGACCCGGAGACGGTACGAAGGATCGAGGAGGCCACGCGCAAGATTGGAAACGCACTTAATGTCACAGGTCCTTTCAACATCCAGTTTATTGCCAAGGACAATGACATCAAGGTCATCGAGTGCAACGTCCGTGCTTCCCGATCGTTCCCCTTCGTGTCCAAGGTTATGGGTGTCGATTTGATCGAGATGGCCACGAAGGCTATGCTTGGTGTTCCCTTCGTTGAGTACCCACCAGTGACCATCCCGAAAGACTATGTCGGAGTGAAGGTTCCTCAATTCTCTTTCTCCCGACTGTCTGGAGCCGACCCTGTCCTAGGTGTCGAGATGGCCTCCACCGGAGAGGTTGCCTCCTTCGGTCGCGACAAGTATGAGGCTTATATCAAGGCCCTCATATCCACTGGATTCCGTCTGCCAAAGCGAAACATCCTGTTCTCCATTGGCTCCTTCAAGGAGAAGCTCGAGTTGCTTCCCTCGATCCAGAAACTGCACCAGATGGGCTACAACCTCTTCGCGACTGCTGGTACTGCCGATTATCTTAAGGAACATGGCGTTCCAGTGAAGTACCTGGAAATCTTGGCTGGCAACGAGGAAGATGTCAAGGCCGAGTACTCCCTGACCCAGCACTTGGCCAACAACCTCATCGATCTTTACATCAATCTGCCGTCCAGCAACCGCTTCAGACGACCGGCCAACTACATGAGCAAGGGCTACCGCACTCGTCGTATGGCTGTTGACTATCAAACTCCGCTGGTGACAAATGTCAAGAATGCGAAGATTCTGATTGAGGCTATCGCTCGTCACTATGACTTGAACGTGCAGACGATCGATTACCAGACCAGCCACCGCACTGTTGTTCTACCTGGTCTGATCAACATTGCGGCTTTCGTCCCAGGAGTCGCCACTCCGGGCTCGAAAGATTTCCAGCAAGTGACCAAAGCCTCTGTTGCAGCTGGTTTCACCATGGTTCGCATCATGCCTGTTGGCGTTGACAGTTTCGTTACCAACGCTCGTGCCTTGAAGACGGCCCAGCAGAACTCCCAGAAGGGAGCCTACTGCGACTACAACTTCTCGGTTGCCGCCACAGCTACCAACTCCGACCAGATTGGCGCGGTGACTAGTGAGGTTGGCTCTCTCTTTATTCCATTCAACCACCTGTCGGGCAACATCAACAAGGTCGCTGCTGTCACCAACCATTTCGGCGCTTGGCCTGCTAACAAACCGATGATCACTGATGCCAAGTCGACTGATCTTGCCTCGATCCTGCTCCTGGCGAGTCTCCACAACCGGAATGTCCATGTCATGAGTGTGACTTCTAAGGAGGACATTAATCTCATTGCGCTTAGTAAGGAGAAGGGTCTTAAGGTGACCTGCGATGTGTCGATCTACTGCTTGTTCCTCTCGCAGGCCGACTTCCCTAACAGCTCTTACCTGCCTACTGCTGAGGATCAGAAGGCTCTGTGGGAGCACCTGAGCACGATTGATGTATTCTCCATTGGCAGCATCCCCTACCAATTGGCCGGTAAGAATGCTTCGCCTTTGGTTGGAATCGCAGACGCATTGCCTCTGCTGCTTACTGCTGTCTCTGAGGGCCGTCTGACCATTGAGGACATCACTGCTCGACTGTACGAGAACCCCAAGCGGATTTTCGAGCTTCATGACCAGGCAGATACCACCGTCGAGATTGAGATCGATCGGCCTTACATTTACCAGAACGATGAGACATGGTCTCCAATCCTCGGCAAGGCGATGAGAGGTGCTGTGCAACGTGTGATCTTCCAGGGCAAGACCTCTTGCTTGGATGGAGAGATCACTCCCGATGCCCCCAAGGGCCAGGACATGTCTGGCCACAGGATTGCACCGGTGTCTCCTTCAATCAAAGCGATGTCTCCCGTGGTTCACCCGCGCCCTGAAAGCTCCCTTGACAGGCGGATGTCCATCTCTGGGACTCCAGCGCGTGCCCCGCGTACTAGGAACGTCGATATCCCTGGTCCAGTTTCCAATGAGCTTGGTCCTCCTCTTTACGCTCCCCCCGTGTCTCAGGTATCTCCTTCGCTTCTTGAGCTCCTTTCGCGATCTCCATTCCGCCAGAAGCACGTCCTTTCCGTTAACCAGTTCACCCGCTCCGATCTCCATCTGCTGTTCGCTGTCGCACAGGAGATGCGCCTAGGTGTTCAGCGCCAGGGAGTTCTTGACATTCTGAAGGGCCGTGTTCTGTGCACCCTCTTCTACGAGCCCTCGACCAGAACATCTGCGTCCTTCGATGCTGCCATGCAGCGCCTCGGAGGACGTACCATTGCGATCTCGACGGAGCACTCTTCTACAAAGAAGGGTGAGACTCTGCAGGACACCCTCCGGACCCTTGGCTGCTACGGTGATGCCATTGTCCTCCGCCACCCTGAGGAGAGAAGTGTCTCTATTGCTGCCAAGTTCGCCCCTGTGCCTGTCATCAACGGTGGAAATGGAAGTCTTGAGCACCCCACTCAAGCATTCCTGGACCTTTTCACTATCCGTGAAGAGCTGGGAACTGTGAGCGGTATCACAGTCACTTTCACTGGTGATCTGAAACATGGACGCACTGTCCACTCTCTTATCAAGCTTCTCCAGTTCTACGATGTCCGCGTCCAGCTCATCGCCCCCAAGGGTCTTGCTTTGCCGGAGGAGGTCCGCCAGCAGGTCGCCAAATCTGGCCAGCTAGTCTGCGAGTCCGAGAAGCTGACTCCAGAGATTGTGGCGCGCTCCGATGTTCTGTACTGCACTCGTGTGCAGAAGGAGCGCTTCGCTGATCTGGAGGAATACGAGCGTCTCAAGAACAGCTTCATCATTGACAATGCTGTTCTCAAGCATGCCAAGAGCCACATGGTCGTCATGCACCCTCTACCAAGAAACGCTGAAATCGGCGAGGAGGTCGATTTCGACCAGAGAGCGGCTTACTTCCGACAGGTTAGTCTCTCCCCCAATGCGCTGAGAGTGATTCGGCTACTAACAGATATTCCAGATGAGATATGGTCTCTACACCCGCATGGCTCTGCTTGCATTGGTTCTGGCGCCTTGAGATCATTTCGTATATATTCCACGAAAAAACAAAAGATATCCTTTTGGCGGCGATATAGACATATCGATTATCTGATAGATCTATTCTCGTCTTTTGCTTTTCTGTGTTTGCTTTTCATGGTGTGGGCTATCAAAAGTTTTTTTGGCAATTGTTTTCTTTTCTTACAGACTATACAGCGTAGTCTCTCCGTGCGGAGATCTAGAATTCCATATGATAACACGAATATCCCGTTTCATGTACACAACTTGGTTTGGTGTGGATGTCGTCTTATGTGTTTTCCGTTATGTGTGTCGTGCGTTGCGTTCAGTGTGTTTTTTTCGTTCTCATTTCTGTGGCGCGTGTGTTGTGGCGTTCGTTCCGTCGGCGTGTGGTTTGCGTTTGGGTCTGGTTCACTTTCGGGATTTTCTTCCGAGTTAGCGGGTTTTCTTTGGGCTGGCGGGTCAAGGTGATGGGAAATTTTTCAGATACCCCTCTGGTGCTAAAGGCTTGCAAATGGATCATTTTCTACACTGTTCACAATATTAATTATGAAGTCGAGCTTTCGCGTAAGGGTATGTTGAGTAGTATAGGAATTGGAATCAGAATCCGGCTGTAGAACTCAAGTTTGATCTCCCAATACAGAAGCTAGACATAGTTATATAACTATACATACGGCACTTTCGTGAGAGGTCGACCGGCTTTACAATGCAGCGAGGTACCACAACTATAAATAGTTGTATTCCCAGTCATAGTAAAGTCATGCACAAGCTAATGCTGATCATTTCCCCTGCTTCGGTATAATAATAAAGTATAATAATAACTAATGCTTCACAAAACTAGGTGGTGCAAGCAACACAATACACTCTCCGTAACACCATGAAAATCATTTGGTGATCTGCGTTCACGCAATCTGCGTAACGGAAGGACCGTCCTTCTCGGCAGGGAGCTCATTGACCTCTGCCCTAGGCTCACTTTCGACGTCCGTCCCATGCTCTATCCTGCGGACGTTCTGGTACTGGACCTTGGTCTTCCACGGCTTCACACCCTTCTCGAACAAGCCCTCGACTTCCTCGAGGGTCTTACCTGCAGTCTCGGGGAACAGGAAGAAGACGTGGATCGTCATGGCGGCACAGAATACTCCGAACAGGATATAGGTCTTCCACTTGATGTTCTCGAAGGCAGGAGGCACAAAGTAAGATAGAGCAAAGTTGAAAATCCAGTTAGACGAGGTCGACACCGCAACCGCCTTTCCGCGCAGACGAAGAGGGAACAGCTCGGGGGGATAGATCCACGAGACGGGACCCCATGTAGGAGCGTAGGAGGCCACGAAGAGATAGGTGCACGCGATGATCCCCTTGGCAGCCGACTTGGCTTGCGACATATCCCAAGATTCTTCCGGGGTGTTGTCAACACCACCAGGAGGAGCTGGCTTGCCGTAGCTGGCCATCAAGCCTGCGTTGGCAAACATGAATATCATCATAAGGGTGGAACCGACCAGGAGAGGGGTGCGGCGACCCCAGCGGTCGATGAAGATCAGAGCAAAGATGGTCATCACAACATTGATGACATACTGGATCGAAGATGCCACCAGATTGGCATTACCAGAAAGTCCCGCCATGCCAAAGACGTAGGTAATATAAAGCATCATCACATTCATGCCAGTTAATTGAGACCAGATTTGTGTGAACATACCGATATGAGTCCGGTTGATCATGTTGGGCTTGAACAGCTCGATAAAGCTGGCGTCGGCGTTCTGGCGTTCGAAGTCGGCCATCTCCCGGATTTCCCGCAGCTCGGTCTGGACGAAAGGAGCGGATCGGTCACCCTTGGCATGGACAAGGGCGAGCACCTCGTGGCACTCCTCCCAGCGGTCTTTTTTGGCGAGCCAACGGGGACTCTCAGGGAGGAAGAGCATGCCGATGAAGAGGAGTATGGCCGGGATCATCTGCAGGCCCCAGGGGAGACGCCAGGCAGCGGTTCCCTTGATGAAACTGCAGCCATAGGAGATATAGAACATGATCATAATCTATTCGGTGAGTGTCAGTGGGGTCTTCGTTCTCAAGAAGGGAGAGAAGGGAGAGCAGGGAGAAAGGCATCTAGAGCAGAGAACTGGTCACTTACACCCCATGTAATGGCCCACTGTTGCGCTCCGACGACACGTCCACGCTTGCTGGGCTGGGCCAGTTCGGAGACATAGACGGGAACCTGGGCACTGCAGATACCAATGGAGAAACCGTTGATGAAACGGCCGACAACGAGCTGGCCGATACTGTAAGAGGAGCAGACCAAGATACTGCCGATACACCAGATGACAGCACCAATCTGGATCGCACGCTTGCGTCCGAACCAATCCGTCAAGACACCCGAGACCAGAGCTCCCACGAAGGAGCCACCGGGCATGGCAGCCGAAATACCACCCTGCGTGGACGAAGAAGGTCCCGCACAGGAACCATTCTCAATTCCGCCTTGGTTGAAGAAGCACTTGTATTGCTGAGTGCCCAGACTGTGTATCATAAGTGGTCAGCCGCGTCCGACATGTGTATGTATGTATGTAGACCTCTAGTAACTCATGCTGTACAGTATAAATCGAGCTTCAAGCAAGGGAGGGGGACAATACTCACATGGCTGACATCGATGCGATGTCAAAACCGAAGAGGGCACCGCCAATGACCGCAATGGTCGTAATGACATAGATGTTGCCGATAACATACCCCATGGTGGATGAAGGACTCCTCGGGTCAGGGACTCCCTAAACACGACACGGCTGGAAGAGGACCCAGAAAGACAAACAAACGAAAAAGCCGGGCCAGAAAGAAAGGGGACGGCCGAGAATAAAAGCCCCCGGCCAGCAGACGTGACACACGTGGAAACGGGCATTTTATGGTACGACTTTGGAAAAGCGAGGAAATAGTCTGGGGTTGCGGGGATGGGGTCACTTGTGGAGAGAGCTGGATGTAACCGCATCGGGGCACTAAGGCCATAGACCAAGCTTGTTTGCAGCCATCGCCATCCTCATCTCTGCCTTCCAACGCCTGCAACCGGATGTCGATTGGATCCAGGAACGCTGGAAACAACGCCGATGCAAGCCACGAGTTCGAGACCTTCAGATTCAAGCGTCATGCGGATGGCAAGCGAGAACAGCAGAACAGCAGAAAACGCCGTAGCGAGACCTCATCTTCTTGCTGGCACTTCCCGTCCACTGGTTTGTGGGATGAACTATCCCAAGGGAGGTATCCAACGGACCAGTCACTGTCTGTTCCCCGCCTGTCTCTTCCCTCTGTGTCAGTGTGTTCACTACTGCTCAGATGACTAGTCTATACCAACACGCTAAGCAAAGCTGCTAAAGAAGGGCCTGAGCCTTAGGAGAAGCCAGGAGAGCCAAAAGGTCGAGGATAAGCGCGTGGCAGAACACCGTTTCCGGAAGGGATTGTCGCTCAGACGGCGACTATCTATATTCGAATATTTACCCGACGGCATAATAATCCCATCAACGACTCCCGGCAACTCCACGAATCATCGAGGGTATCTAGGTATCATCCTGCAGTTGCCAATACGAGAATCGGCCCCCATGTAACTCCCCGCGGCTGGTCCTTGGGCATAATCCTTGTTAACCTGGTGACCTGTCGTCTTGCCCGCACAAGATCTCCATCTAGAGGCTGAATGAGATCCCCAGATGCCATGTGTGATTGTTACTGCTTGAGTCGCAGCTTCGTCCCACACAGAGTCGATATGTTCCGATCCAACGGATGAGAAAAAAAAAAAAGAAAAGGTCAGGGCATAATGACAGCCAGATCCTTCCAGAATCGACCGTCGTTCCCGATTCCCACGGCCGGCAAAGGGCGACATGGACGCCATATAGACCGGGCCTCGGGGATTTCCGAACAATTCTTTTCTTTTCAGGTCGCCCTAAACGTCCCCACGGCACGGGAGAAGTTGGGGCCCCCCGGGGTAGGACCAAGCGAAGCGACTTTCCATCATCTCTCCACGCCACGTTACACCACAGAAAACGTTCGAACGGCCAATGGGCTCGGGATTGAGGTTTCGATGCCGGTCTTTGGCCGAACTGCGACAAAGTAGGTACGTATGCGCGACTTCGCTACAGAAAACAGTCTAGAAGCGCCAAGTTCCCGCATAATTGGTGTATAGGGATCCCTGGGGCCTTGACATGATAGCGAGTCAACGACTAGCCTGGCGCAAAGGCTCTGTTCATAATTACTAATTGAAACCTTGGAAAAAACGTTCCAGGATTCCTTGCAAAAACAACAACTCTGACCGGTTCGCCTTTTCCCATCACCAGAAACCGGTGGCTCAAAAAGAATCGAGTACATATTGCTTGCCGTCGTGTTGTCGAGGCGTTGATATGCTACCAAGTGGCAACGCATCCCGATAGAATACTCACACACGTGACAGTCATAGACGCGTTATTTGCTTGCTAGAATCGCTAGTAGAATATCTGTCTCGAGGTAACAGCTCGAATGGAACGAAAAGGCGGGTGGCGCGTGGTTAGTATTTGGAGCGTAGGGTTATCAATCAAGTAAGCGTGGGATGCTCCTGGAGTTAGGTTCGTGCTAGATATCAATGGATTTGAGCGCCTTGCTAGGTCAATGGAAAGAATTTGCTCTCACATCCATTATAACATAATGAACTACCCCATAGATTATGGCAGTCCCTTACTCTCTGAGCTTGCTGGAAACAAAGAAACTGAGTGACCTGCTTTAGAAAATCCACCAGGGTATTAAATGCTCATTCAGTGTATGCCTGATTATCGTCAATCATAAGATCAGATGCTCCAGTGAAACTCCATCCCCGAAAGACATCAATAATCGCCCCAGGGCCGTAAGACGCCGTCTATGGCTTAGGCAAGGTACCAGACTGGATCAAATTCCTAATCGTCACGATCATCCTCATCAGAAAAGTCCAGTGGATCTCCTTCCTCAAGATCGAGTTCTTCGTTATCGTTTAATGGGTCCACAAGACTTGGTGAACCAACTATGATTGTTCCACTTTCATCACTGGCGATATCAGTCAGACTACCTTCATTGAACTCCTCAGATACAATCGGATTGTCCCACGAGGCTAGAGACTCCGCTTGTGTTGCTCGACTGTTGTCTCTCCTGGCAAGCACATCCTCCCATAACGAGTCCCTTACCGAACCCATTGATAGCACATCAGCGTCAAGTCCATCTGTAGCCTGGTGAGAGGCCACTTGGGCTGTACTCATTCCCTCGCTATCGACAATGCTGAAGGACCCCGATGACGCTACGGTGCTCCCGGTGTGGATGCCAGGTCCCGGCGCGGAGAACCCTCCTTGTTCGACAATCGGGATATTATGGTCTGTGAAAACACCGCCGGTACCATCGTCATTTCCTCCAGCCCAGAGGGGAAGATATCGGTATTCCTCCTCGTTCAGGCATGTCAGAGTATCAACTAGTTCGAAAAGGCCGCAATTCGAGTGAGGAGGCTGCATCATCCTCCGGGCAAAGCCTCTGATATACTCGTTGGCTTGCGCTATACACTTCGAAAGATCGAAACAATACACTTCGCCATCGATGTGGTAGCCTCGATCACCCCTATTTACGAGGGTCGCGGCAATTCTGACTTCCTCCATCGAAATAGGTTCACACGTCGCGGCCTCCTGCGATTTCAGTGCTGGTAGATGACGGCCCAAGTCTGCGATGCAAAGATGCGGGCCATACAGACGATTCTCTCCAGATGATAAATGGTCTTCCAACAGACTTTGCCAGAATGTGCGACTGAAAACTCGCTCCAATCCGGTCAAGTTGTAATAGGTCTCCCAGTAATTTGGTTGTGGGTAATCCCCCAAGTAAGTTCCGGATATTTGCCGCGACGTTGGAGCATATGTGCTGCGATACGGTGTCAGCATCGAGTAGATTCGACTCCGAATGAACCGCTTCAATTTGACATTGAGGTTGAAGATTGCTGCTGCATCCATTAATCCACTCGCGGTAGTAATAAGTCTCTGGTACTCGTCCAGCTCCAGCACCCACGCCATGCGCGTGCCCACGAGCTCGACAAAGGAGGCAAGTATACGTTCCATGAAGTTCTTGCTGGCATATTCGATCCGCTGCAGCTCCTCGTCCTCGATAGTCTCTCGACTGCGACCATGGAGTGTCCTGTCCCGTCTTTTCGGGGTATTTTTCTTTGAACCGGCCAGCAGAAGCAAGGCTTCCTCTCCCACCAGGATTGCAAATGTCTCGCGGCAGAGGCTGCTTGAACGAATTCCGCATGCGACACGATAGGCCGCCTCTGGGTTGAGTTCCATGAAGAGTGTATTTTGGCTGGCATAGATCCAGGACAGAATATGGTTGCGAATATCTTCTTCGTTCGCGACACCCATTATCTTTGAAAGCGCAAAGAATGTCCACATCTTAGGCGCCGTATCCATCTTTGGGTTGAGGCCTTCCAAAGCGTGAAAGATGCGCTCAATACAGCTTCGGTGGCGGATAGGAGAGTAATCTAGAGGTAGACGTAAATCGGCTTCTTGGACAGCAATACCATCCTGCGCCCCAGTCTCTCTATTACACGACACTGCTCGCGCAGACCCTCTACCTGATGCTGAGGTGAAAGTCGGTGCCTGGTTCACGCGACTGATCTGATAGGCTGAGGACCTCTGCGTCGGATGTTTCCCCAAATCCTCTTGCCCACCCACGCAATCAATGGGCAGATTGAATCGCTTCTGATTTCGGCCCCATGTTCTGATGCCCTCGGGACATGAAAGCTCGGTCAAGTAGATCACGGCATCATCATCTTCGAGCGCTGGTGTAAGATCCAGAACGTAGTGAATTCCCTCTGGGAGATCCTCTGTCAAACCGCGGCTTTTCAAAACACGCGCTTGTCGTCGTGGTTCGAAGCGGTCCTTGAAAAAAGAAGATCCCGTCCTCAACAGGCTCTCACTACGGACGCGGAGTGGTATGGATGGGGACATTGATGCGCCAGTTCGAGGGGCTGGGTCAATGTACACCAACGTATCTGCACCGTTCACCAGCAACAGCGGTACACCAAACTGCACTGCATTGCGCATTGCTACGATAGGGCCTCTGTCAGCCTCAGTGGCCTGTTGTTGGTCGGAAACTGTTTCTGTCGGTGCCTCTTGCTGTATCTGCTGCTCGTCAGCTCCCTGCAACGGCCTTGGAGGCGGTCCAGGCACCAGAGGAAAGCCTGTCTGAAGAACATTAGATCGAGCAGATTGAGCGGGGATAGCAGTAGACGATGAACGAGGGGTCCCCGCATCTGGCAAACGAAGGCCATGATCTTCTTCCCACATGGCCCGTACGGCCGCGACAAAAGTGTTGTCCGAGGTGAGAGGTTGGTAGACATCCATTTTGACTAAACGCGTATCTGAAATGTGGACAGTGCAATGCTAAGTACTTGTCAGAGTAGGTAGATAGATGTAAGCGTTAACTAATGACCACGGAGCAGTGAAGCACTGGCCACAGGCATGAAAGGTGGGTGAAGCCCAAGCTCGAGACGAATAGTCAAGCCAGCAAGAAAGAAGAAAACAGTTAGTGAAAGTGAGAGTTAAACGAGAGACGAGACAGAAGAGTCCATCTGGAGGCTGCCACTGGGGCAAAGCAATTAGGCTGCCAGTGTAAGTACTTAAGGAAGTACTTAGTGTGCGGCTCTTGCTGACTCGGGGAGCTAAGTACTTAGATCTCCTCGTACGCAAGAGTGAATTATGAATTATGCCGCCTAGTTATAATAACAACGATAACTACCTACTTGATATATCACATGCTGTCTCTCAGGGCATACATATAGATTGAAAGAAGGAATCGTCATCCCCCTCGTTCCCTATCTAAGGGAAACGAGAGAGCCCTCTCGATCGAAACCATCACAGTCCATTCAGCAATCCACTCAGTGGCTCGTCGGGACTTTGCGATCGACGATCATCGGGTGGCTGAGGAGTGCATGTAAGTAGTACGATCCTGCTGCCGCCTTGCAACTTCAACACCAGAAAAAAATCATACATGAACGATTAATCAATCCCTCTCCAGCCCCAGGCTGAATATTCTATCCCGTGTCATGTCTCTCTGCCTGACGTCAAGTCGACGAACAACCACTCGGGATGGAATCCCATCAATCACCATTGGAAGCGATAGGGATATTGTCAGCAGTGGCGAGAGAATACGAAAGATAAACGAAAAGAGAGCCTGTTCTGATAATTTCGACTGGAAAATGTCCCCCTCTTAAAAAGAAGGCGAGTACAGACCTTCATCTTAGATACAAACCAAACTCGTCTTGACTGACAACCAACCACCGATCTACGATGGCAATCTCAACTGGAGGAATTCTTACCTACGGCCGTAAGGGCCCGGTTAGGTTGGTTCCTTGTCATCCTGTCATTTCTATACAAAGCTGCATCGCAATCGATGCTAAACAGCGCCCAGGTCACGAAACATTGCACTCGCCAGTGTCGCGACCATCTCCACCACCCTCCTGGTCATGTTCCGATATGGCATGTTTCGCGGTAAGCAGCTCACCACATCACCAGCCGAGCATCGCACCATGCATGGCGAAGATGATCCTACGCTGCAGACGGACCAAGCTACCGCTAAAGCCGCCCGCGGACCAAAGCGCTGGTATAACTTCGGAAAGGAATAAACCAGACATTACGCATCGACACCGTGGGGAGAAGGTTGGAATGGAAATGAATCAAGTTCAGATTGCACGTTTTGTTTGGAGGTAAATTGAGCCGCATCATGTTGTACATATAGATTGTTTAGCTGTATCTACCAAAGACAATCCGATTGATAACTGCCCACTGTATGCAAACAAAATCCAGACAAGGAACTCTCCAGAATTTGAGAAACAAGAAGCTGCGCCCAAGGCAATATAGAATCAGGCAAGGGGGTATCCGCAGGGGGTCTCCAACCAAAAGGTCGGGGAAGAGACGAAGCCAGAACAAAACATGCGTCTATACAAACGAGCACAAAAAGCCACCATGCAGTAACAGTAAAAATACAATGGACAAAAAAAAAGAGGGGAAAAAAAAGGTCCGAGGACTTCATCTTATCTCAATGATCATTGCTGATAATCTTGGCTGCTGGATGGGCCCAGGCGATTTTCCTGGTCACCAACTTCGCCTAAACAGCCCTCATCACTCGAGGCTTTGCTCGGCTTAGACGCTGGCCTCTTTTGCTTGGCACTTTTCCTGTCTCTGGACTTCGGTCTCTCGCGGTTCGCAGAGCGGAGCTCATCCCCTTGACTCGGACTCCGACTAGAGCTTCCCTGTCGGAGGTCCTTAACTTCCTTAATCACCTCCCGGAAGCTTTCCTCGAGGTTCTGCATCCGAGCCAAGACCAGTTTGCTAAGCATGTCTTGGGTCTCCTGGGAGCCAGGCATCCGCCGTAGGCCGCCTGTCGCATAGGCCATCTGCGTTCCAAAGCTGGATGGGACGAATCCGCCACCAATGGCCTTGTTGTCCCCCAGGTCCGACCCCAGGTCGGGGATTAGCGGTGGGCGACGGGGCACCGAGCGTGCGTCCTTGTTCGCCAATCCTGCCATGCCAGGCTCAGACGAAAAGCTCGATCGTGGTGGCATCGTGGGCCGAGGTCTTGACGTATTCGCGTCGGATCGTTTGGGTGTCCGTCGTCCAGTGGAAACTGGAGTAATTGCCTCGCTACGGTGATGGGGTGACTTGGCAATGCTCTTAGAGAGCGAGAAGGCACCTTGAGGAATTTCATCCTCGGTCTCTGTTTGGACCGGAGCATAGAGGATGGTAGCGCTGGACATATTGCGTTCATGACGATGCGTGGGCCTTTGGTATCGTGTGGGACTGCTCTTGCGTGACACTTTTGCAGTCGAAGGCCGGGAGTTGGAGAACCTAGGAGTCAATCTACTCGTGTTCTTCGGAGACAGCTCCTCGTCTTCATCCATGTGTGGCCCAGTCAGGGACTCTCTATCTCCAAGCGAGTGCCCATCTTCATTATCCTCGCTTGTCAACTCATCGTCTCCCTCGACGTCAGTATGCCGGGAGAGCTGCCTGGTGCGCGTTGGAGACAGAAGGTCCCGTCCCCGACGATGAGCTTTCACGTGCGCAAAACTGTTGTTGATAAACTCTTCTGGGTCGGACGCAACCGACCGTGTAGTCTCAGTAAAATCTCGAATCGTCCCTAACCGGTTTCTGCGCTGCAAAGAAAGTCTCGGGCGTTGTGGTAACGCTTCTAGGCGAGTGACTTCTTCCGGGTCCTGCTCATCTGGTGGATGTGCAGGCTCTGGCTCCATTCCTCGCATCCAGTCTTTCACAATATTGCTGGTTTTCCGTCGATCGTTATCGCGGGCCATATAGCGAGTAGTATCCCCTCCAAACGGCCGGCGGAAAACTTCATCCAGAGCACGATCCTTTTGGTACGTTGCAATAGAGGGTTCTCGCACGCGACGTCGCGCATTGGGACTAAACGACTCGAAATGAAGTGGGCGTCGACGGCGCACTGAGGGTTCGGTCCGACGCTGTGCTTCCACCAGATCGGTGGGCTCGAAGACTCTCGAGCTAAGAATGGTTCTTTCGTAGAAGCATATGGTGAATAAGATAGGGAAATGCGTGATTTTGATGATCGTACGGTTGATCTTAACGAATTGCCTAAACGGCATGCAAAACCGGAGTGGTGTAATCAACCACGCGAGTATGTTCGTCGGTGCCACGTACGAGAAGAGAGCGTCTGACTTCACCATTGAGATGGTGTTGACTGCGAACACAAACTGGTGCTCTTCGTTGGCATTTTGCACGATGGCCATAAAGGAGTTCGTCAGAACGGTAATGAGGATGGTCACGACGACGAAATGACAGATGAAGAGGAAAAGGGTCAATATAGTCTTCCCCAGAACGTTATATTCCTCCCAGAGTGTCCACGCAGCTGGGGTGAAGCCCATTAGCATCTGAAACAAGGCATAAGCCACCGAGCTCGGATCGTTTCGGTCACCGAACGAAAAGGTGAAAGCGACGAAGAAGCCGCTACAGGCGACGATGACCAAAATGAAGACAGCAACCAGGTCTGATGCCATCATCCGAAACGCGATCAGAAGCTGGGAAAAATAAGGGTAATGGTCGAGAACGGAGAACAGACGTGGGAACAGTAGAACTGCATTTGCAGCTAGGATGTCGTAGGCCTGGTCTGCCACCATCTGCTTGCGCGTGTACGGCATCAAGACCCCGTAGATCCGCATACAGTAATAGCAAATCAGGAGTAGCAGGATGCCTAGGTCAAAGGTATTCCAGAAGCTCATGATATACAAGCTGAAACCCTGCTCGTTGAAACCGACGAGCTCGTCCAGCATAAAGCCGGCACTCCAGAACCAGAAAAGGACTTCAAGAGTGGTGATCTCCAAGGGCCGCTGGATGATGATGGCTAGGAAGAGACCGAGCAGGACGGCGAAAGAGCATGTAGAGAGGAACTGTCGGTACCGGGGCACTCTCAGTCTGGACAACTTGAAGAGGGACGCATCCCGGGGGTCATAGAGGGTCACTGAGCGCCGCAGGGCCATAGCATCCCGACCGTCCCCTGCCGGTTGCGTTTTGGCAGCGAAGGAGCCATACCCGATAGCATGCTGCTGAGGGGTATCGGATGATTGCCGGTGCAGATTGTCAGCTGCCGAGTGGAACACAATTGTACCCGCCCATATCGCTTCGAGTTGTTGTACGACTAGCGGATGGGCCAGGAAACGCTTGGCCTGGGTACGAATAGCGATTTCGAGGCAGGAAATCCGGGCTGTGCCGGGCAAGCGCTTGGTCCGCTGACTAGAGCTCCAACCAGGTCCACGCAGTGTACTGCCCGTGGTCGGTGGTGTGTGCCCTTGGAGGGGATAGAAGTCATAGGAGAGGGCATCGATCAGCTCTCTGGTTGTATATTCTTTGAGCAACTTGATCGCCAGAAGCTCACACACCATCGCCCTCGTCCGGTTTGTCCCGCTGTTTCCGGGGTTCAAATGGACTTCCTTATTGAACTGGAGACAATTGGCCATCAAGGCATATAGCGTCGCCCGGGAGAAGTGGGAAGCCATGATCTGCTGCTGGATGGGCTTCACGAGAAACTGCGAAACCTGGGGCGAGCGCAGCTGGTCCCATGTCAACGTGGTTTCGCAACGGGAGCACACCAAGATGCGAATCGTATGGGTGATATTGTAAACGGGAAGCGCATCTATCGATCTCCCATGTCAGTTATGGAATTGATCCGCAGACCAACATTTCTCCAAGTCCTCACCTAGGTAGGGCGCTGAAAAGATGGGTAACAGAGGTGGTGAGTCTCCCGGACCATCCTCATCCTCCTCGTGCGCATCATCTTCCCCTTCTTCTTCTTCTTCTAGGTCGTCGCCAGGATCGTGCTCATACCCCGTTCCCTCGTCCTCATCACTCGCATCGTCTGCGCTATCTGCGGCATTGCGGCGTCGCAGGAGGGGTGAGGACTCCCGTGCCGTACTCGGGGCTGCGAATGGAGAGCGCTCTGTATAGGCTCTTCGCTTCTTGGGACGCAGCAGAGAGGCCAGCATGGTTGAGGAGCTCCAAGGCCGGAGGGGGATACTGCGCAATGATAAGGAGAGCCCTGCTCACTGCATCGTCCGGCGTCTCAGCTGGCCAACGCGGCGGAGACTTGGATGAGACGACGGAGGTCCAAGTCAGCGCAACAGGAGCCAGAGCCGGATCCTAACGACGAAACCCCTCGATGATGGCAGAGTTGACCTTGAACTGCGATAACGCACCTCATGTGAGCAGCAGCCAGTGGGCGTGGAGATGCCGGTGATTTGTTGACGTGCCGCTCTAGTCGCGTCGCCGGCCACACCGCCAGCTTAGGGCTGCCAACCATCCAACTGCTCAACCGTCTTGAGATCCTGACGGCGTACGATCGGCGCGAAAAATCTGTTAAAGTTATCATCGTGCTTCTGCACCAGCTTCACGCTAGCTGGGCTGGCCAGTCACATCGCCCATCATGCGCAGCACCGCATCATCCTCCGTCTTCTGTTCTGTATGAGTCCGTAGATCCGAACTTGATGTTCAGGGCCATGCAACAGCTGGATAGTATCCGTGACTAGCTCACCCACACCATTCTGTCGTGGGTGAGCCCTCCCGCATTTGTACTTCTTACTGTATTTGCACTTTTTAAAGCTATTTAATTAATCTCTGTTACAACACACTATTAAATAACTAAAAAAGGGTGTTATTAGATTCTGCTAATTCTGCTGTATAAATTAATATATTAATTTCTTATTTAGGGGTTAGTGTTAGTATTTAAACTAAGGATTTTATTATGCTGTTTCTATAACCTCCGCCTTTTAGTTTTATTTAATTTGGCCCTTCTAACTGCAATTAATTAATTTATATTTTATATACTTAATATACTACTCTTGCTAAGGGGTTTAACTTATTATCTAATATATTAATAATATAAAGGTACTTATATAGTATAGATCTTTTTAATTAAATTATTTATTATAATTAACTCTTTATTTAAAATCTTAATATGCTTAAAGATTCTTATTAGATTTTATTATAATTTTAATATAAGCTTCTTTATATATTTTAATAATTTTTCTTAATTCTTTTAAAGAGCTTAAATTAATCTAAGTAAAATAATTTTAATATTAAATAAAGATATTATAGTAGATAGTAGAGAGAGGGTTTTCTTCTTATTTTCCTCTAGCTAATAAAGCTTTATTTTAATTATTTAATTAATAAGCAATTTAATAATTTTACTATTATTAACTAGGTATATTCTATATTCTTTAAAGGAGTTATAGATAATCTAGGAGTTAAAGGCTACTGCTTATATAGGCCTAATAATCTATAAGAACTCTAATTTCCTTATTAGCTTATTAGCCTAGTAGGATAATTTATTATTTATTCTCTGCTAATACTGCTTATAATTTAAAAAGGGTTTATTATTAAGTAATTAATAGAAATAGGTTATATAAGGTAAAAAGTTAAAAGAGAGAATATTCTAATTCTTATAGAGCTAGAGAAACTCTACTATAAGATAAGATTTATAACTATTAAATATAAGAATATATTTCTCCTTATAATATATATAAGGGTTTATTATTAAAATAAAATAGTTAAGCTAGATTAAAGCTAACTTATTACTAATTTAGCTAATTAAAGATATTACTATAATAGTCTTAATTATTATAGTACTAGTATAGGGAATTATATAAGGAGTTATATAATCTCGTAAAGATATCTTTAGCATATAACTTAATCTAAATTTAAGCTCTTTAAGCTATATCTTATTTATTAAGCCTGTCTATAATAGCTTATTCTAGTCTAAATTAGCTAAATAGAGATCTTATAGCTAATCCTAGTATTAACTACTTTATTCTATTTATTTTAACCTGCTTTCTAAGCCTATATTTTAATACTATATAACTTCTATCTAGAAGTTAATATTATTAATAATACTTGCTTTAATTCTCTTATTTTTACTAATAATTTTAAGAGAATTTATTAAATATATTATTACTAGCTATAGGCTAAAATAATATAATTATTATTGCCTAATATATAAATATATTAATAAAGCTAAGATTACTATAAATAAAATAAATTATTAAGCTAAAATATGCTTTTAAAAGCTTTAGCAAGAATTTATTATTATTTAATAAAGACTTAAATAAAAAATTACTAAATTTAAGGCTATTTAATAATATTAGAAGATCTAGCTCTAAAAAAAAGAATAATAATATATCTAGGCTATTTTTAAGAGAGATTAAGCCTAGTATATAATTATATTTATTATAAATATACCTCTATTTATATTTAAACTTAAGCTTAATATTAAGAGGCTTATAGCTGCTTTAATAAGAATATTTAAGATATTTATTATTATATCTTCTTTTGCCCTTAGACTTTTAAAAAGACTTTTTAATCTTAATAAATTTAAAGGTAATTAAAAGGACCTTTAGTACTTTATAGTTTAAATCTAGAAGAAGATAATAATTAATTAAGACTAATTTTTAACCCTTTAGAGCTATATAGCCTATATAATTAATTACTTAAAGGATATACCTTATACCTAAGTATTACTATATATTAGAGATAAGACTTATATTTTTAATAATTATTAAGAGATTTTAAATATCTTAGAATATATATTTAATAACTCTAATTATATAAATAATATATATAGTAAACTATTTAATCTCTATTAAATTAATAAGAAATTTAAAATTTTCTTTATTAAGTTCTAGCACTTAGTATTAGAAGAAGAAATATTTAAAAGAATATTATTTATCTTATTAAAATAAACTATTAGCTGAGAATTTTAAGAAATATTATTATATAGCTAGTCCCTAAGTTATAAATATTATTAGTTTATTAAATTTCTATAAGATTTTAAAAACTATTATTATTAATATATTATAAACTAGCCTTTTATTATAAAAACTTATACTGCTATTTTAAGACTTATTTAGTATATTTAATCTCTCTTACTTACTTTAAGTCTTGCCCTAATTATAAGATATAATAGCTAGCTTTAGAAAAGCCCTATATAAAAAAATAAACTAGCCCTAGTATAGCTATTATAGTAGGGAGAATCGGCGTAAAGAATATAATTAGTTAAGAGGTTATATGCTTCTGCTTAAAGTCTTTAAAAGTCTATAAAAAAAGCAGGAGAGGAATAATATAAGACCTTTCAGTTATTTAAAAAGAAATAATTAGCTTTATCTTTCTATTATTATTTAGTATTAGTTTAATATTAGATTATTATTAGTTTATTATATTAGTTTATAGCTAAAGCTTTTTTTCTAGCTCTACTTTAAGCTTTAAAGTTAAATACCTTTCTCTTCCTTTTTAATACTTATTCGCTTAAAGACTCTATATTAAGTTTTAATATATTATCCTATAATAAATTAGAGCTAAATATAAAGGGTATTAAAATATTAAGCAGAAATAAGAGAGAAAAGAGAACTAGAAGCTAAGGTTAAGGCTAAAGCTAAAGGAAGGGGTAAAAAGTAGTAAAAAGATAAGCAAAATAGCTAAGGAAGATTATTATTATAAATAAAAAGAGATAAATATATCTCTTAAATTAGTAAAGATAATAAATATAATATAAAGTAAAAACACATATTAATAATAAGAAAAAGAAAGGACTATTAAATATAAGAAAAAGCTTAATAAATATAAAAGAAAAGCAGAAATTTAGAAAGAATAGAAAAGTATTAAGTAAGAACTATTTATTAAAAAATAGAAGAATTTCTTATTATTATCTTTATTATTATTTTTTTAAAAAAATATAGAGAAAAGTACTAATCTTTTTAGTATTAGTTAAGATAAAAGGACTCCTAGCTTCTTAGTATTATTAGGTCTAGAGATATAGACAGCTTAGGTATCTAAAAATATAGGATTATTAAAAGTATAGCTAATCTAGATTATATTAGCTTTATAAATATTAATGCTTAGAAATCTTAAGGTATTATATTTTAAAGGGAATAATATTATTTATTATCTAAGGCTTTTTAAGAGGCTATATAAGGTAAATTAATTTTTAAAAAAGGAAAAAGCTGAATAATTTGCAGATTATTATAGCCTATTAATATTATTATAGATAAATACTTAATCTAAATATAAAGAAAAGAATTATTTAAAACTGGCAGAAGCAATTAAATAAGAATATGCCTATTATAATAAGTATTAAAGGAAATATAATATTTAATAGCTAAAAAGGTTTAAAAATATAAAATATAACAGCTTTAAGGATTTAAGGGAATATAACTAAGAATATTAAGCAGTATTAAAAGTACTAATAACTTTAAATAAATTAAGCCAATATTTATAGGGAGTTTAATATCTTTAAGGACTTTTAGAAAAGCTTAAGCAGTAAATAGTTTAAGAGTTAAATATAGATTATTATACTCTATCTATTATTAAATATACTAATTTCTATAAAAAGATAGTAGATAGGGTAAAAATAATTAAAACCTTTTGCTATCTTAATAGCAGAAAACTAAAGAAAGATTAAGATATAACAGCTTTAATAAAAGAAAAGGTAATTAAAGAAGATAATATATAACTTTTTATTAAATCTAATAGAATTTACCTAGATAAGAATAAGAATAGGATTAAATAATAGAGTATTAAAGTAAAGTTAATAGAGCAATTATAGATTAATTAGTTAATAAAAGAGTTTAAAAAGTTAAAACTGTATAGTATACAGTATATAGGGAGGCCTAATAATAATATGCCTAATACTAGTATAAATATATAAGCTAGAGTATTTTTAGAATTTATACTAGCTAAAAGATCTAGAATTTCTCTAAACTTATATAATTTCTGCTAGGCTCTTAATTATATTTAACTTTATTGCCTAGATTTAAAAAATCTCTTAAATTAGAAACTTATTTATTAGAGAAAAGATTATAAACTTTATTTTAGATTAAAAGGGTAGAATAGAGAAATTATCTGCCTTATCTAGGGAAATATATTATAAAAAGTAATTATTAAACAGAGACTAAAAGAGAAATAAAAATAAGTTAGTTTAATTAAATATAATATATAATCTATTATACTAGGATAAATTAATAATAATTTAAGCTTTAAAGAAAAAGCTAGAGATATTATAGAAGATTATTATTTAGTTAATATAATAGAATTAAAGAAATCTTAAAGAATAAAGAAGAGACAGAGTAAGATTAAATAATAATATAAGGAAAAACTATAAAGAGTAATTAAATAAGAGTAAAAATTCCCCTTAATTAAAATAAACTGGTTTAGCAATTATTAGCT